CCGCGACCTGTCAGCGCCTCGGTCAGACCCTCCTCTCCCCGCCTCTTTGTGCCCGTTATCGATGGAGGGGTGGGTGTGAGGCGGGAGAGAACCGCTTCCTTTCCCCGCGGGCCCGCATCGCCAGCCGCCTGGGGGTCATGGGGATAGGCTGGAGGGAGGGGTGAGGGGGCACCCGGGTCCTGGCTTTTGGGAGCTGCGCGGTGTGGGTTCCAGATGCGGGGCGTGGGGGGACGGTCCTCGGCCCGCAGCCAGGCCGGCTCGCCTGGCACTGCTGTTCTCCTGTGGGCACAGCCGGACCGCCCTCTCCGGGGCCGGGGTGGGGGTGGGGCAAGGCGAGCCGCTGCCGTGGGAACCGGCTCCTCGGGGAGAAAACCCAGGCAGGCTGGGCGAGACTTCTGGGGCTAGAATCTCCCTGCCTCTCCCCACTCCCCACCCTCCGCCCTCCTCCGTCAGCACCGCTGCCAGGGAGAGCAGCGCCAGCCGCGAGGAGGTTTCAGGTCCAGGTCGTGAGGACCTGGGATGGGGAAGGAAGAGATAGAGCCCTCCTTGCTGCCGTCTAGGAACAGGGAAAGCGGGGCTGGCACTGGGGGCACTGGCTGGCACGGTGGGTCCTGAGCATTCCTGCCAGCCTGATGCCAGCCTGACAGGAGGTTGCGTTCTTCCACATCTTCGGGGGCAGGCCCGGAGGAAGGGGAGTGGTCCAGCCATCTTTGTAGTTCCTGTCATCTGAGCTCAGGTGACCAGCTCAGGCGTGGGAGGGGGATGGGAGAGGCTCTTAGTAAAACCAGGCAGCGTTCTCTCCGGGAAGAATCCTTCCTTTGGGAGGGCGGTGAAGCTGTGGCTCCCCTTCTCCCTGGGCACTGCCATTCAGTCCTAAAGTGGGCACTGCCGGCCACTTCCTCCCTCCGCTCCCCCACCCCTGCTGTGAGCCACTGCCTTTTGTTGTCATGGCAACTGGGAATTAGCGTTTTCTTCAGCAGCACAGACCGGGAAGGCGAAGGGAGGAAGGGTGGTGGGTGGCCTCCTCCACCCCTCCCGCCCCATTTCCCCCCCAAAACGGGGAAGCCAACCCCACCTTGGGGAGGCTCTGGAATGGGAACTAGGGCTGTAAACTCTACACCTGGTTCTGCCCAAAGCCCCTGCTCTGCTCTCCTGGTCCCCCTCTGGGCTAGGAAGGGGAGAAGGGGAAGAGGAACCCAGAGAGGCCTCAGGGAGGTGAGACATCATCGTTTCTGTCAGACAGACTGACAGATGTCTACGCTGGGCTAGGCCTGAGATCCAGAGGCCAAATAAAACAGATGCGGCTTTTACTTCATGGAGCTTACTGTCTGGACGCCCATCTCTCCTGCCTTTGACTCAAATTCTGTATTCTTACCCAACACCTCTTAAAAAAAAAAAATCGAGGACAGCCTTCTGACTTGTGTGGCTTCAGCTGTTTGGAGCATGGTCCTGTATACCTAAAGGCTGCAGCTTCAATTCCCAGTCAGGGGCCATACCTAGGTTGTGGGTTCAGGGCTCTCTCTCTCTCTGTCACTTACTCTCTCTCTCTCTCCCTCTTTTCTTTCCCCTCTCTCTAAAATCAATAAATAAGTCCTTGGGTGAGGATTTTAAAAAATAGAAAGGTCAGGTGGTGGGCAGAAACGCTTAATTTTTTGTTGAGTCACAAAACCTGGGTTTTCATTGAAGCTCTCTTCATTAGCTTTGTGACCCTGGGCAAATCCATTAACCTCTCTGGTCCCCTGTCACCTCCTCCTTGAAGAACTGGGCATGAACTGTCTGCTCCTCCCGCCTCCCGGGACTCTGGGACCATTCCTTCACCGTGTTGGCCGGTCTCGAGTGGGAGGTCCTTCCGGATTCCTTTCTCATCCTCCTTTTCCCTCCTCTAGGAGAGACGTTTTGGAACCTTTGCCGACCTCACCATGCCGGTCGCTGCCACCAACTCTGAGACTGGTAAGAAAGGGGGCGAAAGTCAGTTAGTATCAGTGGTTCTGAGGCAGGCAGGGCGGGGAGCAGCTACCAGGCACGCCCACCGGTCCCTGTAGGAACACCACTCTCCACCCAGCCACTCCGTCAGCCATTCAGGCAACTCCATGGCCCTCCCACACCTCCCCAGGGTAGTGCCAGACACAGAGCTTCACACACTTCCTGGGAGGGCAGGGGTATGAATGCTCCGAAGATGACGCTCCCTCACTATTGCTGGAGGACTACGGCGGGGGCATGGGACCTGGCTGGTGAGGAAGTGACCCCCTAGGAGCTGGGCCTTGGACGGCGGCTGAGGTAGAGGGGCAACCGAAGCCCCGCCCAGGGATGAGAAGTCCATGATGTGGTGCCCACCAGCTTAGGGCAAGGAAATGGGCCACCTGGACCAGCGAGGAAGCCTCAGGAGCAAGCTGCTTACCCTCTCAGAGCCCGTTTCCTGTTCCGTAAAGAGGTTGATGGGCTGAAATCGGTTTGGCTCAGTGGTAGAGTGTCAGTCTGTGGACTGGACGGTCCCAGGTTCTATTCTGATCAAGGGCATGTACGTTGGTTGCGGGCACATCCCTGGTAGGGGGTGTGCAGGAGGCAGCTGGTCGATGTTTCTCATCGACGTTTCTAGCTCTCTATCCCTCTCCCTTCCTTTCTGTGAAAAATCAATAAAATAAATATTAAAAAAAAAAGAGATTGATGGGAGCCCCCAAAGCTGTGTCAGAGAAGGAGAGTTACTGTTAGGAACCGTCACAATCATTATGCTGCACTCCGAATTACTACCTCACTCACCTGTCACCTTGAGTCAGTCCCTCCTTTTTGGGACTAGGTTTCCCATCTGTAAGGTGCAGTGATGGGACCAGATCATTGGTCCTGGATCCCTTTGAGAACCTGACGACAGCCATGGCCTTCATGACGGACAAGCGCTTCTCTGCACACAGTCTGTGTTCCACCCTGGGGTTCATGGCCCCTTCAGTGCAGTGAGGGACCATCGTGAAGTTCCCTGTGCCTGAGGCTGACGGCCCTAACAACTCTACACTGCTCTGATCAGTCTGTCTTCCTCGTGGCCCAGTGCCTCCCTCCCCTGTAGCTCTTGCTGGAGGCCTTGCAGCTGCCTCTGCAAGATGCCCCAGGCTCCTAATTGCGTTAAAATGACGGTTGCCCTCCTCTGAGAATCTGCACTGGGAAAGTAGAGACTGCTGTGAGTGGGCCAGGACCTGAACGGTGATACTGTGTCCCCAGGAGAGGGCTCTCCTTCCTGCGGGGGTGGGGGTGGGTGGGTGGGGGTTGCACCAATGTTCCCAGCCTCTGCAGCCTCGGAGGCTCAGTGCTTCTTCTCCCTGTGCAGCCTGCTGGGCGCCCTGGCCCTGCCCCTCCCTGCGCTGGCATGCCTGGGCCCCACTGTAAGCTGCTTATGGGTTAATTAAGCCCGTCCCTGAGCCTGTGATCAGAGGCCTCTCAATCCGGGGCTGCCCAGTAAACCCATTAACAGTGCCTGGCAGGGGTGAGGAGGGAGGAAGAGGCCCACCAATTCAGCTTCCCTGCTGCAGGCCAGTGGAGGGGGCATGGTTGGGGGAGTGGGGGACAGGGCAGGGAGTGAGCCCAGGGGTGCGGCTATGGGGCTTATTTCCTCTGAGGACTCCTGGGGCCTCCCAGCTTCCCTGGGCTGCTCCCGCCTTCCCAAACCTAAAGAAGAGCAGAAGCCCATGTTTCATCCTCTGTAAAGAGGTGATGTGGGACTTAAAGGCTATGAGTCTCTCAGCCCTTCCTGCAGGCAGCCTCTGTGCCCAGGACTAGCTTCTGCCCTAAAAGATCTAATGGTGGTTCTGCCTCTCCTTTCTTGGTGGCCATTACACTTCCCACAGGCCTGACAGACAACTGTGCCCCTGCCTCTGAGGTCAGGTTTACCCTCCCACTTGCCTCTTCCTTTCAGGAGAGATCCCAGCCTTGGGCTCTGCAGAGGGTGAAGCTAGCAAGGTCCTTCTCCCTCCCCTCCCCTTGGGTCACGATGGTCATCGTCGTGGTGGAGGGGGCATGGTATGGGTGCATTCCTCTTGCAGAGAGACCCCCAACTCTGCTTCTCGGAGGTGGAGTGGCCCTTCCCCCGAGGGCTAGGGATGGCTTGGGCGATATGGAGGTGAGAGCACAGGCTGAGAAATGTTGAGAGAACTTGTCCCTGGAGTCTCCAGACTGGCAGCCTTCTCCTTTCTTTTTCCTTTACCCGATTCCTTTCTTTCTTGGACTCCAGAGGGGATGTAGGCTGAATTCAGATGCAGCTGTCCCTTTAAATCTGTCTTGCATCCCAGGGTTAACCTCCTGGTGTGTAAGCCCTCCCATTGCCATGGCAACCAGGGGTGCAATGCAAGCTGCTGCCACTCCTCAGGGAATGTAGATCTGGTGGCAGGAGCAGCACCTGGTGGCGGCCTCATGGGCACAGGGTTTGAGAGTAATGGAAGCGCTGGGCTGGGGTCAATGCTAACTCCCTCCCTTCTACTGCCTTTGTCCCTGCTGCAAGAGTGCTCCCTCACCTTTCCCCTTCCTTAGTTTCGAGATGCCTGAGTTGGCCACCAGGCAGTCACCTCTTACTCAAGGGGAGGAATTAATGGGAGATGGGGGTCCCGGAGAAGCTACAGCTGAGATGTGGGGTCAGAGGGCTTAAGGTATCCTTCCCAGCCACAGTGGTGCCACCTCTCACCCCCCTCCTTTTCCTCCCAGTCACCCTCTCACCCCCTCACCCCCAATGGCTGGTAAAGGCGGAGGACTGAGTCGTTGGGGGTGGGGGAGGCGCTTCCTTTGGTTCTGAGGGGTTATTATTGTAAAGGAAACGGCCTGGAGAGGGGACACAGAGTAGAGGTCGGAGGGCAGGGGGAGGAGGTGGCCTGGGTGTGTATTGGAGGACAGATCTTCAGAAGCGAGGGCAGGAACAAGGTGGGGCCAAGTCCCCAGGCCCCTTGGGTTTCCTGCGCCCCCGCCCCTCTCTTTCAGCCGCCGCCCCCCCCTCCCCCCCTCCCCCCACTGGCCGGTGCTGAGCCGGGGGGCGTCCAGCCAGAGTGCAGGCTGCTCTTGGGTCCGGGACTGGGGTGGGGGCCGCTATGGCCGGCAGCCCCGGCAGCGGGGCCTCCCTGGAGGTCATATCCCTGGGGTCCTCTGAGGAAGCCGACCTCCGAAGGAAAGGTAGGAAGGAGGGTCCGGAGGCCGAGGGGAAAGCTGGCCCTACAGGGTTTGCGGGCATCTGGAGAGGGTGTCCCAGGTACGAGCTTCTGGGAGCCTCAGGGTCTGGGGGCACCAACCCTCCGGAGGGCTGGCCTGGGCAGAGGGCGCCAACTCCCTGGCTCAGTCCTTCCTCGGGGTTGGCAGGCTGGGGAGTCTGTGGGTGAGGATAGCTGTGGCGGGTGGACCCCGGGGTGCCCTGCAGAGTGGGAAGGGTCCATGCCCTGGCATCTTTCTGAGCCCACTAGGGGTCTTACAGGTCTCTGACCAAGGGCAAGCCCAGGCCTGGGCAGGACCGGTCTGAAGGACATTCGAGGATGTTGTTTCTGGAAAAGGTGGGGTGAGGGAGGGGGAAGAGGATGGGAGTCCAGGAGCCCGTGAACCATGTCCGCCCGCTCCAGTTTCAGCGCCTCCTCCTCCTCCTCATCCCCATTTCGTCCTGGAGGAGGGGGCATTGACAAGAGCAGTAAGAGGGGCTGTATCCACCCTTCCTCCCCCATGGCTTGGGAGCTGTTATGCGGATGTAGGTGTGGGTGGCAGATTAATAATACCCCCTGCCCATCTCTGGCCCCCAGCTGGGCACACTCTGCTCTCCCTTCCTCCCCCAGGACCTGCCACAGCTGGCATCTCCCTCCTCTGCTGGTGGGTGATGGCCACACCTACCTCAGACCTCAGCGGCTGCTGGGGCCCAGCATCAGGTGTTCGCATGTCCTCGGCTATGTCCTTCCCCAGGCTGAGGGTTTGCTGATCCCGGGGATGACTTGGTCTGACTTCTGCCCTTGGGTGCCCACAGCCACCCCAGGCCTGTTTTCCCACCTCCTGCCAATGTTCTGGGCCTTGGCTTTGGCTTCCTAGGCTCTATATTAATTTCTGGATGATTATAGATCACTAGAGGCCCAGTGAACACAATTCATGCATGGGTAGGGTCCGTAGAGGCAGCCGGCCAGGGGCCTTCCTTCATTCCATGCCACTCCCTGGTGCTCAGCGCACGTCATATAGCGAGCGATCGAACTCCCGGTGGGTCGAACTCCTGAGGGGACACTTTGCATATTAGGTGATGATCAAAGCTGAAGGGCTTATAGACACCATCTAATCCCACCCACCCGTTCTATAGGAGGGAAAGACTTAGACCAGTGGGAAACAGTGAGTTATGCAGCATCACACTGAATTAGTGGCAGGGTTTGCACTAGATAACGGTGGGCCCTGGCTTCCTGCACGGCTGCCTGTTCTCAGGAACAAGACCTAAGCACTGTTTCTCCCTCCGGAGCCCTTCAGGGGCCGGTGGCTGAGTCCCGGGGCTTCCGCCCATTCGGAGTTTGAGTGCGGAGCCTGTGGTTCTCTGCTGCGGGGCAGAACCTGGAACCTGACGCCTGCGGCCCTTTCCCGCTCCTCCCACATCGCTCCTCCCACATCGGAGTGGAGTCTACTTCCTCCTGCCTGGGGCCTCCCACCTGCCCAGGCTGGCATTACCCAAGACCTGCAGAACAGGCCAAGGCCACGCCCCCCGAGGGCCCCACCCCGGCATTCCCGGGCCTGGCAGGGAGGGAAGTGCTGCCTTCTGGGGAGGGGCTGTCTTCCGTGAGGTGGGGTTGTTGCTGCGTGTTTTGGTCTCTTGTGCCTCGCTGGCACCCGTGTGTCTCACTGCCTCCCCCTCCCCCCGCAGCCATGCAGCAAGTCCTGGACAACTTGGGATCCCTCCCCAACGCCACGGGGGCCGCAGAACTGGACCTGATCTTCCTCCGCGGCATTATGGAAAGCCCCATAGTAAGATCGCTGGCCAAGGTATAGTGCTCCTGGAGGCAGGTACACGGGCACCGGGTCTGGGGGGGGGGGGGTACGGCGGGGGATGGGATGTTAGACATACGGGCCTGGGAATGGGGCACGTGGCACAAGAGGCCCCTGGAGAGGGGTGTATGGGACCATCCATGCCCAGATGATATCTGAGTGACTGTAGGAAGGGGAGCTGTGCCGGGCCTGGCTGGTGAGCATGGGGCATGCCCATGTGGGAGCTTGTTAGGTGTCCGCCAGCTTGTGGAACTATGGTGGGGGTGGGGGGCGGGCGGGGAGCATGCCTGTGTGGGATCTCCAAGAGGTCATCCTGCCTATGTCCCTGTCATTGGGCATTTTATTTTGTGCAGACATTTTTCCGTGGTCACCTGCCATGCCTCAGGCGGGTAAAAGACTCACTAACCCGGGGAGTTACTGAACAACTGGGTCACAGCTGTGACCAGCAGGTGCAGAAGGCACTTTGGAGCATAAAGGGCAGATGCCTGCCTCAGCCCGGGGTGGGCAGGGGAGGCTTCCTGGAGGAAGGGCCACTGGAGCTGCGTCTGGAAGAATGAGGAGGGAGGGGAGGGCATCCTGGGCCATGGGGAGAGCTTAGGCTGAAGCAGAGGTGAGAAGAGTGGGGAGTGAGTACACAGGGGACTGGTGTGAGGCTGGAGGTTCAGGTGGGAGAGGGGTGTGAGCCTCGGAGATGCTGGCCGGTGGTGGAGGGCACTGGGGGCTGTGCCGGGTGCTTGGACATTGCCCTGTGATGTCCTGTGAGTAACATGGATGGAGTCTTTCATGTTTTAAGCTGCGGGCGGGGGGGGGGGGTGGGGAAGGGGGGGGGGGCTGATGATGGGATGTGGACATTTTAGGAGATCCCTCTGGCAGCCACATGGAGTTGGAGAGACCGAGGTGGGAGGATGGCTCTGAACCAGACCTCTGGTGACAGGGCGTGAGGGAGGGAGGGTGAGATATTTAGGAAGTAAATTGGCTGTATTGGTGTTGGCTATGGAAGGTGTGGGGTGGAGGGTAGCAAGGCACCCTGGATTCTGAGAGGGCAAGTGTGGGGCTGGTGCGGCCTTAGATAGAGAAGCAGCACCGGTGAGGGGAGGGGCAGGTGAAGAAGGAGCCCTCTCCTGAGGAGGAGGAGGGAAGGCGAGAACGGTGCCAATGCTGTGTTGGGGCGAAGCTGGGAGTTGCAAGGAATCCTGTGCGATTGCTCGGATTTTCCAGCGGAGGTGGGCCGGACGTCTGCTGGGAATTCGGGATCAGGGATCGGGCAGGAAAATAGGAGGAATTTGGAAGGAAAGGTTCAACTAATCACTAAAGGGGTTAGCGTGGGAACTCATCAAAGCCGGGGAGCAGGACTGACTTGATGTTAATGATATCATAATCCTGAATTCATAGCTTGCCTAGATAGCTATTTAGATATAAATTCCCCTTTATATGTGTTTTTTATTTTATTTTTTAATGTTTTTCTTAATCCTCACTTGAGGATACCTTTTCCATTGCTTTTCAAAGAGAGTGGAAGGCAGGGAGAGAAGGGGAGGGGAAGAGAAAGGCTGAGAGAGACTCATCAAATAGCTTTGACAGTGAGACTGCCGATGAACCAAGGCGAGTCCCTCAGGGTGAAAGAATCTCAGGGTTAGAATCTCAGGGACTCTAGCCAGTGCCCTCCAAAGCATGACCCCGCTCAGTCCCATTCTTCTCTGGGGCTTTGTCTAATCTGTTTGACAGCTCTCCGATGATGGGCTTGTTGGCTGGCTGGCCCTGTCATCCTTCAGTCACTCAGTCCTCTATCATCTATTCAACAAACACGATCGATTGTGTGCTCACCATGTACAGGGCTATGGCAGTGTTCTTCTCCCGATAGAGCCCAAGGCTGTCATCTCCTGGGGCCTCCCAGTGCAGCCTGACGGAGAGGTTGCCCGTGTGCCGGATCAGGCTGTAAATAAACCCCCTTCTCCTGCCTGAGCTCAGGAAAATCCTTCCCATCTCCTGCGGCGTGGCCCTTTGCAATGCAACTTCTCCACTTCTCCCACCAAAGGGCTGTCTCTACTCTTCAATCCGGGCTTGACCATGTGACTTCCTTTGGATAACGGGATCTTCTCCTCCTCCTCCTCCTCCTCCTCCTCCTCCTCCTCCTCCTCCTCCTCCTCCTTCTTCTTCTTCTTCTTCTTCTTCTTCTTCTTCTTCTTCTTCTTCTTCTTAATATATATTTTTATTGATTTTTTACAGAGAGGAAGGGAGAGGGATAGAGAGTTAGAAACATCAATCAGCTGCCTCCTGCACACACCCTACTGGGAATGTGCCTGCAACCATGGTACATGCCCTTGACCGGAATCAAACCTGGGACCTTTCAGTTCACAGGCCAACGTTCTATCCACTGAGCCAATCCGGTTAGGGTGGGACCTACTTTACTCCTTGTTACCAATTGTAATTATTCTGTATGTAGCAGTACATTTCTAATCTAATAGACAAAGTACTTTTATCAAAGATCCAGCTGTAAAAGCTTGGTTCTCCTGCCCTGGCCAGTTTGGCTCAGTGGATAGAGTGTCAGCCTACAGACTCAAGGGTCCCAGGTTCGATTCTGGTCAAGGGCATGTACCTTGGTTGCAGGCATATACCCAGTAGGTAGTGTGCAGGAGGCAGCTGATCGATGACTCTCTCTCATCGATGTTTCTAACTCTCTATCCTTCTCCCTTCCTCTCTGTAAAAAAATCAATACAATATATTTTTTAAAAATAGCTTGGCTCTGGCAAAGTGGCCCAGAAACCCTTTGGAATGGAGTCGAGTGGAATTGCATGTGGTGGCTATTAACCTTTTTATCTTACCCTTGAGGACTTGGGCTTGTCTTTTCTCTCTGGGGATGCAGAGAGTGTGGGAGAGGCCAGGCTGGGACCAGGGATTAGTTAGAGCTGGGACCAGGGAGGGGCAGGGCCTGAGGGGCAAACCCAGAGGTAAACGCTCTGGAGGGAAGTCAAACTGGCAGAAAGGTGATAAATCGGGAGGCTTGGCTGCAGACAGCAGGTGGCTGGCAGGTGGCTGGCACCTGGGAGGGCTGACATGGGGCCAGCAGCAGGTGTTTCCACAGCAGGCAAGGCTAAGGTGAAGAGTCCAATGTGGGCGACATTCAGAAGTTCAGGCACACGGTTACCAGGAGGGGCGCCTGCCAGCTGGGAGGCCACCCCATGAGGTGAAGGAAAAAGAACAGAGTTTGGAGTGGGAAGATTTGCTGGTTGGCTATGACGTTAATATACCTGACAACGTCTCTGCTCCAGTTATTTGTTCTGAGAAGTGAGGATAATGATGCTGACCTGTCAGAGGCATGGTGGGGGAGGTCATGGATGTGGAGGTGCTTTTTAAATCATGAAGAGTTGTTATAATGTAGACTTAGCCAGAATTCACAGGGAGGACCCTACTCCTGTGGTCAGGCCAGGCTGAGAGAGACGGCAAAGCAAGACATGGCCCTAGAAGAATGAGGGTCCACGGGGGTCACTGACTAGCAGACACAACAAGCAGAGGCTACTGTGGTGAGGAGACTCCGTGTATCAGTTAGCCTTTGCTGCGAAACAAACAGCCCCAATGCATAGTGCCCTGTTTCTCATGATTGTGTGCATCAGCTGGTGGCTTTTCTGGTATGGGCTTGCTGAGTTGGGGTTGGGTGCTCTAAGATGGCCTCACATGCCTGCCTGGTCAGCTGGGGAGGCTGTGGCAGCTGGGATGGCAAGGCCTCCCATCCTCTGGGAGGGTGGCCCCGGTTTCTTCATATGGTGGACTCAGCAGCAAAGGAGGACAAGCTCCAAATCCCAAGCACTTTACAAGCTTCTGCTCATATCACATTTGCTAATGTTCCATTGGCCAAAGCAAATCACATGGTCACATCCAGCTTGAAGAGTGAGTGATGTTTCCTTCTGGCACTCCAGTCTCTGGGACTTCTTTCAGTTATTGAACTCTTAATTATGATCCTAAGGGTCTTCTGCCAACATCAGAGAGGTTGGTTGGAGTGGGAGAGAGGACGGAATAACTTTCAAAGAATCGGCAGTTGGCTTATGGTTCTGGGGCAGGAGCTGGCATCTGTGGGTTCCAGTGCAGGCTCTATCGTTAGCACTCTGGTGGCAATCTTCGGAAAGTCTCTCAGCCAGTGCCAGTGGGAGGGCAAAGCAGCCCAAGCCCCATAAAGGGGAGTTTGTCAGGACCACGTGTGTACTTACTGCTTGACCCAGCAAGGCGTCTAGGTATTTACACGGAAGAGCTTCTCCACAGAGTTAGAACAGCTATGCCAGCGTTAGTCACTGTAGCTTTGTTACTAGAGGCCTGGTGCATGACATTCATGCACTGGGAGGAGGAGGAGGGTTCTCTTAGCCTGGCCTGTGCCCTCTCGCAGTCCGGGACTCCTTGGAGGATGTCTGACTGCTCGCTTAGGCCTGCTCCCCCTGTGGGAGTGCCGCTCAGCCAGACGCTGGGCTTGCTGCTCCTTAGCGCTGCCTCAGAGAGGCTCCCGCCACCACCGCTGCACTCGCCAGCCCTGAGCCCTGCTTCTGGCTGAGTAGTGCTCCCCCTGTCGGGGGTACTGACCACCATGGGGCAGCTCCTGAGTTAAGCGTCTGTCCCCTAGTGGTCAGTGTGCATCATAGTGACTGGTCGTTCTACCATTCTGTCGATTTGCATATTAGCCTTTTATTACCGTGTTTCCCCGAAAATAAGACATCCTCTGAAAATAAGACCTACTTACAGGTTTCCTTCTGAGTAAACTATAAGGCATCCCCCTGAAAATAAGGCCCCCCTAGGCTAAACATAAGAGATTTGGTCCACTGATTCTGAAAGAAATGGAGTCTCAAGAAATTCACCAGGAAATTCAGGAATTGGATTGTTATGATGATGTTCCAGAAGATGATGACATGATTGTCATTGAATAAATGAGTAAATTCTTGATACTGTAGGATTCACAGTTTGTCTGGTTTGTGTTGACAACTACTGTGCTACCGTACCGTATACAGGTAATAAATTTCCTTTATTTTCACTTAACAATTAGTGTGCACCGTATTCTTCTTCATGGAAAAATAAGACATCCCCTGAAAATAAGACCTAGCGCATCTTTGGGAGCAAAAATTAATATAAGACACTGTCTTATTTTCGGAGAAACAGGGTAGATAGCAGCAGTTGCCAACCTTTTGGACCTCACAGACCAGTGGTGGCTCGTGGACACTGGTTGGTGACCGCTGTTATATAGAATAGTAAAACATTGGAACAACCTGGGGAACTGATTGAATAAATTGTGATACTCCAAACATACAATAAGTCAAGTGAAGTAATTAAAAAAAAATAATAATAATGGAAAATCTCCACATAGAGTGATTTCCAGAGCACAATAAGTTAAAAACACAAACCAAACCAATTGAACAAAAACCCCAAGGGATCAAAGAGTGTATACAGTGCTCTACCTTTTATGTAAGGGTCTAAAATCAGGATTTGGGGATGAGGAGAGGCCTGGGGGGGTCAGGGGGGGCCCTGTTTGGTACCAGGGTTCTTGGGGAAGCGTCAGGTCTGACCTGTCCCACCGTCACCCCCAGGCCCACGAGAGGCTGGAGGAGACGAAGCTGGAGGCCGTGCGGGACAACAACCTGGAGCTGGTGCAGGAGATCCTGCGGGACCTGGCGCAGCTGGCCGAGCAGAGCAGCACGGCCGCCGAGCTGGCCCGCATCCTCCAGGAGCCGCACTTCCAGGTCTCCTCCCGGCTGGGTGCAGCTGGGGGGGCCACGGCGGGGGGGGGGGGCGTGCCGGCAGGGAGCGGGAGGTGGGGCAGGAAGGGGCTGCAGGGCACTGGCCCATGGTCCCTTCTCTCCCCACCACCTACCTCCCCAGTCCCTCCTGGAGACCCACGACTCTGTTGCCTCAAAGACCTATGAGACGCCGCCCCCCAGTCCCGGCCTGGACCCCACGTTCAGCAACCAGCCGGTGCCCCCCGACGCTGTGCGCATGGTGGGCATCCGCAAGACGGCTGGAGAGCACCTGGTGAGGGAGCCGGGCGGGGCCAGCTGTGGGTCCGGGTGGGGGCACTGAGAGCACCAGCAGGGGTCCAGTCCAGCCTGGAGAGGGCTGAAATGATGGAAGCATCAGCTCTGCCCAGGGACCTGCCCATGCAGACCCAGGGGGTCGCAGACTGCATATGGGCTGCATACGTGCATGTGCCAGAGCCCTCTTCGTTCTGCCCCGTTAGGGCTCCTGTAAGGGAAGCGTTTGGGCCGAGGATGGAAGAGGAGAAGTCTGCGAGGGTGACGAGGGAGGGTGGGGATGGAAACGGGGGTCCTGGACATCTAGACGGGGGTCCTGGAACCTTCTAGTCTCCATCAGGAGATTCTGACGTGAGCAGTTGGGGCTCATCTCACCCACCCCCCGTCCCCCAGGGCGTGACATTCCGCGTGGAGGGGGGCGAGCTGGTGATCGCACGCATCCTGCACGGGGGCATGGTGGCCCAGCAAGGCCTGCTGCACGTGGGCGACATCATCAAGGAGGTGAACGGGCAGCCGGTGGGCAGCGACCCCCGGGCGCTGCAGGAGCTCCTGCGCAGCGCCAGCGGCAGCGTCATCCTCAAGATCCTGCCCAGCTACCAGGAGCCCCACCTGCCCCGCCAGGTGAGTCCCTCCACCGAGGTGCCCGCCAGCGCAAGGCCCCGGGGGGAGCCGAGCCTCCCTGTCAGGGTCACAGGCCTGGGGGGGGGGGGAGCCACGCTGCAACCCGGGGTTGAAAAGCAAGCTAGGGGGTGTGCTCTGCGGCTGGGGAGGCAAGCGACCCAGGCACCCACGGGCATCTGCCCTCGTCTTGGGTGCTCACGTGCGCGTGCGGGGGGTGTGCGTGCAGTCAAGGCCTGCGGTGCCCAAGTGTACAAGTGCGTGCCCGGTGTCCGGCTGTCTGCGTGCCCGTGTGTCCGTGTGGGTGTGCAGAGTCGGACTGCCAGGCGCCCTATCCCGCCACCTCTCTGGGGTGGGTTGTGGAGATCTGGCTGCTTCGCCCGCTTCCCCTGTTGGCCCTGTAGCAGCCTGCCAGAGCCGCTGCCTCCCAGGGGCAGAGGGGAGAGGATGGAGGGATCCTGCCTTAGGTGTTAGGGTCTCTGTCCCTTCCGTGGGGATCCTGCCTCCTCCTCCTCCTCCTCCTCCTCCTCCTCCTCCTCCTCCTCAGAAGGTGGGGCCCGGGCCCCAGGCCTGAGCGGATCTCCCATCCTTCTGATTGAGGCCTTTTGTTCTCGATGCAGAGGGAGGCTGGTACCAGGGAGGCGGGCCAGGCGGGCCTGGGGGCATCACGCCTTTGTTAAAGGGGCAGTACCAGGGCCTCTCTTGTCTGTGTGGGGGAAGGGGGGAAGAGGGTGGACGCTTTGACCCCTCTCATCCCCCATGAGAGGTGGGGACGGTGGGGTGGGGGATGGGAGAGGGCCCATCCCCTCCAGCCTTCCCTGCTCCTTCCCCTGACCCCTCCCTGACCCCGGGCCCAGGTGTTTGTGAAATGCCACTTCGACTACGACCCGGCCCGCGACAGCCTCATCCCCTGCAAGGAGGCCGGCCTGCGCTTCAGCGCCGGGCACCTGCTCCAGATCGTCAACCAGGACGACGCCAACTGGTGGCAGGTGAGCCGCGGGCGCCCGCGCAGCCTCTCGGGCGGGTGAGGGGGTCGGGGAGGGTGTGGGAGGCGCCCCTCACTCAGGCGCGCGGTGGCCCTGTCCGTTGTAGGCCTGCCACGTGGAAGGAGGCAGCGCCGGGCTCATCCCCAGCCAGCTGCTGGAGGAGAAGCGCAAAGCCTTCGTCAGACGGGACCTGGAGCTGACGCCCAACTCAGGTAGGAGCCCCTGTCCTCCTCTGGGACCTGCCTGCACCCGGCCCGGCCTCACTCGCCCCTCTCTCTGCGGCCAGGGACCCTGTGCGGCAGCCTTTCAGGGAAGAAGAAGAAACGAATGATGTACCTGACCACCAAGAATGCAGGTGGGTATTGTGGGCGCCCTCCCCCGTCCTCCTCGCACATGGCTCCTCCCCTCTCTGCCCCCACCCATGCCTTGTGGGTAGCTCCCCTGGCTCTGCCGCCGCCAGGCCTGTCCTTCGATCCTGCCCAGTTCCTTCCTGCTGCCCCTGAGAGCCCCGCCCCGCCCCGCCCTCTCTGCCCCGTGAGCAGCGCCACCTCCCTGTGCGCAGAGTTTGACCGCCACGAGCTGCTCATCTACGAGGAGGTGGCCCGCATGCCCCCTTTCCGCCGGAAAACCCTGGTGCTGATCGGGGCTCAGGGCGTGGGGCGGCGCAGCCTCAAGAACAAGCTCATCATGTGGGACCCGGACCGCTACGGCACCACGGTGCCCTGTGAGTGGGAGCGGGGCCTGCTGGGTGGGGGTCGGAAGTGGGAGTGCCCCCCCCCCCCCCAGGCCAGGACGGGGCGCACGGAATGGGCACATGCATGGGCACCTCGTGGAGTAGCGCTTTGGGTGTGAGGTGTGGGGCGCGCGCCCTCTAGGGGCTGCTGGGGGAACTGCAGGCTGGGGTGTTTGGGGGAGCTGTCCCTTGAGCCTGTGGCCAGATGGGCTGGACTAGCCTTGCCTTTTCTCACGTCTCACTTGCTTAAAAGCCCAGCGGGGCCCTGATGTGAAACGGGGCCATGAGCTGTGTGTGGCCTCAGCGAAGGCGGAGCCTCTCGGTGACAGAACCAGTTGGGGTGAAAGCTCCTGCTTTTTGGGGGGCAAGAGCCAGGCCAGCTTGGCCTTGCTTTACGGTTCCACATGGTCCTCTCGGGGCCTCTGCTCCCCCTCTGTGAGCCCCGGGCTGGCTTCTCTCAATATGGATGTCTAAAGAGCCTGTGTGTGTGTGTGCCAGCGGTGAGGGCGAGGGCACGGTGTGTGGGAGGCGCAGAACACGTGTGTGTGTGTGTGTGTGTGTGTGTGTATGTGTGTGTCTGAGGCGGTGCCCGCTCGGTCCCGCCTCCCTGCAGACACATCCAGGCGGCCCAAAGACTCGGAGCGGGAAGGCCAGGGCTACAGCTTCGTGTCCCGCGCGGAGATGGAGGCTGACATCCGTGCGGGGCGCTACCTGGAACACGGCGAGTACGAGGGCAACCTGTACGGCACGCGCATCGACTCCATCCGGGGCGTGGTGGCCGCCGGCAAGGTGTGCGTGCTGGACGTCAACCCCCAGGTACTGCCGGCCTGCTTTCCCCCGTCTGCCCAGTATCCCCCCGGGTACTCTGATTCCCCCGCGCCCCTCCCCGTATTCCCGGCACTTATCTCCCAAGCCCCCCTCCACTGCTGCTAGGGACCAAGCCCCCTCTCCCCCTCTCTCTCAGCCTCCAAGCCCCCTACTCCTCTGGTCTCCTCAGTTACCCCTTCCCCAGCTGCTTGCCAGCTGGTCCTCTAACATGCTCCCCCAGGACTGATGTCTCACTCATTCCCAGGGACCCGTCTCCAGCCCCACCACCCCACAGGTTCCCTTCTCTCCTGCAGGCGGTGAAGGTGCTGAGAACAGCCGAGTTTGTCCCTTACGTGGTGTTCATCGAGGCCCCCGACTACGAGACCCTTCGGGCCATGAACCGGGCCGCACTGGAAAGTGGGGTGTCTACCAAGCAGCTCACGGTGAGGGGCTCTGAGGTGCAGGGGGAGGGGGCAGGGGTGTGGAGGACGGGGAGAGGCACCGTCCTCCCCAGGTATCGGTGAAGGAGGATGCGACGTTCCCACCTTACAGTGTGGAAGCGGAAGTCTGAGCGGGGAAGGAAGTGCCTGCGTTCCCATGGAGTCAGGGGCACAGCTAGCCAGAGGGGCAGAAGCTTCTGCCAGGCTCCCTGCTCCACCCATGCTGTGGGGACAGTGCTGACCAAAGGGAGCCCCGAGGGCCGGTGGGATTCTGTGGGCAGAAGCAGGGGGATTCTGGGAAAGGCTGAAGGGAGGGAGGAAAACAGGCTGGAGGGCTGCTAGGGGGATGAGTTAGCCTTGGGGAGGCGGCAGTGCTGGGAGGAGAGGCTTCAAGTCAGGTATTGCAGGACTCCAGGGCACACCCCCCCCTCACCTCCACCCCTCTTGGATCAGCCTGTTCCCCAAGAGGGATGGGGTTTGCAGAACTCCTTGCGCAGGAGTCCCTCTGCTGGCCATACCTGGTACTGCCACTCAGGGTCCCCATCAGCATTGCTCAGGCCTTGGAGAGGCAGTTTGGGCTGGGCCTGCCACCCTGGCCACAAACACCGAAGACTGATGCTGCTGGGACCTGCTGGGCCAGCCCCAGCGCCCCCATCTCCGCTATTTAAGGCAGCGTTCAAGTCCCTTCTCACCCCTGCCCCTGCTGACCAGCTTGGGCTGGGTCTGGGGTGGGGGTTGCACCAGTACCAGGTCTGACAAGTGCCCCTCGGGCTGCCTGATCAGACTGGAGGCAGCATTGGCTTGGGAGTCATGCAGGCTCTGTGGAGCCACTGGCTGCTGATTGCGTGAACTCTTGGCGCCTCCGTTTTCTCTGTTGTAAATGGGGACTGATGAGCCCTGCCTTGCAGAGCTGGAGTGGAAATTCTGTGAGTTGGAGAGATGTTAGTGCCATGTGTGGCTCTTACTAGGGGCTATTTCCTTCCTTCCTTTTACCTGTCTGTCTGTCCCTGGTTGCAGGAGAGGACCTTGGGACATGTAGGGAGGGGCTCCTCGCCAGGGAGCCTGCACCCACCGAGGTCGGCCTTTGGGGTGGGGTCTCCGTGGGGCAGGCAGGCTGCAGACGGGGGACGATGGGGGTGACGGGGGACACTGACCGGCGGGGGCTCCCCTGTGTTGGCAGGAGGCGGACCTGAGGCGGACCGTGGAGGAGAGCAGCCGCATCCAGAGGGGCTACGGGCACTACTTCGACCTCAGCCTGGTCAACTGCAACCTGGAGAGGACCTTCCGCGAGCTGCAGGCCGCCATGGAGAAGCTTCGGACGGAGCCCCAGTGGGTGCCCGTCAGCTGGGTGTACTGAGCCTGCCAGACTGGACCTTGTCCCCTCCGGGCTGCGACCCAGACACCCGGGCCCATCCCCTCCCCAGCCACGCCCCTCAGCCACGGTCCTTCGCTCCGGCCCCCGGGGAGCGGCTCCTCGCGGCCCCGGGTCTGGCTTCGGCGCGGAGGCTCGCACTGCCAGGGAGGTGGGTGTTCGTGGGGCACCTCTGTGCCCAGGTGCTGCCCCCTCCTGATGCCCATCGGCCACCAGATGTTCCTCCCGGAGGCCCACGCGGTGCCCGGGACCGTGTCAGACCAGAGGCGGGGAGAGCTGCTTGGGGACCATGTGGTCAGGAGGTGCGCGGCCCCTGCCACCGCTCTGCAGTCAGCTTCTCTCCTCTGGACTGGCCACATCACCCTACTCCCGAGCTCCCCCCCTCACCCCTCTCCTCAGAGCAGGCCTTAGGCTTTTCCCCTGTGGCCAGGGGAGGGGCAGCCGCCCAGGGCAGCCAGGCGGGCCTGGGCAGTGGGGCCACCCTGGTGCCATCCCGAAGGCCGCAGGAGCCAAAGCAGGAGCCGGGTGTCACCGCCGGAGCAGGGCGGCTCTCCACTCCCTGGAACGAGGCAGAGGCCCCCCACGGACACTGCCCTGTGGTTCCCTCGCCCACAGCTTTTCACTGCCGAAGTCTCTCCGCAGACCTCCCCCATGCGCCCGGCAGGCCGGCAGGGGCAGCAGGCTCCACCAGGTCAGGGGCCGTGGGAGGCCGCGCCCTGACCCTAGGAGCCGGCTGCCCGGGGCCCGTGGTGGACGCACCGGGGCTCCCCGTTCCTGACCACTGTCCATCGGGGTCTTTGCTCTGGCCAGGCCCACGTGTCAGGACTGTCGGGGGGCTCAGGGAGGCTGCGGAGGGGAGCTGTGAGCCCTGGGCCGCGAGTATCGTGTCCTGACCGGCTCCTCACCGCCCAGTGCCAGGGGGTGGCGTCCAGACTCTTTCTGTGCCGTGTCCGTCCACATGCGACCCCTGGTCTGGGTTTCCGCCACCGGCACTGTGTGTGTCAGGACTGGGTTTTGGAGAGGAGACGCTTTGGAGGTCACTCTCTGGGTCCCCGTTCCAGGGTTTCCCATCAGCTCCCAGGTCTTAGGAGACACTTTCCCTAGATTCTAGAGCCTTGTCCCGCCCGGATGTCTTCCTCCAGTTCTTCTATTGTCCCCTGACCCCGAGTGCCACTCTCCTGTCCTGTGAGGGCAACTGTGTAAAATAGGAACACACCCCCCCTTTTTTTTTTTTTTAGAGAAAGGAAGGGAGAGAGAGCGAGAGAGAGAGAGAGAGAGAGAGAGAGAGAGAGAGAGAGAGAGAAAAACATCGATTGGTCGTCTTCCCATGTGCCCCAACTGGTGAATGAACCGGCAACCTGGGTGTGTGCCCTGATCAGGAATCGAACCCACAACCTTTTGGTGTACGAGTTGATGCTCCAGCCAACTGAGTCCTACTAGCCAGGGTGAGAATCCTTTTTGAGAAAAGAATGCTGTCCTCACTTTCCCCAGGCATCTCATCCCTCATCCTTCTCTGCGGTCCTTCCTGGGGTGAGCCTGTCCTTGCCGGGGGATCCCCCAGCCCCCCGTGCTCCCCGCTCCTTCTGAATGTCAGTCAGTGTTCGCTGCAGCCTCAGCCCGAGCTGGCCCCTGAACCACTGTGTGCCCGTTTCCTGGGGAAGGGGAGGGAGAAGAAACAGAATATTTATTACAAAGTTAGAAATATATTTATTATATTAGGGATCTCATTGCATTTGCATAAGATGTGCAAATGAGATGTCCAGGTCAAGCCTGCTCCCATCTCATTTGCATAGCTCTGCATCCACTATGCAGTCATCTTTATACTCCTCTTTTCCCTTTCGTCAGCCTTCTTTTTATCCTGAATTCAACTCTTCCATCGCCCTCCCCCTCAGCCCCGGGGGACTGGGAGTGGGAGGGAAATGGGGTGTCCTTTGCCAGGCCCCTGGTTAACCTCTGACCAAAAGATGGGGTCGGGGGAGCTGGGCGCATTGCTGGGGAGTTGGCAGGTGGCACATTGGGGTGACTCTCCAGGGTTGATGCTCTCTGGCACCCTCACCTCTAGTGAATCCCCGGGGGCAGGGCTGGGCCCCTCTCCTGCCTCCGTCCCTCTCCGAACAGCGTGCTACCTCCCTGCGTAAGCCCCACTCCCTGGAGCAGGTGTGCGCCCACCAAGTTCGCTCTGACTCCGTCCTCTCTCCTCTCCCGTGGACGCTTGTATCTGAGGGACCGCAGGATCATGAGGCCCTGCCCCCACAGTCCACACTAAGTCTGAGCCCATTTGCCCTCCCCCTCCCCCCTCCCCTGCTCCCTCAGCCCCCAGTTCCTGAGCTTTCTTTCTGACTGGTTTTCTTTCTTTTCTGTTGATTAAATGTGAAAAAAAAGGCATCTGGGCTGTTTGTCTTTATTTATTTATTTATTTATTTATTTATTTATTTATTTATATTGATTTCAGAGAGGAAGGGAGAGGGAGAGAGAGATAGAAACATCAATGATAGAGAATCATTGATCGACTGCATCCTGCACGCCCCACACTGGGGATCAAGCCTGCAGCCTGGGCCTGTGCCTTTGGCCAGGATAGAACCTGAGACCCTTCAGCCCGGAGGCCGATGCTCCACACACTGAGCCAAACCGGCTAGGCATGGGCTGTTTGTCTTTGGCTGGGGTCGGCGGATGGCTTCTGGAGAGGGCGAAAGCAGGGAACAGAGCACAGATGGCTCTGGAATGGATGCTGAGGGACATGTCTTGTGTTCTGTGATGTCTTCTGAAATTCCCTGTCCCGCCATTCCGCACTCCACATCCCCCAGGATGCTCTTTCTAAACGGTGGTGTCCAGTAGCCTGGGAGCATCCTCCCGGCCAGGGGCCTGGGACTCCATGGCTGATCCACTCAGCATCCCCGAGAACGAGCTGTGCGGTCTCAGCAGGTCCCTCTCCTCCCCTGGGCCTCGGCAAGCTTTCTTATTTTTATTTTTTTTGGGGGTGGGTATAGATTGGTAAACCCACGTGGTCTCATCGAGATGGGCAGATCTGCTGTTTCTGCGTCAGGCTTACGGGCCCCACTCGGATCACCGTGGCAACCCTCCCAGCGGCTAGTGCTGGTGCCTGTCGTATTTTCAAAGAGTTGTAGGTGCAGAGCACCTCGCTCTTAGCTCACAGGTGCCCCGAAGCACCTCTGGGTACAATGAGGGCACAGTGAGGAACGTTCATGAGGAGCCATGGGGTCCTTCCAGCCGCTTCTGCTGGTTCAGTCCCTGGTCCTGCAGAGCAGCCTGGGCTTGGTCCTGGCCAGCAGTGCTGGTGTTAGTCAGACACGAGCAGAGCAAGGACGAAGGGCCAGGCACGGAAACTCGGGCCGGAGAGCTCTGATGCCGGCAAGGGGCAAACTGAAAAAACAAGAACCTTGTCCCAGAGTGACCATCCTCCCCTAGCATATCGCTAGTCTCGTGGTCTAGGCCCTCTGACCTTCTCCTCCTGGAAGATACCGTCCAGGCCTCAGTACGTCAGCTCCAGGCCCAGAAAAGCAGCAAAACTGGACACATGACACCTTGGCTGCCTCAGGACCAGCTGCATTGAGTAATGATCTCTCCCTCCCCCGTCCCTAACACCAACCAATCAGTGGAGACCATGACCCCGAAAGAGCACAGCTGGAAAGACCTGGCCTAAGATTTTCAGGAGAGAGAGAGAGAAGAGAAGAGAGGAGAGGAGAGGAGAGGGAGAGGGAGAGGGGGAGGAGAAGAGAAGAGAAGAGAAGAGGAAGAGAAGAGAAAGAGAAGGAGAACAGAGGAGTAAGAGGAGAAGAAGAGAAGAGAGGAGAGGAGATAGGAGAAGAGAAGCGAAGAGAGGAGAGGAGCGGAGAGGAGAGGAGGAGAGGAGAGGAGAGGAGAGGAGAGAAGAGACGACGTATTCTGACCGCTATAGACACGCGTACTGGCTAGCGTTCTCGCTCTTCTCTCGCTCTCTCCTCTCTCTCCGCTCGCTCAGCTCTCTGCGCTCCCTCTACTCTGCTCATGCTCTCTTGCTCTCTTCCTCTCGACTCGTATCTTATCCCTCTTATCCTCTCATCTCCTCTCTTCTCCGATCTCTCGTCTCCTCCTCTACCTCTCGCGTCCTGCCATCGCCTCTTCTCAGCCCTCTCCGCCCTCTCCGCCCTCTCTCCTCTCGCTCCCTCCCTCCAAATCGCCATACGCTCCGCCAACTGACCCACATTTGCTACCTTTGTCCACTTCCCTCCTTCTCCTTCCCAGACAGGGACATGGCCCCTAACCCTGTAACCTCTAAGGCAGCAGTTGCCAGCCTTTCAGACCTCAAGGACCACCAGTGGTCTGTGAGCCACGCGTTGCTGACCGCTGCTCTGAGAGACCCCATGACACTTACAGCCGGGGGAGCAATGGGCAGCGGCAGCTCATCCCGGGCTCACCCCCGAACCCGTCTCCAAGGCCCCCTCTTCCCTGACTTCTCCGTGCGCCGGAGCCGCCCCGCCTCGGCTCCCCTGTCGCTTCTTCTGTGCCCTCCCTCGTTTCACTGTCCGAGGTGCACTTGTTGCCATCATGGAGCCAGTCCCCTTTGGCTCAGTGCTGCGTAGCCTTTCTCGTTGGTTGTCCCCATCCCCCGTCCCCTTTTCCTGAAATAAAGTCATGTTTTCTTTACCCACCATCTGAGAGGGCTTATTTATTGTAACAGCCTGCCCGGGCCTCATGGCAGTCACCAGCAGTGACTGCGGTGGTGACGGAGGAATTTTAGCTGGTGACGGCTTGGTCTTTTGGGGAAACTTTGAGCAAAGACAAGAGGCACATTACACAAACCTTATAAGTTCTAGGGCTGCATCTAGCCAAAGTTATAGACGACATAAAAGATTACTCCGGCTAGACTGCCTGCGAGGCTCCATATGCAGGCCAGGTGAGGGGCAATTCCTCCGGCCACACCCACAGGGACTGGGTAGAGGCTGTGAGAGATGCGGATGGCGAGGCCCCGGTGGGAGTGGAATTGGTCCTGCCATTTCAGAAAGCTGTGTTAAACCGCCACAAAGAAAACCTAACTCCGCAGCTGCCTGCCTTTTTTTTTTTTCTTTCTTTCCCTGAACAGGTTTTATTACACGCGGGGGATGGGGCTCAGTCCTCGGCTACTGTCTGCCTTGTGGCTGCAGGGACATTGCTCAGCGCCTCTCTCTTCCTCTTGGCGTGGATGGGTGTCCCCACCCTTTTCTGGGTAAATTGCAGGGCCCTCTTGTCCTCAGAGACCTTGGGCAGCTCTATATGCACTGCGCCTAGGGGGCAGAGCCACACACCTCGGAAACCGTGGCCTGCAAGAACGTGGGTGGTTGGTGAGGCGCTCACAGCTTTGTCCCCTCGTGGCCCTGCTGAGACCCACAGCCACGGGGGAGCGCAGAGCCATGGCAGAGGCCGTGGGGTCGATGGTGGCGGATCCCCCGGACCGACCGACCGACCTGCTGAACGCCTTTTTGAAAAGAAAGCGTTTGCTGGGCCCTATTGCCGGCCAGAGGAGGCCCAGGCCCCCAGCGTGAGGTCTGAGCCGCCAACAGCAGGATTTGGTGGGGAGGCCACGTGACCCTGCCCCGGAGTCCACGTGCGTTTTCCAATGATTTTATTTTGGGGAAGAAGGATGCCGTTTGTTTGGACGGAATTTGCATCGGCTGCAGAAGGGGCCGCGATAAGGGGGAGCGGGGACAGTTCGGTGATAGGAGCCGGCGCTGGGGAAGGAAGGACTGTCCACTGCTCTGACGGGTTTCAGGCAGCGGTCCAGGACGTCCATCCGTGCGCAGGATGCGGGGATGGCTGGGGTCAGCGGGCCGATGCCCGGAGGTGGACTCAGCTCCAGGAACATTCAGGGAGGTCAGCAGTCTTTCGTCAGCTGGCCCACAGCTACGAACGGGTTAATTAACTCACCACTGCCATCATTCACCGGTGAGTTATTCCTGTCTCCTTCGCTGGCTCTCTTGCCTGCTGTAATTTAATTTAGAACATCGCAGAATTGTTCTTTTGCCGGCTGTGTAGCAATAGGTATCAGCAACTTCAGAAATATTTATACCCCATGACCCGGCACTTTCACATTCGCAAACCCGCCTTCCAGAAACCTCCACGTGCAGATAAAGCCTTGTGCAGAGCAAACGTGGGAAATCGTTATCTAGGGAAAGAGAACAATGAAATTAAAGCACCCTGATATGACAAACTTTGACACAGCTGATAAAGACTTTATTTATAAGCAGGTTTGTAAAAACATGGAGAAATGCTTATTTGCTCTAAGAGTTAAGTGGGGGAAAGCAGGATATGAAGTTGTACATGCAAAATAATTTGCAAAAGAACACCGGCAAACGATGCTGAGAAAAAAAAGACTGGAAGGAAATACAACGAAATGCAGTCATGAGGGTCCCTGGGTAGTGGTGAGAAGATTAATGACTTTTCTTCTTCTATTTTCTTCTTTTCCCTCCAAGTTTTGTGCACCGGGCAGGCTATCCCCTCTCAACCACGCCCCCACCCCAATTTCACTGTAAAAAAAAGAAGAAAGAAAAAGAACATAGCTCTGGGGCCAGACTCAGGGTCACCTTAGGTTCCCGTAGGTTCCTGCTCTGACCCCTTCGTTCTCCATTTCAGGGACCCCCCCTGCACCTACCCTCCCCCCGCCCCTCACCAGCACCCACAGGCAACGAACCCTTTCTCAACAAGGAAGGAGCCAGGCTTTTCTCCATCCTTCTCCCAAAGCCTGGAGTGCATGCCTGGCTGGGTGGGGAGATCAGAAAGGCGACTCCCTGCCTCCCCATGTGCACCGGCCCCGGCTGGCCTCAGGCAGGCCCAGGACAGCCTCCAGCTGGGTCCTGGTGGGCAGAGCATTCCTGTGGGGCAGGCGGAAGACCCCACATTCCAAATGCAAGTCCTAAGCTGGAAGGACAGAGAGTTCAGGGGGCCCAGGGGTTCCCCACCTTAAATCACCCCGAGTCCTGGGCCCAGCGCCAGGGCCGGTTTAGAAGGAGGTGATGGAGCCCAGGAATCACTTTGTTAAGCAGCTTCCTGAGGCCTGGGACGCAGTGGTTCCCAGCTGCTCTTGGAGAAGTCAGAACTGGTCCAGCCACAGGCTCCCTCCGCCCCTCCAGCTTCTGCAGGAGAAAGTGGCACTGCCTCTGGGGATGGAGGGCAGGGAGGAGCCGGTGGGCCTGGAGGGGGCGGAGGGGAGCGGGCTGCTGGGTCCGGGCCCGGAGGTTGCCGGCAGCAGGTGCACCCAGACCAGGTCTTCTGCGCCCGCCTGGCCCTGGCGAGGGCCTGGGGATGTGAACGTGCTGGGGGAGGTCCCGGGCTCGTTGGTACCGCGAGGCCACGGGGCAGGCTGACACGGGCGTCCAGGTCGGGCTGGGCGTCCAGGGGAGCCAGGAGCCTGCGGAGGCCTGGCGCCCGGCGGGCGGATGCGGAGGAGCGAAGATGCAGCCGCTCCGGGCTCGGCGGGCGGCAGGCCCGGCCCGGAGGGCGCTCGGCGGCTAGACGGGGATGAACACGGAGGATCTGAGCTCCTCCTCGGACACGTGAAAGGGAGGCCCTGGGTTTGCATCCCCCGCTGGGTCCTGGGAAGAGGCCTCCTCTTCCTCCGGAGTCTGGAAGGAAAGACAGCAGCGGGTTGGAAGCAGAGCCCAGGCGGGGGGATCTGTGCAGCCGCTGGTCCACCCCAGAGCCTCTCCCCAGCTCCAGGCCTCTGTCCATCTGAGGGCACAGGAACGAGCAGCTCCTCCCCAGAATCCCCAGGCTTGATTCACCCCCCTACCCCCTGGGCCTCCTTCTACTCCCCATCTCTCCCCCCTCAGGGAGCCCAGGCCCGGCTCTGGCTTTAGATGTTGGAATCCTGCCAGCCCCGAGCTCTCTAAGCCAATGGTCGCCAACTGGTGGCCCCTGAGCTTCGAGAGGTTGGCGGCCGCTGGTTTAGGCTGTGATTCCCCACAAGCCAGCCAAGAATTTCCGGGACGGGAAAGGAAGTAAGGTCAAGAGCTCTGGGTCCGTGTGGAACGGGCCGAGGCCTGGGGTTATGATGGAGCAGGGGGGTGGGGAGCAGAGTTTGGGGAGTGATGCTAAGGGAAGAGCCCTGTCCCACCTCCCGCACGGTCAGCGCGGGGCCAGGCCAGGTGGCCTTAGACCGAGGGCCCATGTGCACACCTGGCCTGGGCGCCGCATCGCCAGGATCTCCGCGGAGGGGCTGGCATTGGGGGGCTGGGGGCCGGCTGGGGGCCCGATGGGGGCCGAGAGGTTGACCACCGCGTACTCCGGGACCAGGCGGCTCTGGAACAGAGACTCGGTCAGAACAGCCCGTTCTTGGCAGCAGGGCCGGTCTGGGAAGGGAAACGCCGGCGGGGTGGGCAAGGGGGAGGACGTGGCCGTGAGGTCGGTCCCTGATCCCATTGCCTGGGTCTCAGGGGGACCGTGGCTGGGCCACCGATCCTCCCCAAGACTCCGTTTCCCAAGCTGTAAAGTGGGGGCGGGGATTTCACCCTCAGGGTTGTAATGAGGCCTCCTGACGATGTTTTATCGCTCTGCAGGGGGACTCCTGCCAGGATGAGTTTGTTTTCATTATTGCCATTTCCAGCTCTGGCCGCAGGCTCTCTGCAATAGGCTCAGAGAGAGCAGAGCTGGACGTCTCAAAGATGCACCCAGTAGCAAACAGCGGGAGAAGAATTCTCCAGAGATCTGAGGAACCCCTCCTGGGTCAGAGGGGGAAACCGAGGCCCGGGGAAGAGAGGCGGGTGGTGCAGCGGGCGCTGGGACCTCCCCAACACGTTCACGTTCACGGGAAGACGGGCAAGTTACGTGGCCTCCCTGGCCCCGGTGCTCCCCTCTGACACGCTCCCCAGGTTGCAGCTGGGAGAGTGTGAGATGAGACAACCCATCCGGCCAGGACAGCTGTGCGGGAGAGACTGGGCCAGGGGCCTCGGCCACCCCCAGCCTGTGCCCTGCCCCGATGATGTGAGGACCTGGGAGCAGGATGGGGGAGTGGGCCTGGCATCCCAACCTGAGGACCAAGGATATTTTTCCCACTGGTTCTCAGAGAGAGAGAGAGCAGAAAGGAGGGGGAGAGACAGGGAAAGAGAGAAACATCCATGTGAGAGAGACACGTTGACTGCAAAACTGAGACCCTCCAGTCCTCTGGCTGACGCTCTGAGCTCGGAGGCAAACCGCCAGTCCTTCACCCCCACCTCCAGACGCCGCTCAGAACCACAGAAGCCAAAGAAAAGCACAAGTTTCCAGCTGGTCCCATTCACAGGATCTGGACTCAGACCCCCTGGGGAGACCTGTTCCGTCCTCCTCCTAACAAAGCCCCCGCCCAGCACCTCTGCTCCCACGGGGGCAGGGGCAGGGGCAGGGGCAGGGGGCAGCCCTCTCTGCGGGCTGGACGGCCCGGAGCGGGGGGACAGGCCTGGGGCGGGCGCTCCCACAGCCGCTGGAGGTCCTCTCTCCTGCCCCAGCGCCTCTCGGGGGGCCTTGGGGAGGGGCGAGCCCCAGGGGAACGGCCCGTGGCAGCCCTGTCCGTCTCCTTGACCTTTCTCTCCCTCCTGCCCGCCACCTTTAGCCTTGTCCAGCTTCCTGAGACAACAACAGCTGCTTCCTGAGCCACACCCAGGACCCCACTCCCGCCCCGCCCAGCCCCTCCCCAGAGGGACCGGGCCTGAGGCTTTTGTCTTGGCTGGCGCCAGGAAAGAAGTCGGAGTAGCCCCTTTCCTGGCCCCCGAGTTTAGGAAATCCGAGTGGAGGCATCTCCGTAAACAGCGGAGGGAGGAGGGGGCGGGTGAGGCAGGTGGGGCTTCGGTTTCCTGAACCCGTGATGCTGCCGCCCTCTCCTCACGTGGAAAGGGGGGTCAGGGCAGGGCCAGGGCAGGGTCCCTCTCCAGGGAGATGGGCAAGCTACCCACCCCCACTCCTTCCGCCCCTGGGTTCCCAGAGCACCACCTTCAGGCCGCGTCTCAGAGCCAAGGAAACGCTCAGGGAGCACAGGAGGGCATTCTGAAGAGAGGAGAGATGGGAGGTGAGAAATCTGGGTCCGGGTCTCTGTGTGGGCCGCCACTTGCTGTGTGACCTGGGGCAGGATGTTTGCCCTCTCTGGGCCTCCGTTTCGTCTTTGGCACAAGCAGACCAGAGCCTGTAGCTGTCATACTCCGGTGTGTGCGTCAGAATCCACAGGGGGCCCAGCTGGGAGAGGATATTCCTGACACCACCTTCCCCCCCACCCTCAGGGGCTCTGAAAGAAGGTGTGCACCCAGCTCAGAGGAGGGCTGGCCTAGATGACCTCAGAGGCCCACTCTGGACCCAGCGCTGATCCCTCTGATTGGAAAAGGGGTTGAGAGGGCCCGGCCCTCGGTGAGGAGGAAGGCTGTCAGCTCACAGCCTGGAGGGCTGATCTTGGGGCTCAGAGACGCCCTGGCAGGAGCTGTCCCTGCCTCGAGGCCAGCCACGGAGGACCAGGGAGGGAGGTGCGGAGGCGGAGCCTGGAGTCCTAACTTCCAGCCCTGAGGGTCCCAGCGGGCCTTGGCCTGCTTCCTGACTCACCACGTGGGAGAGGTGGACCTTGTCATTCTTCTCTGTCTCCGTGTCCAGTTTACCTGGAAGAGATGAGAAGGAGCACCTTGAGGCCAGGAGCAGCCAGGAATAGCCTGCAGCTGCTCCCACCGAGGGGTCTGGCCTCCCTGCATCTCTGGGCAGGGGCTTCCGGAGGGAGCTGGCAGGCAGGTTGGGCAGAAGTGCCCCTTCTAGCTCAGCCCATGGCAGTGACTGGGCCTTTTAGGGTCAGTATGTGGACACCCCCTCGTGTGGGCCAGAACCAGGCTGGGAAGGTAAAATTCTGCGTGCCAAAGTCATTGCTTCTTTTTTCAGCCCTCACACAAAGAGTGAGAACATGCCTTCCATTGATTTTTAGAGAGAGTGGAAAGGATGGGGGAGGGGAAGAGAGAGAAACCGGTGTGTTAGAGACCATCAGTTGGTTGCCTCCTGCCCGCACCCCAACCGGGGGGTGGGGGGTAAAGGGGGTGGGAGTGGGGATTGAACTTGCAACCAAGGTATATGCCCTTGATCAGGAATCAAACCAGAGACCCTTCGGTCCATGGACAGATACTCTAACCACTAGGCAAACCAGCCAGGGCGGAAGTCATTGCTTCTTAGACCTCAGAGTGCATCCAGGGCCCCAGGACATGTGATTAAATGCAGATTCTAACTCAGTAGACTGGCCTTGGGGCCCAAGACTGCTACCAGGCTACCAGGAGGGGTCACTGCTGCTAGCTGGGGACCACAGTTTGGGAGGCAACATGCTAAGAGGGTCTGAGGCTTGGCCAGGATGCTCCCACCTGTACGCTCCTCCCCGACTGCTCTGGGGATTTGGGGACGTGGGCAAAGCTGACATTTCTTCCTGGGGCCGCCCGGGATGTCCCCTTGGCCCATGGCCGTCTGCACAGGGACAGCACTGCCAGTTTGCAAAGTGCCTTCCCCAGCATCTTCCTGGCTCCACTACTTCCTGGCGATGCAGGCACACGGCCTCGATCTCTTTCCCTGTGCAATGGGAGTGCTCGTAATAAGTAGTTCCTGCCAAAACCGGTTTGGCTCAGTGGATAGAGCATCGGCCTGCGGACTGGAAGGTCCCAGGTTCGATTCCGGTCAAGGTACAAGGCATGTACCTTGGTTGCAGGCACATCCCCAGTAGGGGCTGTGCAGGAGGCAGCTGATCGATGCTTCTCTCTCATCATTGATGTTTTTAACTTTCTTGTCCCTCTCCCTTCCTCTCTGTAAAAAATCAATAAAATATATATTTAAAACAATAAGTAGTTCCCAACGCCACCGTATTGAGGAGCCTAAAGGAGATAACGGCACCACGAGCTACACAACCATGCCCGGCCCCTGGCAGTCTCTGTTCCCGTTATTTCAGGCGTTCTCTGTGCTGTCCCACATGGGAGCCACGAGCCACATGTGGTCACTGCGCCCTGGAACGGCGACTCCGAATCACACCGGGTTTCAAAGACTCAACCACTAATATTTGTATCTTGTTTCCACGCTGAAATGACCGTGTTTTGGTTATATCGTGTTAAATAAAGTATATGAATAAGTGTTTTGGTTATATGGTGTTAAATAAAGTATATGAATAAAACGGACTCCACTAGTTCATTTTTTATTTGTTTCATGCGACTATTAGAGAATTGTAAGTTATAGCCAAAACCGGTTTGGCTCAGGGGTAGAGCGTCGGTCTGCGGACTGAGGGGGTCCCAGGTTCGATTCCGGTCAAGGGTATGTGCGTTGGTTGTGGGCACATCCCCGGTAGGGGGTGTTCAAGAGGCGGCTGGTCGATGTTTCTCTCTCATTGATGTTTCTAGCTCTCTATCTCTCTCCCTTCCTCCCTGTAAAAAAATCAATAAAATATATTAAAAGAGAGAGAGAGAGAAAGAGAGAGGAGAGAGAGAGAGAGAGAATTGTAAATTATACACGTGGCTCGTATTCTATTTCTTCTGAAGAAGCCATGGCTCAGGAAAGTCAGGCGAGCCCCCCGAGGCCTCACAGCTAACGAGGGGAAGACCTGGCATTGGAAGCCACGCCTCCAAGGAAGCCCAGGGCCTTCAGAGACCCAGCGGCCACAGTGTGTGTCCGCTACAGTTCGAGCACTGGGCCCAGCCTTCCCCGCTCAGTCAGACCTCACACGGGAGTGGGACCTGCAGAGACTGAACGTGGCTTCTCTGGGAAGAAATGTCCGTCCGGCACCAGGGACCAAGCATCCAACGAGTCCCCAGGGACCCCATCTCCACTGCCAACCCCCGGAGACACGCTCAGCTGGTCTGCGCTGGCCAGCCCTCACCCGGATGTCATAACTGCGTGCGATTACGTACGAACCCCCAAGAACAATAGGGAGGGAAGTGCCCGATGGCTCCTGATGGATGTGAGCAAGCCGAGGGCCTTGCTCTCACTCCCTGTTTGACTTACTTTTTTCCTAATGCCGATGGCCCCGTGGCTCCCTCAGAAGGGACTCGTGGTGCTGTATCTCAGACAGACACACGGAACCACAGGGCTTCTCGGGGTGATGGCGGGAACTGTGGTCTCAGGGAGGTCCCTGGCGGAAAGCCTCCCTCCCACTCCCATCTCCCTGTGCTCACCTCCTTCCTTCCTGCAGCGGAGCAGTTACCTGCCGACGACAGCCAAGCCCGTGACCAGCAGAAGGATCAGCAGCACCAGGACCGGCCCCAGGATGTGGGCCTTGGAGTAGGGCTCACTGCAGGAGGCGCCAGGGGCGGTCACCGGACAGCAGTGGCATGCTGTGCCCCCCCACATCCCTGTTCGGAGTCCCAGCCACGTCCCTCGTCTTTCCCAAGGAGATCAGAGGGCACCAGGGACCAGACATCTAATCCAGCGGTTCTCAACCTTCCTAATGCTGCAACCCTTTAATAGGCTCTACAGCAGCGGTTCATGACCCACAGGTTGAGAACTGCTAACAGGGTCGCCTAAGGCCATTGGAAAACACAGATATTACATTACGATTCCTTAACAGTAGCAAAATTACAGTTATGAAGTAGCAACAAAAATAATGTTGTGGCTGGGGGTCACCACACATGAGGAGCTGTATGAAAGGGTGGCGGCATTAGGAAGGTTGAGAACCACTGATCTAGTCAGTCCAAAGGACCCCGGGCGACACTTTGAGCTGGGTCTGCACTTGCCAGCAGTTACCTGGATGCCAGTAACTGCGTGCAACTGTGCATGACCCCCCTTCCCCCCCAGAACAATCCTTCAGGTTTGGACCCCAGTTGGGTGGGAAAACATGTTTTTGTTCCATATTTCCATGCCTGGCACAGGGCCCAATGCCAAGCGTACAGACAAAAGCTACTGAGCCGGGGTGGCTGTCCCTGAGGCCGGGGCAGGGAGAGGGGCGGGCTCTTCTCCTTGGGCGGGACTGCGTGTCCAGGGCGACAGGGCTGCTGGCCCCTGGAGGGCAGGGGGCTCCCTGCTCGAGGGCCCTGCGGAGGGGGGATGAGGGCTGAGTCTGCCCCCACTGCCTCCAGCCGTGGCCGTGGCCGTGGCCGTGGCCGTGGCCGTGGCCGGGGGCAGAGGCTGCCTCCGCCTGGAGGAAGGAATGTGAGGCCCCCATTGGCTCAGAGGCTGCTTCCGGTGTGGGGACGGCCTGGGCGGGGAGCTCGGTCACCTGGGCTCACCTGGGCGTGGTGTCTCTCGCGGAGGGGGCGTCCGGGTATGTGGGAGGCTGAGTGGTCCCTGCGTGAGGAGAGGTGGCTCTGTGAGGGGGGTGCTCTTCGCTCGGAGGGGTCCCTGCGTACGGAGAGGGTCCTGTGTATAGAGGGGCTCCCGCGGGCTCGGACGGGGGCGTCCCTGCGAGCGGAGAGGCCTCGGCCTCGGCCTCTGTCGTCCACTGCGTGGTGGCTGCCGGGCGGGCACCAGGAGAAGAAGCTACAAGTCCAAAAGCAATGCCTCAGCACCTTCCCTGGCCCCTGCGTCCCATCCCCAGACCGCTGAGCCTTGACCCCTGACCCCTGACCCGACCCCTGACTCCTCCCATCCCTTCCCCTCCCCAAGACCAGTTTCTCAGAACACCCCCACGTAAAGGGCACCCCAGGAAGCAAACAGAGGCCTAGAGAATGCCGTTCTGAGCAAGCCATGGCTCAGGTAAGCCCCCAGCTGTGCACGGCCTCCAGCCTTTCTGTGCTGCAGCCTGTTCTCTGTGGGGAGGCCCACCCCCACCCCCACCTCCAAGATCCAGTCCAGGGACCGCTCGATAGATGCCATCCTGCCCTCCCCCTACAGTCCTGGCCAGTCGTCACCTCTGCTCTCCCCTGAGAGTCCTCCTGTCACCATCACAGGCCCACCCCCACCCCTCCTTGATCTCCTTCAACAGCCTGGGGGTCGACAGGACAGGGTGGTAGGGACAGGCCCAGAGGTCAGGCAAAAGGCCCAGACCCTCCTGCTGGCCCCTCAGGCTGTGTCTGCTTCCTGGCTCTGCTGCTTCCTGTGTGACCTTGAGCCAAGGACCTAACCCTGCTGAGCCTCCCACTGCTCCGCCGACAATCCCGCTCCCCGGATGTGGGGGCCGCACAGCGCAGCGTCCGACGCCAGGCCGGCACCCACTGGCCGTTTCTCTACCAAGAGGCCGAAGAGGGGGGGAAAACCATGCACTCACTCAGTGCTGGGGGCTGGGTGTGCCAAGCTCTGGCCTTGGGCTGGAGGCTTGTGGCAAGAGGCTGGAGGGAGGGGGTGGGGGCGGGAGAGCAGCAGGGACCTGGAGGAAAGGAAAGGCGGCTCAGGGAGGCAGCGATCCCTGCGCTGGGCCAGATTTCCTGCCTCGGGAGCAGCCAGCAGCCTTCCCACCCCCTCCCGCACCTCCGCTCAGAGCATCGCCACCTCTACCCCTTCCTCAGCCACTCCGGAGCCACGGATGGTAGATTCCAGCCGATTGCTGGCCTTCCACTCCCGCAGGCCCTGGACCTCCCACTTCGCGCAGAACCTCAGCTTCCCTGATCCCTCGGACGGGGGGCATCCCTGCGAGGACTTTTCCATGCCGCCCTTCACACCGATGCCAGTTTTGTCTCTAAAATATCTATCGGGCCTCATCTCTTTCTACTTTATTTATAATATATTTTATTGATTTTTTTTACAGAGAGGAAAGGAGAGGAATAGAGAGAAACATTGATGAGAGAGGAACATTGATTCAGCTGCCTCTTGCACACCCCCTACTGGGGATGTGCCCTCAACCAAGGTGCATGCCCTTGACGGGAGTTGAACCTGAACCTGGGACCTTTCAGTCCGCAGACCCACGCTCTATCCAGTGAGCCACACCGGTTAGGGCACTTTCTGCTTCAGAACAGTCAGTGGCTCCCCATTGCCCATACGCTGGGATTACAAACTTTCTCGTGCCGCTCAAGGCCTTTGAAACTCAGGCTTCAACCCACTTTGCCAATTCACCTCTCCCCCATCCCGTGCGCCGACCAGACAGTTCCCCTCGAGTCCCATCTCAGCCTCCTGCCTCTTCCATACCTTTGACTCGCTGTTCCTTTGTGTGCCATGCCTTTCCTTCCCATCTCGACCCAACTCACCAAGCACCGGCTCCAAAGTCAACTCCACAACACCTTCCCTGCGAGGAGCCAGTTCTTCGTGTCCCCTGTGCATGGCGCCAGGGGAACTAATATTCCATTTGTGGCAATAACTTGTTTATGGGGTCTCCCTGCTAGGCCGGGACTCCCCACGGGCAAAGTGCCTAGCCTCTGCGCCAGCACAGTAGGCAGGTGTCTAGCTCCCAGCAGCCACTGGGGCCAAGCTCCCAGCAGCCACTGCGCTCCCCGCCTCCCCACGTCCACCAGTCGCCTCCTTTCTGACTTACATGCCATCCTGGACTCTCTTCCTTTCCCACCATTTTCTATTGTGATCTATTGTATCAGTTTTTCTTCAAATGTTCTGAGTAAATGATCAAATCTGCAGATAAATAATATTGTTCTTTTCCTTTCCAATATGTGTACTTCTTATTCTTGTCCTATTTCATTGCCGAGGACCTCCAGGTAGTGATGAAGAGTAGTTAAATGGTAGTGGGCATCTTGCCTTGCTCTGACCTTCCCAGAAATTCTTCGAATGCCTTGCCACACTCTGTGGTGTGCAGACACGCACACTGGCTGTGAGAGCTAAGACTTAGCTTTTGGGGAATTTTGTGAGCTGGTTGTTAAACTGTTGGTGGCTGGAAATTGGCCACGGAGGGGCATTTACACCACAGAAATGGGCAAACACTACAAGTCGGAGTTTCCCCAGTCATTTGTTATTTATATTCACCAGCCCACCACTGCCGTTAGCTTTCTTTATTTTATTTAAAAATATATATATTTTATTGAATTTTACAGAAAGAAAGGGAGAGGAATAGAGAGTTAAAACCATCAATGAGAGAGAATCATTGATCAGCTGCCTCTTGCACACCCGCTTCTTGGGGATGTGCCCGAAACCAAGGTACATGCCCTAGATGGGAATTGAACCTAGGACCCTTGAGTCCGACACTCTATCCACTGAGCCAGACTGGTTAGGGCAAGCTTTCTTTATTTTCAATATCCCAGCTGCCACCAGAGAGAGGCCAGCAGGGTTTGATACCGGAGGATAATATAATGAAAGTAGGAGAGCCTCAAACATACTGTGCTTCCCCGAAAATAAGACATCCTCCGAAAATAAGACCTAGTGCATGGAAAGATAAGACATCCCCTGAAAATAAGACCTAGCGCAACTTTGGGAGAAAAAATTAATAAAAGACACTGTCTTATTTTTGGGGAAACAGGGTAGGATTAAATAAAGACCCATGGGTGATGCGATCTGGCAGTGGGAATGGACCTGGGGTGGCTCTGGGGCCAGGAGAGGGAAAGAGCAGATTCCAAAGCTGGAAGTGACCTGCTTTTGACTCCTGGCCCTACCACTTCCTGCCGGGAGACCCTGGGCAAATCATTTTATCTCTCGGAGCCTCAGTCCCACCTGTGAAATGGGATACAAAGACCTGCCTCACACTTACTGACGTGCAGCCTGGGGCTGCGGGCTCCCTGGTTCTCTCTGGTTCTCCTCCTCCACGGCTCAGCAGGTCCAGCTGGGATTCCCGGCACTCAGAGAGGTGCTCGTCCCCTTCCATTGCCCCTTGGCCCCAGCCCAGCCCCAGCCCCAGCCCCAGCCCTAGCCTCAGCCCCAGCCCAGCCCAGCCCAGCCCCAGCCCCAGCCCAGCCCAGGCCCCAGCCCCAGCCCCAGCCTCAGCCTCAGCCCCAGCCCCAGCCCCAGCCCCAGCCCAGCCCCAGCCCCAGCCCCGGCCCCGGCCCCGGCCCCCGGCCCCCGGCCCCGGCCCCGGTCCTGGCCCCGGCCCCAGCCCCTAATGTTTCGGAGCTCAACAAACCCCTCTGAGGCTGATTGCCAGGCACGCCTCACACCTGTCCATCAAACTTCAAGATCTGGGAAGAGGAGGTGAGAAGGAAGAGCAGAGGAGCTACAAGCAGGTGAGGGCAGCGTGGCCATGGCCTAGGCCAGTGTTTCCCAAAGTGTGGTACGCGTACCCCCAGGGGTACGGGAAGAGTTTGGTGGGGGTACGCGTTGCACCGGAGTTTGGTGGGGACATGCACTGCACCGTGCTTAGCTGCGCCTAATTCTACGTTCTCATGAGTGCGAGGGGGACTCAGCGTTACGGAAATTATAGAAGGGGTACACATATTCAAAAGTTTGGGAAACACTGGCCTAGGCGATGCTGTGGGGCGGCCCCCGGAGGCAGTGACTACAGCCCCAGCCCGAGGAATCCTCTGGACTCTCTCTGACTCCAGGGAGGGAGGGAATCTTTTGATGTCTCCACAGCTGGGCAGAGAGGAAGGGCACTGAGCCTGGCGGTGGACAGACCTGGGTTTGAGGCTGCCACCTGCTAGTGGGGTCGCCTTGGGCAGCAGGAGGGAAGGAACAGCAGAGGCTCTTGCAGCAACTTTTGTGCGGTTTCACTGAGCCCCTGAGACACACTCCCATGAGGCACTGCACCCTTCGTGTTGGGGGAACTGGGTCCACTACCCGCCCACCCCTCCACCACCCGTGCACCCCTCCCCTTCCCCTGGGCGTCTCCCGCCCCAGCTGGGGCATCAGAGGCCTCCTTACCTGGGAGGACCAGCAGAGAGACCAGGAGCACCTCGTCAATGCCCAGGATGGTAATGCCGCACCAGTACTCTCCCGAGTCCTCCAGGGTGAGCTCCCGCAGGGTCACGTTGAGCGTGAGCCTCTGGGGGTGGTCTTGGATGGACACCCTGCCCTCTGTCCTCTCCTGGCCGTCCTCTCGGGCGTAGACGATGCCGGAGCAGCGGGAGAGGACGACGCCGGCCTTCTTGCACCAGTACTTCTTGTTCCCCCGCAGCTTCTCCGAGTAGCTGCACTGCAGGGACACGGTGCCACCCTCGAACCCTCTCACCTTCTTCGGCCCCGTCAGCGCTTCGTGACCTGCGACCACAGCAGGGACAGGGGTCAGGCTTCCCCGGGTTCAAGCACCGCGGTCAAGACCAGAGGTTTTCCCCCATCTCCCCTCTCTGGGGGCAGCCCTGTCAGAGCTGGTACTCCCCGCCCACCAGGGGACCTGGGGCAGGGCTGTTGAAATAGGTATTTCAACAAGCGGTCTAACAAGCGGTCATGTTCATCGCTGGAGACTCAGATTTAAAGATGGGCTAAAAATAAACAATAAATGAAAAGGCAGGTTGCAAAGGTATATAGATCCTGGATTATCTGGTTTTATTTTTGTGTGTGTGTGTTTTGTTTTTTTTATTAAGAAAAAATACTTTGCCCTAACTAGTTTGGCTCAGTGGATAGATCGTCGGCCTATGGAGTGAAGGGTCCTGGGTTTGGTTCCGGTCAAGGGCACCTGCCTGGGTTGCGGTTTCATCCCCAGAAGGGGGCATGCAGGAGGCAGCCGATTGATGATTCTCTCTCATCATTGATGTTTCTGTCTTTCTCTCTATTCCTTCCTCTCTGAAATCAATTAAAAAATATATATATATATATATAACCAAAACCGGTTTGGCTTAGTGGATAGAGAGACGTCGGCGGACTGAAAGGTCCCAGGTTCGATTCCGGTCAAGGGCATGTACCTTGGTTGCTGGCACATCCCTTGTGGGGGATGTGCAGAGGTAGCTGATCAATGTTTCTCTCTCATCGATGTTCTAATTCTCTATCCCTCTCCCTTCCTCTCTGTAAAAAATCAATAAAATATAATATATTAAAAAATAAAATTTAAAAATATATATAAAAGGAAAAATACTTTTAATACACACACAGTCAGCCCATTAACCTTGGTTCTCTCTGTCGGTGACATTTTCTTCTCCCCAATGCACACGTGGCAATTTGTTCTTTTAAAATATTATTTTATTTTTCTATTACAGTTCCCATTCCATATTATTGCATATTAGTTTCATGTGTACAGCATGGTGGTGGGACAGCCACAGGCTTTACACAGTATTCCCCCTGCTATTTCCAGTACCACCTGGCCCCCTACAAGTTATTACAATATTATTGCCTGTATTCTCTGTACTGTACATCCCCGTGACTGTTCTGTTACCACCCATCCGTCCTTCTGAATCCCTTCCCCCTTTTCACCGAGTCCTCCCGCCCTCCTCCCTCTGGCAACCACCAGTCTGTTCTCTGCCTATGAGTCTGTTTCTGTTGTATTCCTTTGTTTATTTTGTTCTTTAGATTCCACATATAAGAGAAATCATACGGTGTTTGTCTTCCTCTGACTGACTGACTCCGCGTAGCCTGAGCCCCTCTAGGTCCACCCCTGCTGTCCCAAATGCTAAGACTTCATTCTCGTAAGATGTAAGATGTTACCACATGGGAGACACACCATCATTTTACAGACTGCTAAGGAAAACATTGTCAGCTGAACAGCTGGCATCACTTACAAAATGCATCCTGATTGTTGGTGTTGAAAGGTTAACAAGAAAGCAGGCCTGTGAACGGATGGAACGTGAAAATGGCCTCTCGGGTTGCTGTGCCTTGAGCAGCGGTTCAAGAAACGTTTGCTGAGTTTAACGTGGCAACTGTCTGGGGGGGGGTGCCTGCTCCGCCTCCGAGCAGGAAAGTGATGAGAGAGGAAAGCCACACAGCTTTCTCTCACAGCCACGAAGGAGCTGGACCCCAGGCGGGGAAACACCTGGTTCTGGGTTCCAGAACCACAAGGGCCGGCCCTCTGAGGGCTCAGGAGGCCTGGGAGGGGGTGAAGCTGGACGCAGCAGGCAGGGCTGGGTCACAGCCACAGCACGGTGGGAAAGGAAATGTCGGTTCAGGGGTCTCGGCAGACTCACAGCCTCCGCCCTCCGCCCCGCCACGACTCCCCCTGCCCCGTCTCACCTGGGAGCAGGAGGCAGCCCCACAGCAGCACCAGGGGCCTCATGGCGGGCACAGGACACGCAGCGGCACACGCAGCGAACCGGGAGCGCCTCTGGGGAGCACGCGAGCTTTGACTTCCTCCAGATGAGGGATCCAGGCGAGGAAGGGAGGGGAGGGGCCGTGTGGGTCACCCCGGGCACCCAGCCCAGGGATCCGCCTTTGCCATTCAATCTAACGACCTCCCTCCTCCCTTAGCCTCCTCCCCCCCTAGAATATTCCACGAGAGCACTTCTCCCAAACCCCTGCCCCTTCCAAGGAGTCTTAACCGTGGCCACAGCCATGCACCTGAGGGGGTCTGTGTGTGAAATCCAGGGAGTCCATGAACTGGGATGAGAAAAAAAAAATTACATCTTGACTTTCTCTAAGCTTTAATATCTTTTCCTTCTATTGTGAGTGTTAACAGGACCTGTGACAAATCACAGACACTAGCTCGTCAAGTTGTCACCGATAACCCAAGATATGGTGGCTGCTCCTCCCTGCATGGAAAAGCCTTAGCTATTAGATTGGCCACCAGAGCTGGTTTCTAAAGCGCCACTAGAGAAGCACATTGACTCCTATATTACACACGTACGTATTTTGATAACCACTTCAATGTTATTGGTTTTCTTCTAGGCGTGTGTATGTTATATATTTAAAAGACCATTATTCCACCAGACCGGGGTGGCTCAGTGCTTGAGCATCGACCTATGAACCAGGAGGTCACGGTTCAATTCCCAGCGAGGACACAGGCCCCGGTTGCAGGCTGGATCCCCAGTGTGGGGCGTGCAGGAGGCAGCCTTATTAATGATTCTTATCATTGATGTTTCTCTCTCTCTCCCTCTCCTTTCTTCTCTGAAAAAAAAAAAAAAAAAGACCATTATTCTGAGAGGGGCCTGTAAGCGTCACCAGATTGCCAAGAGATCAATGCTACCCCGTGGCAATGCCCGCCGTCCGTCCCTCCTGCATCGCCGGCCGGAGGGCGCAGTACGCTCCTTGGCCACCGGGCGGCGGTGCAGGCAGGGTCAGAAGCTGCAGGGCTGGCCTGAGAGGGAGCCATCTGCAGGCCGTAAAAAAAAGTGAATTAACGGTTTCCCGCCTTAGATTTGAATCCTTGAAAGGAACAAAATGAACAGGGACCCTAGAGGGAGCCCTGACACATGGTTTTTAAAAGTAGATCTGTCCGTGTGTTTTTGTTTTGTTTTGTTTTTTTGGATTGCAAAGTTCATACAGGTTGTAAGCAAAATTTTACACAATGCAGAAATGCTGGGGGGGGAAAAAGAACAATGGGAATGTTTCCTGCAATCCCCTTCGCTGTCAGAAAACCCCTGTTTACATTTGGGCATGGGTACTTCCATAGACGCAGCCAGAATTTTACCCTCTTGTTGGGCTAATATCTGAAGTAACAATTCAGTAGTTCTGGGAGGTGTGTGTGTGTGTGTGTGTGTGTGTGTGTGTGTGATATTCTGGGGATGTGGGAGACAGGTTTTAATGTCACTGTGACTGGGCACACTGCTGGGCAGGACAGAAGTTCACACCAGTGAAAACCCTGTAAGGAGACCCCAGCCCAGGACCCCACTCCCATTACATGGATGGGCTAACCGGTTTTGCAGTTTTAAAAACAGATGAAAATAATATTTATTCTAGCATTTGATAGTATATTTCTCTTCTTTCATTTCTGTCTTGTCCTATACAGAATAATTCCTGACTTTTCTGCTTATCTTTTTTTAAAAATATATTTTTATTGATTTCAGAGAGGAAGGGAGAGGGAGAAAGGGAGAGAGAAAGAGACATCAATGGTGAGAGAGAATCATTGATCGGCTGCCTCCTGCACACCCCCTACTGGGGATTGTGCTGGAACCCGGGCATGTGCCCTTGAGCAGAATTGAACATGGAGAACCCTTTAGTCCTGAGGCTGAGGCTCAATCCACTGAGCCAAACCGGCTAGGGCGTAAAGTTTATTTTATTTATTTATTTATTTATTTTTAAAGCAGTGAAGAGCCAACAAAAACATGAGTGACTACCTGGCTGAGGTCTGCAAGTATCAATAGAAGCCCAGAAGGATGAGCTGAGCACGCAAGGACTGAAAAATATAATTCTTAGACTTGATAACTCAATAAATGAGTTTCAGATGAGACACAGTTGAAATGATAATAGTGAACCAAAGAAATCATCCAGAATGAAGCATAGAGAAATAAATGGAAGGAAAATAAAGAAGAGAGGGAAGAGAAATGGGGATTAACATCAGAATGCCAAACATACCTTTTATTGGAGACGGAAATGAAAGAAGCTAGAGGATGTGACCCAAGCAGTAATCAAATAAATAATTGCGAGAATGTTCCGAATGTGAATAAACACACCATGGGCCCTGGCCGGGTTGCGAGGTTGATTCGAGTGTTGTCTAAGGTTGTGGGTTTGATCTCTGGTCAGGGCACCCAATGAGTGCATAAATAAGTGGAACAACAAATCGATGTTTCTCTCTCTCTCTCAAATAATTTTTTTAAAAAAGAAACACACCATGTGTTTTTTAATATGCATATGATTATAATATTCGGGGTGCTATGCCCAGGGCCTGGGCCTCTCTTGCCTGGGTTCAGTGTGGACACTTGATCTGTGACAAAGGTGGCACAGCCCCTGGGTGACTACAGGCGCCTTATATCGGGGAAAACCCTAGTGTAGCTGTCTGAGGGCGGCGGGAAAATGTCTGCATGACCCACCTGCTCTGCCACTGACAACACTGACCACCGTCCCACGCACTGCAGGCTCCTGGGACCCATTTCCTCTCCTTCCCTTTGCTGCTGGGGCAGTGGGGGGCTGGGGTTCTCACCCACTCCTTACCCTCTGGCGTCCCCAACCACCTGCTCTCTCCCTGGGCACTCCTGCCCTCTCTCCACCCACAGCCGCCCGTCCTGAGCCTCAGTTTCCCGTTGCAGAGCAGAGATGAGGATGGTCAGTGTGATGGGAGGGGCAGAGGGACAGCACCATACACGTCAGAGACCCGTAAGGCCGCTCTGAGCCTGTCCTCTGCACACCAGCCTCCCCGCGCCCCGCGTCCCTTCCCCGCACCCGAGCAGGACGGAGCCTCTCGGTCTCCCGGCCCAACGTCCCCCCCGGACCCCGCGCCCCGGGCCGCGCGCCGGTCCGGCTTCCCCGAGCGTCGCACTGTCCCCGGGGTGTCCTCGAGTCGGCCCGGCCCCGCCGGGGAGCCCTCACATCCAGGATCTGCCGTCTTTGAACCCCCGCCCCTGGCACCGTGCCTGGCGCTCGGAGGTGCTCCGTGAATGTTTGCAAAACCCAGTGATGCGCCAAGCAAGCTCCGCCCCGCAGGGCGCCGCTGTGTGGGCGGCGGGGGCAGAGGACGGCGGGCCGGGTGCCCGGTGTGGGGGCACAGGCGGGGAGGGGGACCAGGGCGGAGGACAGGAGGCGGGGCTGGGCCAGCAGAGGGCTGGTGGCTGCGGACACGGCGCAGCCTCGCTCCTCCCTCTCCTCCCCCTCCTCCCGCTCCTCCTGCTCCCCCGGCTCCCCTCCCCCTCCTCCTCCTCCTTTCCCCTCCTCCTCCTCCTGCTCCCCCTCCTGCTCCCCCTCCTTCTCCTCCTCCTGCTCCCCCTGCTCCCCTCCTCCTCCTCCTGCTCCCCTCCTCCTCCTCCTGCTCCCCTTTCCCCTCCTCCTCCTCCTTTCCCCTCCTCCTCCTCCTGCTCCCCCTCCTGCTCCCCCTCCTTCTCCTCCTCCTGCTCCCCCTGCTCCCCCTCCTCCTCCTCCTGCTCCCCCTCCTCCTCCTCCTGCTCCCCTTTCCCCTCCTCCTCCTCCTGCTCCCCCTTCCCCTCTTCCTCCTCCTGCTCCCCCTTCCCCTCCTCCTCCTTCCCCCTCCTCCTGCTCCCCCTCCTCCTTCCCCCTCCCCCTCCTCCTGCTCCCCCTCCTCCTCCCCCCCCTCCCCTCGCCCCGCCTTCTCCGCTCCGCCGCCGCCTCGCGGGCCGGGCAGGGAGGGGCCGGGCAGGCGGAGCCGGCGGCCCAGGCTCCCGGCCCCGCGTGGCTCCCGGGCCGGAGCGCGGACCGGCGCCAGGTAAGCACCGCGCGGGGAGCGGACCGGGCCGGGGCCGCGGCGGGAGGGCCGGGCGGGGCGCGGAGGGTGGGCCGATGGGCAGAGACCCGCCTCGGAGCCTCCCCGCAGCCCCAGGGCCCACAGAGCCCCCGCTGGGGGCAGGGGGAGCGCAGTCCCCGCCCCGCGGCTCCCGGCCCCCCTCCCGCACCCCCATCCCCTGGCGCCCCGCTCCCTCCCGGCCGCCAGGGCCCCCAGGGTTCCCTCTCCTCCGCTCAGCCCCGCTCCTTGTTTGCCCCTCTGCAGGCGAGGGGGTGTCTGAGCCTGTGCGCCCGGGGAGAGGTGGGTGCTGGGCTGGAAGGAGCCAGAGGGCGAGTCTGGCGTGGGGGACGGGGACTGGGGGGGAGGGGGCGGGGGGCGCTGTGGCTGGAGGGCCGGGTCCCCCCATTCTTATGCATCTCAGTGACCTCCGTGCAGCCCAGAGGGGCTGGCCCCGTGTGTCCGGAATGAATGAAGCATTGCTCTCCCAGTCCCCTTCCGAAAGAGGACTTTCTGAGGTCCACGTGCTGCAGAGCAGTTGGGGGGCCTCCCGAGGCAGGACCCCCTGCGCTCTCCTTTCCCCCCCTCTGTGCGCTCTGTTCTCGGGGCAGGCTTCCTTCCGGTGGGGGTTTGGGGGATGGAGGGGAAGGAGGGGAGCTTGTAGGCCCAGCCGGATACTTGTTGAAGGTGTGACAGGCCAGGGGCTTGGCTAGCCCCACAGAAGGTCACAGGGGAAGGGGGGTGCGGTGGAGGGGAGCACCCGCTGTCTGCCAGGGGCCACGCATGGATGCTGACCCGCGAGCCACTGAATTCCTCTAAGCCTCTGTTTTTCCATCAGTAAAATAATAATATTAGTATTTGTTCCTCGGAGCAAAATGTCCTACGAAACCCCCCAGCACAGAGCTTGGCACGGTGCAGGCACCAGCCAGGCCCGGCGCCCTCCCCATTCTGCACACACTGAGCAGGGTTATTGGTTCCCGTCCCCTCCGTCCCCATGTCGGCCGCGGACAGACACAGGAGATGTGTCATCGCTGTTTGTTGAATGAATGTGCTTGATGGAGCTCCCCGCTCCCCTCTTTCCGGCAGGATCGGGCGGCGCTGGGGGTCTGACGGGCAGACATGCCGGTGCTGTCGGAGGACTCTGGTGAGTGCGGTCCCGGGGCCTGGTCTCCGAGCCCCGGGGAGAAGCTGCCCGGCCTCCGGGCTGGAGAGAGAGCAGCTGCTGCCCGCGCTGGCTCTCGGGAACGTGAGGGGATGTTCACAGCACAGCGCTGATGTGCTGTTTGGGGGTTCACTGGGGGTTTCCCCCGGGCGTCTCCATGGAGGTACCCTGTGTTGTCTGTACTGTGTTCTCCTCCCCTCTCGGCAGGCTTGCATGAGACCCTGGCGCTGCTGACCTCTCAGCTCAGACCTGACTCCAACCACAAGGAGGAGATGGGCTTCCTGAAGGACGTGTTCAGTGAAAAGAGCCTCAGTTACTTAATGAAGGTACGGCTCCTTTTCAGCCTGCCTCGTGAGGGTTTCTGGAGGTCTTCTGAGCTGGCTGAGGCCCCCGGAGGTCACCCTAGGGCCTCCCCCGGCCCTGGAAGCCTTCAGGAGCCCACGGCGCAGGGCTTTCTCTGACACTGCCATGGGGTGACCCAGTTTGCAGCCGTGGCGGGCTGAGTGGCGCCCAGGGTAAACCTGGGCAGCTGGCTCGGGAGGTCCCAGCCGGAAATCGCTGTCTTTGCAGATTCACGAGAAGCTTCGCTGTTACGAGAGGCAAAGGCCAGCCCCGGTCCTGCACGGCGCCGTGGCCCTCGCCGAGGACGTAAGCCCCACGCTGTCCTCTGGGGCCAGCCTTCTCCCCACCCGTGTGCTCTGTCATCTGGCCTCGTCACCTTGCTTAGCCGGGCGAAGATTATCTCTTCCCCTCCTCCTCCTCCTTCTCCTCCTCACCCTTCTCTTTTTCCTCCTCCCCTTCCTCCTCTTCCTCCTCTTCTACTCCTCCTCCTCCTCCTCCTTCTCCTCCTCACCCTTCTCTTTTTCCTCCTCCCCTTCCTCCTCTTCCTCCTCTTCTACTCCTCCTCCTCCTCCCTTTTCTCCTCCTCTTTATCCTCCTCCTCCTCCTCCTCCTCCTCCTCCTCCTCCTCCTCCTCCACTCCTCCCTGGGCCTCCTAACAGGCCGGGATGAGCTCGCGAGCCTTGGATTCGGCTTGGAAGCATGGTGACACGCCGATGCCCACTTGCTGTGTTCCCGAGAAAGGCTGCCTCCCCAGCTGTGAAATGAGAGCATTTGGATCGGACCTGCAGTTCCCAAGCTGCTGAGGACTGGCAGTGGGAACGGGTCAAACCAGACCCCTAATGTGTCAGGAGAGGCCCAGTGTGAAGTCCTGGGGTCAGGGGACCTGCAGCCACCCCCGCTACCGGCTCAGGCTTCTCGCTGTTTAACGGAGCGCGTCCTGATTACTGGGGGCCTGTCCTCTGCGCTGCACGGTGTGGGGATCGCTGTCCCTGCTGATGACTAAGTCCAGCTCCTGGATGAGCTCACGCCGCCCCAGGAGGCGGCCTGCCGAGGGGCGGGCGCAGCCTGTGGGCGCACACCCCCTCCTTCCTGCTCCCCGGGGTGCCGTGATGGAGATGTTAGGCCGCCAGGCTCCCAGGCACAGCGCTGCCTTCACTGCCAGCTCTGCCACCTTACACAAGTCACTCAGCCTCTCTCAGCCCCAGTTTCCCCATTGATAAGAGAAGGTAGTGAGGAGGGCACAGGTAATGGAGCCACGTAAGCCCAGGTTCAAGTCCTGGCTGTGCCACTTCCGAGCTCTCTGACCTCAGGCAAGATATCTAATCTTTCCTTTAATTCTCGTCTGTAAAATGGCAAAAGGATAGTGCCCTAAGTGAGAAGGTCCACCTAGAGCAAATGGCACCAGGGACAGCTTTCCCCAAGTCCCGCAATGCAGAGGACAGTTAGTGCCCGTTAGGTGTGCCCTGTGGGGTGCAGAGGACAGTTAGTGCCCGTTAGGTGTGCCCTGTGGGGTGCAGAGGACAGGTGTGCCCGTTAGGTGTGCCCTGTGGGGTGCAGAGGACAGGTGTGCCCGTTAGGTGTGCCCCTGTGGGGCTGCAGAGGACAGGTGTGCCCGTTTAGGTGTGCCCTGTGGGGTGCAGAGGACAGGTGTGTGCCCTTGGTGTGCCCTGTGGGGGTGCAGAGGACAGGTGTGCCCGTTAGGTTGTCCTTGTGGGTGGCAGAGGACAGTGTGCCCGTTAGGTTGCCTGTGGTGGTGCAGAGGACAGGTGTGCCCGTTAGGTTGTGCCCTGTGGGGTGCAGAGGGACAGGTGTGCCCGTTAGGTGTGGCCCTGTGGGGTGCAGAGGGGACAGGTGGCGTAGGGTGCCCGTTAGGTGTGCCCTGTGGGGTGCAGAGGACAGGTGTGCCCGTTAGGTGTGCCCTGTGGGGTGCAGAGGACAGGTGTGCCCGTTAGGTGTGCCCTGTGGGGTGCAGAGGACAGGTGTGCCCGTTAGGTGTGCCCTGTGGGGTGCAGAGGACAGGTGTGCCCGTTAGGTGTGCCCTGTGGGGTGCAGAGGACAGGTGTGCCCGTTAGGTGTGCCCTGTGGGGTGCAGAGGACAGGTGTGCCCGTTAGGTGTGCCCTGTGGGGTGCAGAGGACAGGTGTGCCCGTTAGGTGTGCCCTGTGGAGCTGCTCACGCTCTTCTGATCCCGGTGTGAGTTCCCCTGGGTGGCTGAGGGTCCATGTGCCCCTGGGTGCTGGGGCAGTGGCTGGGAGGGCGCCCGGGCCTGGGTCTGGGGAGCGGGGTTTTCCCCGGGGACTCCCAGCAGGCGCCAAGCACCCACAGCCGCCGTCTCGTTGCCCTGCAGGTGATGGAGGAGCTGCAGGCCGCCTCCGTGCACAGCGACGAGAGGGAGCTGCTCCAGCTGCTGTCCACCCCCCACCTCAGGGTAGTCCTGGCACGGCCCCGCCCACCCACAGCCCGTGTCTCCTGAGCACTCAGTAGGGAAACGGAGGAAAGGGGGCCCCTCAGGGAGGGACCCGAAGTATCAGAGTCTGGGGTGGTTGTCTGGCATGAAATCGAGATCCCCTTCCCCCCCCAGACCACTGCCCAGCCAAGGCCCCCGCCTGAGCCCTGTGAGCCCGGGCCAGCCTTCCATGTCTCCTGCTTTCCTGACAGGCCATGCTCATGGTGCATGACACGGTTGCTCAGAAGAATTTCGACCCCGTTCTCCCACCTCTGCCTGACAACATTGACGAGGACTTCGAGGAGGAATCGGTGAAGATTGTCCGCCTGGTGAAGAACAAGGAACCCCTGGTAGGCGGCACCCCACCCCCACCCCTTTTCCCCGCCCCGTCCGGAAACCGTCCGGAAACCCGGGGAAGGGACCCTCCTGGAGTCCTTGGCGGGAGTGACGGAGGGCAGCTTCGTCAGGGCTGTGACTGGTCCCTGTTCCGCTTTTGTGCGCAGGGTACCCCTTCCCCTGGGCCGATACAGCCTCTCTTCACCGGGGCCACGCTCCTTTGTGCAGTGAATAGCCTGCATGACTGTACGGGGCAGCTCCCATCATCGTGCTCTGAACTGGCAAACCACAGCCCAAGGGCCAAAGCCAGCCCGTCGCCAGGTTTTGTCAATAAAGTTTTATTGGCACACAGCCATCCCGTTCCTTTCCATGTTGTCTGCAGCCGCCTTTACATTGCAGCGGCAGAGCTAAGTAGTTTCACGGGAGGCTGCTCGGCCCCCAGGGATCCAGAGCAGAGCCCTTGGGTCTTTACCAAACGTTTGCCAGGCCCTGCTCTGGATCCCGGGGAAGCCCAGGGCAGCGGCTGTTCCTCTCCCCGGCTGGCAGATAATGGCAGATGGTTATCGTGTGGGTCCTGGCTCAGCACTGATTCACCGGGCGGAGGGACAGGCTTGTTTATGAGACGGAGGGAAGTCGGGGACGTCCGGAGAACTGAGTGCTTGCCCCGAGAGCACGCTGCTGGCACTCCCTGTCCTCAGCTTTCACCAGATGACCTCATCTGGTCAGAGCATCCCCTTCTGCGGACAGAGCAGGCTCTCGCCTGCCTCTGTTTCCCTCCTCCCGTCGCCTGGGCAGACGCACCGTGCACCCTCTGTGTGCCAGGCGCCCGGTGGGCTGCAGGCAGTGCAGAGGCGACGAAGACCTCGCTCCTGCCCTCTCTCTGGGAGTTCGCAGGAGGTGGTGACTGGGGGTTTCCTGGAAGGGGTGATGCCTGTGCTGAATCCCAAAAAATAGGAACAGGGATTTTCCTAGAAGGAAAAGGGAGAAGGGCAGTTCCACAAAGTAGGCTGCACGAGCAAAGCCATGGGAAGGTAAATGGCACAGAATATTCAGGCAATCGAAGCTGCCCGGTGTGGGCATAGAATGCCAAGGTGTTTTTTTTTGTTTTTGTTTTAAATGTTTTTATTGACTTTTAGAGAGAGGGGAGAGAGAGAGAGATAAAAACATCAATGATGAGACAGAATCATCCATCGGCTGCCTCCTGCAGTCCCCCCACTGGGGATGAGGGTGAAGGAGGGAGGGCAGAGGGACCGGCCTCGACGGGAGGCGCCCCTCCGCTAAGATGGGAGAAGGAGGGAAGGGTGGACACACGCTGGGAAGCAGGGAGGTCTAGGGGGCAAGAAGCCACGGGGCCTCTCTTCCCAGCAGCATTTATCTTACGTGCTCCAATAGACGACACAAAGGAAGTTAGCGGTAAGTGCACCAAAGTGTTTGCCGTTACAGCCGAAGGTAAATGGCGAGCACGTATTGAGCACTTACTGTGTGCTGAGTGCCTTTATAGTCTACCTAATGTCATCCTTGCACAACCCCGTGAGGTCAGTGTTACCCCACGGCCGCATGCTTTTAGTAAACACCAGCGTGGATTCAAACCCAGGGCCGTCCAGCTCCGAAGCTTAGCTCTTGACCGACTGCCACCCTGCCCTGCCACTCAGTGTCCACGAAACTGAGGGCCGATTAGATCCTTCTCATCCCAGATAACCTCTCTTCTGTGCTTCACGGACCACGTTTTGGTCCTGAATCCCCGGTTGGGGCATCGTTGATTCCCTTCGGCAACAGAAGGCCCTGCGATTGGCTGGAGGCAGGATAAGGATTTGCTGGCACAGGCTCGCCTCATTATTAAATGCCTTTGCAAGAGGCAGTGGCTGTGGTATGAGAGAGAAAGCTCTGGATTTGGCATCACAAGCTTTCCTCCTACTCAGCGGGGTGACCTTGAGGATGCTTCCCTTCTCTGAGCCCTCGTGTCCAACATGAGGCCGGCATTGTGTCCCTGTGCGTTGCTCACACGGTGACGTGCAGTGCCGGACTGATGAGCGATGCCAGTGTTGCTGCATCCTCAGCATCAGAAAGGTCCCCTCTGGCCTGCTCTCTGACGACAGAGGGAGGGATGGGGAGGCTGTGGGGTCCAGGGTGTTGAAACTTGAGGTTTGTGGGCGCTTCTGAGGAGCCTGCCTGCCCGGTCTCTGATGCAGGGCGCCACCATCCGCCGGGACGAGCACTCGGGGGCCGTGGTGGTGGCCAGGATCATGCGAGGGGGCGCTGCGGACCGGAGTGGTGAGTGGCCTCCATGCCCGCCTGGCCTTTATCCCCCGGCCTGCCCCCTTTGGCCACGGGTCTCTTCCCCCCTCCTCCGGGGCCACCTGTTTGGGATGTTCTGGGAATGGGGAGTGGGGCTGTGGTTCTCTTTCACCAGCCTGGTAGAAAATGGAATTGTTTGAAGATCTCTCAGACACAGAGAGATTGGGGGGGGGGGGGGTCAGGACTCATGCGTGCAGCCTGGGCTTGGTGGGTAGTTCCTAACTGGGTGGGGGCAGGGACACCGTTCCCCATCACCTAGTTGCGCTGTTACAGAAGGCGGGGGGGGCGGGGGGTGTTTCACATCCCGGATCTGTTTGGGAAGAAAAGTTGCACGTCGCTGTGTGGGGAAGAACTCCTGAGTCAGAGGCAAACCTCCTGTGCGGGGAGCGTCGTCCCCAAGCCTGGGGTCATTGTGTGGAGACTCGTGGACCAGAGCTGCTCAAACACGAGCAACCACCCCCACTCCCACTGGCCCCAGCATCGTGTTAAAAGGCGATTCTGATTCAGCAGGTCATAGGTGGGCCCCGGATTCTGTACCCCTAGCCGCCTCCTGGGCGGTGCTGACACAGCTGGGCCAGTGTCCGCGTTCAGTAGCACGTAGGGCCCAGGGCCCAGAGAGCTTGGCACGACCGCGGAGGCCGCAGGCAGGTGTGTTTCACACTTGGGTGCCAGCGCCCCGGCGCTTGTATGCTTTCCTGTTAAGATCGGAGAGGGACGTCCTTGGAGTGTGTCTGAAACCCCAGGCAGGTGAGGAGTTAACGCAGTTTTTAAAGAAGCAGAGGCTGCAGCAGGAAGAACAGTCTTTCTACATCACCGTGCCTGTGTTCGAACCCGGGCTCCGTGGCTCGGCAGCGTGGCCTTGGGCAGGCTGCGTGCTTTTCCTGGATCTCGGCTGCCGGCGTGCACCCGGCGGTTCCACCGGGTGGGGGTGAGGCTGTGAGGCTGAGTGAGGCTCCCAGCACGCTGGAGGGGCTCCGCTCACCCCCGCCCAGCGGCGCCCGCGCTTCGCGCGCCTTCCCTGTGCTAACGGTCGCTCCGCTGTCTCCTAGGCCTGGTCCACGTCGGGGACGAGCTCCGGGAGGTGAACGGGATCACAGTCCTGCACAAGCGGCCCGACGAGATCAGCCAGATCCTGGTCTGTGCCGCGCGGGTGCTGGGGGCTTGGTGGTGTTCCGGGGACCCAGGCCGGTGCTTCCAGAGCCAGGGTGGCATCTGGCTCGGCCTCCCTGTTTCCACGGGAGCCGCAGGCAGAGTGGCCTTACGGGCCCGGGGTGCGGGGTGGGGGGCAGGAGGAGCCCGCCTGCCTCTCGCAGACCCTCTCTTCAGTCCCTCCCCCCACCTCCAGCACCCTTTCTTCTGGGAGGCTCCCTTCAAAAGGGTCCCCTCTTCTAAAGGACCGAGGAATATGGACTAAGAGGTTGAAGCCCAGGGAGGCCCCAAGCAAGGGATTTGGGCTCAGAGAGGCCTGGGTTTGAATCCTGCCTCCGCCGCTTTCTAGTGGTGCAGCCTTGGGCAAGTCATCCAATCGTTCAGAGTTTGATTTCCTGTCCGGAAAGCAAGGACGGGGGTGATTTCTCGTCCCATGTGTGGTGACCATTAGGATGTAAACGCCCGGAAAAGGCTACAGCACTTCACGTCTGTGCTGGGCTGTAACAGCCTCCAGAGTCCATTGTGGGAGTTCAGGTCAAAACCGAGATGGTGAAGAGCCCCAGTCACAGTCCTGTCCTCTGTGTCCGCAGCATCCTCCCCCACAGGACACTCCTTGCTAACTTAAAAAAAAATAATTTATTAAAAAAAATATATATTTTTTTATTGATTTCAGAGAGGCAGGGAGAGGGAGAGAGATATAGAAACATCGATGATGAGAGAGAATCATTGATCGGCTGCCTCCTGCACACCCCACACTGGACATTGAGCCTGCAACCCGGGCACGTGCCCTTGACCTGGAATTGAACCCTGACTTCCTGGTTCATAGGTTGGCGCTCAACCACTGAGCCACGCCAGGTGGGGGCAGAAGCAGGATGAGATGTGAAGAGAGAAGGCTGGCTCTTTAAGGCTGCCTGGCTGCAGGCAGCCCCTTCAAGCCTTCCTGTCTCCCTGCCCTTTCCCTGATTCTGGGCACCGACCTTGTGTTCCAGGGCGATGCAGGGCCAGGGAGACCAGTGGGAGGTGCTCTCATGGGCTGTCAGCTTCTTCCTCACGGGTCCCCCATGTGGGGTGGGAGGTCTCTGTCAGGCAGAGGGAAGAGGAACCCCTGGGGAGACAGGAGTGGCCTGGGGTTGGAGACCCCACTGGGGAGGATGGAAGCAAAGAGGAAAGTACTGATTGGGAAGCAGCCCCCAATCGGGCAGGAAGGAGGAAAAGGAAGCTGGGCCAGGTTATTAAAAATAACCCAGGAGGAAGGAGAGAGGGCAGCCCTGTGGGGCACGAGAGGTCAGGGGGGAATGCAAAGCTGGATTCGGTATATGCAGTGTCCTCGGGGCCTTATTTAACATCTTATGTCTCTCGGGCCCTACCCGGTTTGGCTCAGTGGATAGAGCGTCGGCCTGCGGACTGAAGGGTCCCAGGTTCGATTCCCGTCAAGGGCATGCATGTACCTTGGTTGTGGGCACATCCCCGGTAGGGGGATGTGCAAGAGGCAGCTGGTCGATGTTTTTCTCTCATCATGTTTCTCTCTCATCAATGTTTCTAACCCCGTATCCCTCTCCCTTCCTTCCTATAAAAAATCAATAAAAAAAAAATCTTGTGTCCTTTGGTCAGAAATGCAGGTATTGGCGTTTGGGTTTTGCTTTGTTAATTCAGCCGGTGCCACCACAGAAGGGGGGCCCCCGGGGAGGCAGTGAGTTTTCAGACCTGGGAGGGGAGCTGTGAACGCCTGGAGGGCTGGACCCGGGGGTGATGAGCCTGCGCGCTCTCTCCTTTCAGGCTCAGTCCCAGGGATCCATCACCCTGAAAATCATCCCGGCCACCCAGGAGGAGGACCGGCTAAAGGAGAGCAAGGTACGTGGGAGCTGGAGGGGCGGGGAGGGCTCCAGCCCTGCCTTCGGAATGGCCCTCTGGGAAGGCGTGGTGCATCTGGTCCTCAGAACCTGTGCTCTGTAGATGGGGATCCTGTCACAAAGGGATGCATCCATTTGTACCCAGCTGACTAAGACATTGTGATTGAGATAGAAAATGGGGCCCTGCGGCGGAGGAGAAGGTGCCGGCTGTGCTGGCGCTGGGACAGTTAAGTGGCTGCCATTGATTCCGTTGTGTAGTCTCCCTTTGCGGGGCCGCTCCTCTGGACCAGGTGCCCTGCCAGATGCTGGCGACGGGTTGATGAGGAGCTTTGAGGCTTCCTCGTTCAGGGGCAGCTGGGGAGCAGGTCTTTCCCTGCCCCTGACCAGTGCCATGGGATGATCTCTGCGGGGTCACAGATGCCACGGCAGTGTCGCCGGGAGGCAGAGGGGTGAGGCTGGAGGAGGGTGAGGGGAGCGGGTCCCTGGTGAGGAGGTGGAGGAAGTTCAGGCAGAGAGGCCTGCATTTACAGAAGCTCCCAGCAGCGGAGAGGAGTGTATATTGGGGTGGGGCCTGGGCGTGGGGGAGGTGGGTTAGGGCTGTCTTCTGAATTACCTTAAGGCCTGTGTTTTTGTTTTGTGGTTTTTAAAAAATATTTTTTTTATTGATTTCAGAGAGGAAGGGAGAGGGAGAGAGATAGAAACATCAATGTTGAGAGAGAATCATTGATGGCTATCTCCTACACTGGGGATGGAGCCCGCAACCCAGGCATTGGCCCTGACTGGGAATCGAGCCGTGACCTCCTGGTTCATAGGTTGGCACTCAACAGTCTAAACCATACCGGCTGGGCTGTGGTTTTTTTTTTTGTTTGTTTGGTGTTTTTTTTAAGGGGAGTGATGCAGCCATGTTTGTGTGTTAGGCACGTGGAGGAGGGCGGAGCAGGTGGAGATGGAGGCAGGGAGACCTGGCTAGAGGCTGTAGTCAAAGCCTGGCTGAGACGTGAGCTTAGGGTGGGGGCAGAGATGACAGGTGAGGATATTATTTGGTTTCAAAACATTTGGATCTGAACTGCCCTCGCAGCCAAGGCAGAAAGGAGAATATAATGAATTGCCAGCTTTTCTTTCCTTTTTTTTTTAAATATATTTTTTATTTCAGAGGGAACGGGAGAGGGAAAGAGAGATAGAAACATCAATGATGAGAGAATCATTGATCGGCTGCCTCCTGCACGCCCCCCACTGGGGATGGAGCCCGCAACTCAGGCGTGTGCCCTTGACCGGAATCGAACCCGGGAGGGACCCTTCCGTCCGCAGGCCGATGCTCTACCCACTGAGCCAAACCAGCGAGGGCAGTTGCATGCTTTTCATGGGTGGAAGGCAGGGAGCATGCCAATGTTTCAAGAAAGCTGATTCCCAGCCCCAGCCCTCCTCAGTACTAAGTGCAAGAAAGGGTCATTCCAGCACCTGGCACAGAGCGATGTCAATAAATACCTTAACGAATGGGGATTAGCGAGGGACATTGTGTTCGATGTCAGTTTTTTTTAAAACAAATGAAGCAATGAGGTGTTTGCACTCTCCCGTTGCATCCCAGGGGTCCATAACATGGACTCTCGCTGGAAGGAAGGTGATTCTTCCGGGGACGAGTTAATGTGGTCCCCACGCTGCAGCTGTTGAGCGTTTTCACTGGAGACAGGGCGAGAACGTGGCTTTCCAGTCCCCTTACCTCATCTTTCCTGCGTATTTTTCCTTGAGCCAGAAGCTTGATCTGGGCTGGCCATCGAGGATTTTACTCTCTTCTGAGTGTTTGAGACCTTGGTGACATGCTTGATGAGGGTATCTGTCCTTGCTATACCTGTCTTTACTGTCGTCTGGCTGAATCTTTTCTGGAGGGGATAAAAGAATAGATTTGAGTCTGCTCAAGGCAGTGATTTTCAACCAGTGTGCTGTCAGACATTTTTATTTATTTTATTTTTTGCTGACAGAATTTTTTTTAAACATGCAATACCTGACTATTTAGTCAGGGGCACTGACCTCTTTCCTTTAGATTGTCAAATAAAAATATGACAACAGCCAATACAACAATAGCCATCTGGTGTGAATGAATCAAAATTATACCTATTTTGTTTTTGAGATTGGCAAAAAAAAAAATATATTTTGTGTGTGTTTGTGTCACAGAATTTTAGTACTTAGTTTATATGTGTGTCATGAGATGAAAAAGGTTGAAAATCAGTGCCCTAAGGAAGCCCTCTGGATTTTTTTATTTTTTATTTTTTTGTTTATTTGCTGTTCAGTAATTGGGCCCAAATAGAAATAAATAAACCCAGGCCACTGGATTATAGAAGAGAACCAGGAAGTGTGACAACACGCTGTGTCTTCTCGCCATCTTTTCTAGAGGGGGTGACTTCAGGGTAAAGGGGAGAGACGGATTAGCGGAACAAGCGAACAAACGAACGTGTGACAGATGAGTCAGGATTGAGCTGTAAAAAATGTGGGTGTCAAGTACCCACTGAAAAATGATGTCAGTAACAGCAGTTTTATTGGTATTTGTGTTCTGACCAAAACATCTCGATTACTTACTTAACAGATGGCTGCTGCCTTCTTCAGGGCCAGTTAGCTTATCAGAAATCGCATTTGAATTACGGATTGTGCTCGCCTTCACTTTTTGTCCCCAGGCCTCCTTGTGGCATTGTGTATGCTAAGCACAAGCAGATCAGGTAATTAAGGAAGTGTTTAGGTTGGAAAAAGATATTGGAGACAAGGGGCCCATCTGTTAATGTTCTGGTTCTTGAGGGATTTCCTGACTCTAATACCCAACACGTCGAAGAACAGTAAGAAAACATGTGCGGTATGTGTCTGATTAGCTGTCTATTCTCAAGGCTTCCCCGTTGCGAACGGTCGTTGTCATTTGGCTGTCCGTGTGGCGCGGATGTCTGTGTCTCCGCGGTGAAGGGCCGCCTCATGGAGCCCGTCCCCTGCAGGTGTTCATGCGCGCCCTCTTCCACTACGACCCGCGGGAGGACCGGGCCATCCCCTGCCAGGAGGCCGGCCTGCCCTTCCAGCGCAGGCAGGTCCTGGAGGTGGTGAGCCAGGACGACCCCACGTGGTGGCAGGCCAAGCGCGTGGGGGACACCAACCTTCGAGCCGGCCTGATCCCCTCCAAGCAGTTCCAGGAAAGGTGGGTCTGGGGGTGCTGCAAGGGGGTGGTTCTGGGGTGGCAGAGGAATGGGTGCAGGGCAAACCCACGGATCCCTTTGGGCTGGATCCCGGTGTGTGACCCTTTGGGCTGGATCCCCATGTGGGACTCTTTGGGCTGGATCCCGGTGTGTGACCCTTGGGGCTGGATCCCCGTGTGTGACCCTTTGGGCTGGATCCCCATGTGTGACCCTTTGGGCTGGATCCCCGTGTGTGACCCTTTGGGCTGGATCCCGGTGTGTGACCCTTTGGGCTGGATCCCAGTGTGGGACCCTTTGGGCTGGATCCCCGTGTGTGACCCTTTGTGCTGGGCAAGTGTCTCCCAGAGCAGGAGACTCCGTTTCTTTCCCCCGTGAACCAGTGAGTGTCCCTCTTCCCTGGAACTCAGAAGGCCCTCAGACTGCCAGGCTGTGCCCCCTGTAGGATCCAGCACCAGTTTCTCCACGTTTTCTGTAAGACCCCCCTGATTGGTTCCGTGGCCCAGCTCACGGGCCTGCCCATCTCCTTGCCCACAGGCGCCTGAGCTACCGGAGAGCCACGGGCACCCTGCCGAGCCCTCAGAGCCTCAGGAAGCCCCCCTGTGAGTAGATTGGCAGGGATGGCACGTAGGGGAGGGGCCGGGGTTAGGACCTGGGGGCTTTGTGCCAGGAAGAAGCCGGTGCTGGGCAAGAGGAAGCACCGAGGGCCCTCTCTGATCTCCCCGCCTCCAGAGGAAGGAGGGGCGGCAGGGGGGAGGAGGGAAATGGGGGTTATGTTAGGGGATCTATGCTCTGAGAGGAGCTCAAGGATGACATTGAGGGCGAAGTAACGCCTCTCCCAAAACTGTGTGCAAGCGTGTGTGCGTGTGTGCGTGTGTGCGTGTGTGTACGTGTGCATGTGCGCGCGTGTGTGCGTGCGTGTGCGTGTGCGCGCGTGCGTGTGTGTGCGTGCGTGTGCGTGCATGTGCGTGTGTGCCTGTGTGCGTGTGTGTGTTTGCGTGTTTGCGCGTGTGTCTGGCTGTTTGTCCGTGTGTGGGAAAGGTCCCCAGCTTTCATTACAGCCCCAAGGGGCACTCTGGTCCTGTCAGTTTAGGGGCCTCGGATTTGGGGGGACAGCTCTGGAGATCCTGTGCTGCCGTGTGAGGGATCAGATTTGGCAAAAAATAAAAATCAAGATGTTCCATTAAGTTTGAATTTCACATAAACAACAAGTAACTTCTTTGTGTAACTACATTTGTTCCAAATATCGCACGGGCTGTCCTTATCCTAAATGCTGACTCCTTGGTTTTCTGAAATCAGATTTAGCCCAGGGTTCTGTATTTTTTCTGCCAGCTCCACTGCGTGTAGCACATTCCCTTTTAGAAAACACACCCACCTGCCTTCTCCCTTGTAATCGTCACCACAGCCTGTGAAGCAGTGGGGTCAGAGCACCTCCTTTTCCAAGCTGGGGGAACAGGCTCATGAGTAAAGGTGACCAGACGTCCCGCTTTTGTCAGGACAGTCCCGATTTTTAACAATCTGTCCCGCGCCACGCCGGGGGACACGGGGAAAACTGTTAAAAATCAGGACGTCTGGTCACCTTACTCATGAGGCCAAGGGAGTGGGCCCAGGGCTGAGGCCGTGTTGTCGGGGAGCCTGTGATCAGGGCGCCCCGGTGGGGCCTGGAGAGGGAGCTTGCCCACTGCAGGCATCCTAGCCCAGTGGTAGGCAAACTCATCAGTCCGCAGAGCCAAATATCAACAGGACGACGATGGACATTTCTTTGGAGAGCCACATTTTTTAAACTTAAACTTCTTCTAACGCCACTTCTTCAAAATAGACTCGCCCAGGCCGTGGTTTCTTGTGGAAGAGCCACATTCCAGGGGCCAAAGAGCCGCATGTAGCTCGAGAGCCGCAGTTTGCCAACCACGGTCCTAGACTAAGCTGCTCCCCTGGCGTGGTGGCTGCTGCCCACGCCCGCTGTCAGTCCAAGGGCTGCTGGGTAAACTGGCCTTGAGGCTGCCGACGCCAGGGATGAGCTGGCTTTCTCTGAGCTGCTAATGAGACACACACAGGAAGACTCGGGAGAGCAGGTCCCGGTTTAACGATGCAGCCCAGCTCGGATCACAGGTTTGCCGGAGGAGAGAGAGGGAACAGATGGAGGGCTCCTCAGGCTCGCTTGGCGGTGGCTGTCTCCCGGCCGCAGGGCCTCCTGTCGCCTCCGCTAACGCTGTTCCATCTGTCTTTTGTGCAAACCGCAGATGATCAGCCTTGTGACAAAGGTAGGCCTGGTGTTTGTCCCCCTTGTGCATGGACGAGGCCCCGTTTCTGTGGAATGTCTGGGGCCAGAGGGACTGGTTCCTCCCCACCCCCTAACTCCGGGGTGGCTGTGCCCCCCTGCTCTTTGCCCGCCTCTCCCTACTCTGCCAGCTGGGCCAGCCTGCTCCTGAGGTTGCGGAGCTGGTGGGCACAGGGCTCAGCCTCCCCAGGACTCTGGCTGGGCTGATTGTAACTGGCTGGGTAGGAGGCGCGGGACAGGAGGCGGGCAGGGCTGGTGATGTTCCCTCCTTATTCACAGGGATCCTGACTCAGAGGGACGGGGCTGGGGAATAAGCATGGAGAACTGAGCTAAAGAGAAGAACTTGGCTTTTGGGGGAGCCAGGACATGGGATTTCTCCTGAGACACAATCCCAGAGGCTCTTCCTGGCCATCCAGGGGCCGGGCGCCTCTGGGCTTGGGTCTGTGCCCAGATGGCTCACTGGACTCCCTCTCCGTTTGGTTCTCAGAGACCTGTGACTGCGAGGGGTACCTCAAGGGGCACTATGTGGGTAAGTAGCAGAGAGATCCTGGGACAAATGTCTTCCCCCCAACACCCTCTTCCACGCCATGCACAGGCCCCGCGGGCTCCTGGGGCAGGGAGAGACAGACAGAGTGATCTGAGCGCCCAGGTAGGGCCTGTGGGACCCACATTCCCCTCCGTCTGCCTGCAGAGGAGGGACTGACCTGCCCCGGCCTTCAGCAACCTCAGCGCTCAGCAGCTGCTGAGAGCAGAGCCTGACGCGGACCCCTCGGTTAATACTGACTGTCTCGCTCCTGTGATCTCCCTGTAGTTTATTCAGTGGTGACAGCACCACTGTACCGCAACGGAGCCTTAGACTAGTTTCCCAAGTACCTTCGCTTCTTTCATTTTGGTCCATCTTTTCAGAGATCTGAGAGACAGGCAACTTTCTTTTTAAAATATATTTTATTGATTTTTTTTTTACACAGAGAGAGGAATAGAGAGCTAGAAACATCGATGAGAGAGAAACATCAATCAGCTGCCTCCTGCAAACCCCCCCCCCCCCCCACTGGGGACGTGCCCGCAACCAAGGTACATGCCCTTGACCAGAATCCACATGGTCCCTAAGGACAATGACATTCTCTTATATAACCCAGGGCAGCGACCACACTCGGGGAATTTAACATGCGCGTAATTCTATTATATGCATGCTTATATATCGATACGTATAATACCATTTATGTTGACACTTATCCCAACAGCATCTTAGAGCATCTTCCACTGACCCAGGACCCAATGCACACATTGCATCTGTGGATCTGTATTTCCATTTCACACACGAGGAAATTGAGGTTCAGAGAGGGGATGACCTATTCATGGTCAGTCCCGTGCCAAGTAAAACAGGGACCTGGGTCCCTACTTTCGGATGCCGGGTGGTCACCCTTCCATCCTATTACTGTGTGTCTTGATCAGCCCCTTTCTGTATCCGGAGGAGGTTGGGAGAGGCCAGTGGGACTCAGACCCACCTCCAGGTTAGGCCAGGTGGGAAGAGTCTTCAGTGGGAGGTCCTGGGACAGAGGTCATGGTGTCCCCTGCCCTTCCCCCAAAGCTGGCCTTCGGAGGAGCTTCCGGCTGGGCCGCAGGGGGAGACCGGGAAGTCCGCAGGAAGGAAAGGTGTCTGCAGCCACGGAGCTTCCGGAGCTGCTGACCTATGAGGAGGTGACCAGGTACCAGCACCAGCCCAGTAGGCGGCCCCGCCTGGTGGTGCTGATCGGTAGGTGACGCTGCGTCTCCGGGGAGTGGGCTGGCTTCCTGCCTGGAGGAGCGGGCAGGGAGGCCGGCAGGGTCTCTTGTCAGCCTTCTCTTCCCTCCCCAGGGTCCCTGGGAGCCCGGCTGCACGAGCTGAAGCAGAAGGTGGTGGCGGAGGACCCACAGCACTTTGGTGTTGCTGTTCCACGTAAGAGGGCTCGTGTGTGTGCCTGTGTGTGTGTGTGTGTGTGTGTGTGTGTGTGTTGGGGCAGGGGGAATAACGTGAATATTTCATGGGGCCTTGACTCCCTGTATCCATCCTCATCCTCATTTGGGGTTTGAGGGACTGCCAGGCGCTGCCTGCTCTATGCAGATCGTGGGACCCAGGCGTGATGAGAATGACCCACCCTGAGTGGTCCACTAGGACCCTCTGAGGCAGCAGCTCGAGGGCAGTAGAATTGGATGCATGTTATCCACCAGCAAACTCTATGTGCTATGAAATTGTGTGAGAAGCTACATCTCATCCACAGATGTCTCCTGTCTCTCAAAATGAGAAACAGTTGAACCAAGAACTAAAAGCATTCAGTAAGGTTACCTATGTGTGTGCCTCGAGGGGCTCAGGAATGTGTAGGCCTGGGGGATCTTCTCAGTGATTCTTTAGAAGCCGCAGCATCATGGAGGCAGTTTGGCAGAGTGCTCAGGGCACACACGGGACATGAGGCAGAGCGTTCGGACCTTGGCTCTGTTCCCTGCCGGCTCTGGGTCATTGATACGGCGCCTCACCTCGCTGCACGTCTCGGTGTCCTTTCCTCGGAGGCCTCCCTCCTTTTGCCCACATCCAAGAGCTGTGTGAGTCAGCGACGCGCCTGGAAAGGGCCCCGGGCCTGGCACAGAGGCACGGGATGGATGGAAGCCCTTGGTTTCTGTAGGAAGCCTCAGTGAATGCCGAATGAGGGCACAGGCTCCCTGCTGGTCTCACCCGCTGTCATGTGACACCTCTTCGCCCAGCTTTCCTTGTTCTTTCTTTAAAAGATACCACCAGACCCCGGAAGAGCCACGAGAAGGAGGGGGTGGAGTACCACTTTGTCTCTAAGCAAGCCTTCGAGGCCGGCGTACATCACAACAGGTGCGCTGGCTGGACGGGCCGGCTGGCCCTTTAGCCTCTGGCCAGTGTTCCCGCTTGACCTCCAGGAGGGCGGCTTCGGGAAAGCGGGAGGAGGAGGGGGAGAGGATCCTGGTGGAAGTCCATCCATGTTTCTGTGCTACTTTAGGCAAGCTCGGGAACTACAGGGCTTTCCCCCTTTGTGTTTTAGGTTCCTGGAGCACGGGGAATATAAGGAAAACCTCTACGGGACCAGCCTGGATGCCATTCACGCGGTGATGGCCAAAAACAAAGTTTGTTTGGTGGATGCAGAGCCAGACGTGAGTTCCTGGGGCCGTTGGCCATGTTTTATTGATGGAATTTATAAACTGGAGGATTGTACCTTGTACAGCATATTTGACCTCAGTTTAAGGGAGTTTTAGTCTAGAGCCCTGGATGTTAAAATTGGGGTCTCCTTTTGAGAAGCAAATGAAAGCTTCGCACCCCAACATATGCACCACTGTACACAAAAACTGCATTAAAACTGTAGGGAGTCATGGACCCCCTTGGCAGCCAGAGACCCAGGATCGGAATCTCTGCCTGGAGTAAGTCATGCAGGCGAGGGTGGCTTGTGGCGATGGGACAGGACGTAGATGTTAGTGCCTCGCTGAGGCTGGGACTCCACTCTTCGCATTTTCGCATTGGCACACCTCCTCCTTGAACAGGACGAGGGAAGTCGTGGTGTAGGAAGCACTGAGGGAGGCGGTCCGGAGAACAGTTTGAAGGGGGAAAGGGGAGACCTGTCCCTGTGAAGTGTTGCAGAAACACTTTCCGTCTTGCACACCTGCCGGCAGTGTGTGCTCCTCTCATTCACCTTGTCTTTGAGAAACACTTCTAAGCTTTGACCTCAACCTGGAGATTTTTTTATTCCTCTATGGAAACAGCACTCTGGTTTTGATATAAGCTATAGGCTTTATTGTATAGAAGTTTGCTTGAAACAAGTTCCAAAAAGCACATTATATGTATAAGGAAAACCCTCCCTAACTTGGAGTTACTGGGAGTTGGCAGTCAACATGAAAAGTCTTAATTTCAGGATTTTATCTGGAAAGTGGTTTTTATTGTTTTGGCTGCAAATTGAACACATATAGTTTAATACCAGTGTTTCCAAATAGAGGCCATGCATGAATAGGACCTTTGCCTATTGAAAATCTTCTGCAGTCTTCACAATTTGTTTCAAGTTCTTAGTGTCTTCATTTGATGAACAAACCTTTTATTTTATTTTATTTTTTTAATATCAGTAGGAGGTTTGGGCGATAGCACACATTCTGAATTAATGTAGCCCAAGTTGATGCCTAAATAGATACACATTGAGTTCTGCTGGCTCACCCCTCAGGGCTGGGCAGGTAGAGAAGGGTAAGGAGGTTCATCAGAGCTTGAGGGGTCAGAGCCAGGAGAGATGACAACTCTGGGAGCAGAGGCTGTGGAACCCCCCTTCTCAGCAAGTCGGCCTCCAGGTCTCCTGTTGAGTCCACTGTGAACGTCAGCGTGGAGAGGGAGGAAAGGAGCAGGTGATCTGCCCCGTGGGAGCTCATTGTCATGTGACCGTACAGTCAGAACCTTTACCCTTGAGATCATGTGACACACACCATTCTTGAGCATTTGAAAACTATGTTTCACAACAAAATATTTTCAAAGTAGATAATGTTTCTGAACATGTCTTCTCAGGCACTGAGACAGCTGAGGACCTCAGAGTTCAAGCCCTATGTTGTCTTCGTAAAGCCTGCAATCCAGGAAAAAAGGAAGATGCCACCCATGTCCCCGGCTTGTGAGGACATAGCAGCCCCATTTGTAAGTTTAAAATTGGCCATTTCTTTCTTTCTTTCTTTTTTTTTAATTAAAATTTTTTTTTAAAAAATTGATTTCAGAGACTGGTTTGGCTCAATGGATAGAGCGTCGGCTTGGGGACTGAAGGGACCGGGGTTCGATTCCGGTCAGGGGCATGTACCTTAGTTGCAAGCATATCCCCAGTAGGGGGTGTGCAAGAGGCAGCTGATCGATGACTCTCTCTCATCGATGTTTCTAACTCTCTATCTCTCTCACTTCCTCTCTGTACAAAATCAATAAAATATATTTTAAAAAAATTGATTTCAGAGAGGAAGAGGGAGATAGAGATAAATCAACAACAATGAAAGAATCATCGATTGGCTACCTCTTGCACACCCCCTACTGGGGATTGAGCCCACAACTCATGCATGTGCCCTTGACTGGAAGCAAACCATGGACCCTTCAGTCCGCAGGCCAGCGCTCTAGCCACTGAGCCAAGCCAGCGAAGGTTTAAATCATTTCTTTTCTAAAGGCCTAACTGGGCCTGCTGCCATTGTACAAGGGTGCTTGCGCCTCCTGCAAAAGGCCATCGCTCCATTTTGCCTGTTGGTCAGAGTTCCTTGGTCAAGTGACCAGAAGGCCTGAGGTAGGGCAGTCGATTGAGATAGGGGTGGTTTTGTCTGGGTTTCCACCCTCTCTTCCTGAGAATGGGTACCTGAATGTCACACATCTGCTGAACTAAGCCAACCCCAAGTCGTTTTTAATTGACTTCATCTCATGGCTTGCGATTAACGGGTCCTGAGTAGACATTTTGTGAATGGCTGACTGGACGACGAGTGATTTTTGTCTACTGCCCATTCACTTCCTTGGAAGTCTGATGGGATATTCCCCCTCCACTCTGTTCTTTGTGTACACGGTCGGTTTCTCGTGGACCATAGTCATCAATCATCACTTCAAAACGAGAGCTTGGGGCATGACACAGGGTGCAGGTTTCCTGTTTGAGGGGGCGGGGAACCACCCTGCTGCTCCATAACTGCCCCCCCTTTCCTCGCAGGATGAGGAGCAGGGAGAGATGTCCGCCTCCGCCGCCTTCATAGACCAGCACTACGGGCACCTGGTGGACGCCGTGCTGGTGAGGGAGGATCTGCAGAGCGCGTGCAGCCAGCTCAGAGCGCTCCTGGAGAGCCTGGGCAAGGACGCTCACTGGGTTCCCGTTCGCTGGGTCAGGTAACTGTGTCCTGGGACGTCCACCTTGGAGGGGGCCTGGAGGACCACCTCGTCCAGCCACGTGACCACCCAGGAATCCCAGGTGTGGCAAGGGGCAGGTTTTTCCATGAACTCTGTCATCCAGAAGAGCATCTGTGGGAAGTCCCATGTATTGGTGTTTATCTGTTGTTTTCCACTGTACCCCTCTGGAGCAGAAAACATGAGCGGAAAGGGGGCATATCACAAAAGGACACATTTCCTTCATTAAAGTGTCACCGGCAAGTTGGCCCTGATTCTTTGTACCGGAGCGAAGTAGCCGCTGCGTTTGGGGATGGGGGTGGCGGGTTTATTCAGTGCCGACCCGCAGGGATGTCAGCTTTAGACATAAGGTGACACCTCACATATCCAGTTCTGTTGGTTGAGTTGCTTTACCCAAGAGGATATTTCCATGTCTTCAAGCATCACGATGCTGATGTTCACTTTGTCTAAGGCACGTGCTTGCCTGGCACTGGAAAACTTGCTTCTCTGCCTTCTTAACTAGTGGGCAGGCATGAACGTCCATGCAAGTCTGAGGCACCCTTCGCTGCCAGTGAGTTACTGTCCTGTGCTGACAGAGGGGTGTTTTCAGGGACTATGGAGGAAGGTACGGCTGCTTGTCCCCTTTCTAAATATGCTGAGACTCCTACTACAGAGGCCTGGCTTTGTTTGATGAGTTCTGATCCACCACGTGCCCCTCTCATTACCGACAGCTGTTGCTGGTTCGTGCCTGTCCCTTCCTTCAGACAATAGGGGTTCCTGTCGTGCGGGATCACGGAAAACCAGACGATCCCTGTTGTTGAAACTGTGTGTGCGAGTCGGGATAGATCAGTCCTGACTGTGAACATCAAATTATATAGACTCCGAGTGAGTGGCTAATGGTCTGTCTCTGAGCAAAACTGTCATACAGGACGTGTGACACATCTTAGCTGCTCGGAGAACTTTATTTCTTACTAATAGCCAACGTGTGTCTTTATTCTGTGCCGGGAGCTCTGCAGAGGCGTTTAGGGACATTACTTTGACAAATACTCCAAGCCAAGAACGTAGGATTCTATCATCTCCGTTATAAAGTAAGAATGACAAGGCTTAGGAAGTTTAAATAACGTGTGCGAGCTCACGCAGCATTAAGTAAATGGCAGAGCTGTAGTGTCGGAGCCCACGCCTCCCTAGTGCCGGAGATGGCCATTAATCACTCTGCTATACTTCCCTTCTTTTTGTGGTTCCATAATTGAGGCTACCTGTTATATAATTGACTTATAAGTGAGGAATGTTTTCATAGCTAGAACTTACAGTAACATGCGGTGGGGCTGTAGCTTCTAATACGAGCAAGAGGCTCTTACACTTGTACATTTTCTTTTTATTTTATTTTTAAATATATTTTATTGATTTTTTACAGAGAGGAAGGGAGAGAGATAGAGAGCTAGAAACGTCGATGAGAGAGAAACATCTCTACCGGGGATGTGCCCGCAACCAACGTACATGCCCTTGACCGGAATCGAACCCAGGACCTTTCAGTCCACAGGCCGATGCTCTATCCACTGAGCCAAACCGGCTTCGGCACACTTGTACATTTTCAAGCTCTTTTCCTCATGAGAAGAAAAGACGGCTGGGTTAAGCGCCATTGAGAAAGTTTAGAAATTTCTATTTTGCCTCGTTACACAAGGGCCCATTTGCAACTTTCTATGGTATCTATTAGCTCACTAACCTGGTAGGTTCACCTAACAGGATTACATTCTTTATTTTATTTAAAAAAATATATTTTTATTGGTTTCAGAGAGGAAAGGAGAGGGAGGGAGGGATAGAAACATCAATGATGAGTGAATCATTGATCGGCTGCCTCTTGCAGGCCCCACACTGGGGATCGAGCCTGCATGTGCCCTGACTGGGAAAGACCCCCTGGTTCGTAGGTCAGCACCCAACCACTGAGCCACGCCAGCCGGGCAGGATCCCTTTCTTTAGAGCTTTCTAGCAAAGGGATGAGGACCGCTTTGCACTTACAGAATATTGGGTGGTTATCAGGTGCAGTTAGTCTGGAGCTGTCTCACATAGAACCAGGGAGGAGGGCAGCTGCCCCGTTGTGAGAATGGCACACGCAAAGTTGTATCTCACAGGAGAGCCGTGATCTAAAGTCAGCTCTCAGGCAGAAACCGGGTCAAAATTACTCTGGAAAAATCCCCCACGGAGGCTCCTTGGTGGGGATCCTCACCATCTCTTTGCAAGCGCCACCTGGATGTGGGTGAGCAGTGGGTGAGCAGCAGGTGACTTTTTAAATTTTTTTTTTAATTTCATACTATTCCGTAGACATTTTCTTCTTGATATTTTTATATATTTATTAGTGGAAATGGTAATAATTCTCTTTATGTACATGATGAAGCAAAGCACTGAAACATGATGCCTGCTTTATTTCCCTATCAAAGTAGCTTTCCCCCCACCCCTAAGACAAGCTGGGCCTACAGCTGTCTGCTGTTCTGTGGGAACAGAATGAATAGGGCCCTGGAGGCAGAGGTCCATTTATAAAGTGTTTCTCCTGTTTGTGAAAAGCAGAAGAGTGTTGTTGAAAAAAAACAACGCATCTGTTTACAAATACATATTGGTGGAATGTGTATGAATGCAATTCCAACTCCCATTCCCGCCATTAATTGATACATTCTGAGCTCCTGGGCAAACACTTCACCAAAGTCCATCAGCCTGGGCCTCCACACCAATAAATCTCCTTATTACATACTCCTCAAGATGTACCCTTTCCACCCCCACCTCAGGCTTTCAAACTCAGATAAATTCTGTGTCTTCAGCCAGAGAACTTGTGAGCTCTAGAGGATTCTTCTAGGTCAGGGATGTTAAGTGGGTGGGGCATAAGTGCTGCAATCGCCCATTCTTGCACTCGTGGCAGACATTACTAATTGATCACAGCACTCGCCTGCTGAATCTAGGCACTGCTTTCCTCCCAGGACACAACATCCAGCATCAATTGAGCAGAATTAGCCAATGAGTCGACCCTGTTTGCCATCATGATCTAGTGATTTGTAACCTCCTCTGCCCATTCCACTCCCTGCGGAGGTGGGTTTAGACAGTACAACCATTTTTCCGTCACAGGCGGTGCTCTGCTGTGTTAAACATTGGTTGATCACGTTTGTATGTACCATTGTCGTTTCAAATAATTATACATGTTTTAAGATGTGTGGCCCATCAAACTTTTGCACCCATTTTATCACATCATTTATGCCACCAAACACAGGATCATGAATCCAAAAAATGACAGCACTTGTCAATTTACTTATTTACTAAAGCCCAGCATGTGTACAAAGCCCATTCTTGAATCATACAGTTTGGAACCAATAGGCCTTTTCCTATCTGGTAGAGTTTATACGGATCCATTTCTTACTCTACTTTGTCCTGCCCTTTGAGCCTCATTCTAATTTGGGGAAATTACCTATCTTTTGAATTTTTAAAAAAAAATATATTTTATTGATTTTTTACAGAGAGGAGGAGAGAGGGATAGAGAGCTAGAAACGTCGATGAGAGAGAAACATCGACCAGTTGTCTTTTGCACACCCCCTACCGGGGATGTGCCCGCAACCAATGTAGATACATGCCCTTGATCGGAATTGAACCTGGGACCTTTCAATCTGCAGACCGACGCTCTACCACTGAGCCAAAACCGGTTTCGGCTATCTTTTGAATTCTGGTGAGAAGCAGAATCCAGTTATGGGAAAGGTCAGTTACTCCTTTTCCCAGCTTCCCTTGCAGCTAAGGAATGGACATAGGATCTGAGTTACCACAGATCAGATAAACCTTTACCGACTTGGAATTGGGAGCTAGTGACACAGAATGGCAGAGACCATGGAGACTTCAAACTCAGTGGTTGCAGGTCAGCAAGATCTAGTTGTGGCGGAGCAGGCCTGGAGCACCCACAGACCGGCTCTACAGCAAGATGTTGGGCGTTGTTCCTCGATGTGCAGCCTGAAGCGTGGCTCTGCAGTTTTTTTTATGTTAATTCATAGTTTTTTAATAAATTATTTCACTACTTAAATCAGACAAAGTCAGTTTCTGTGGCTTGAAACTAAGCATTTTAATTGATGGAGGCTTTAAGAGACAGAAGGGACAGGATCACGGCTGGAGGGGCATATTGACATACTTTGCATGCCATGTTTAAAAGTATGGCTCATTCTGGAAGGAATGGCAAGTGACAGAAGGTGTCAAATTAGAAAGTGCTAGGGACATATTTTTGCATCACTGATACAGTTGTAAATCACAAGCTCCTGAATGTGAGCAGTAACACACACAGAGACCCAGAAGTAGGACTGGAAGCTTGGAAATATATGTAGGGAGGGGAAGGGATGAAAGAGAGAGTGAAGTGAAGGATGACCATAAACTTTTCCTGTGGAGGTAACTGTAGACTTACATGCATGTGATAAGCAATACAGATAGATCCCAGGTACCCATTTACCTAGTTTCCCCAACATGCAAAAACTATAGCGCCAACAGGATATTGACAGTGATACAGAATACTTTCACCCTTGATAAATTGGACATCATAAAAACTAAAATACTTGGCTTTGTGAAAGATTCCATGAAGATGACAGACAAATTACAAACGGGGAGAAAATACTTTGCAAATCACATATCCAAATAAGAGCCTGTAGCTAGAATATAGAAAACTTTCAAAATTCAATATTTCAAAAAAGAACAATCCAATTAGAAAATTGGCAAAAGATATGCACAGACATTTCACCAAAGAGGATAGACAGATGGCGAATAAGCACATGAAAGATGTGTAACTTCATTAGTTAGAGTTATGCAAGTTAAAACCACATGAGATGTCACTGCACACATATTAGAATGACTAAAATAAAAATGGCGATAATATCAAATGCTGGTGAGGATGTGGAAAAACTGGATCACTCATCCATTGCTGTTGGAAATATAAAATGGTATACTACTCTGGAAATTGTTTTGTGGTCCCTTTTTATTTACGTACTTATGTTATTTTTTAACCCTCGCCCGAGAATATTTTTTCCCATTGCTTTTTTCAGAGAGAGTGGAAGGGAGAGAGAGAGAAAGAGAGAGAGAGGAACTTTAATGTGAGAGAGACACATCAACTGGTTGCCTCCTGCATGCCCGTGCCCTGACCAGGTGGTGGAGTGTGAACCTGTAACCCAGGTACATGTCCTTGACTGGAAATCGCACCTGCAACTCTTCAACATTCTACCCACTTAGCAACACCGGCACAGCTGTAGTTCCTTTTTAAATGGATTTAACATGCAACCCAGCAATCACACTCTCAGATATTTATCCCAGAGATATCAAACTTACTTTCATGCAGAAACATTGTGTACAAATGTTCATAGTAGTTTTATTCATAATAGTAAAAAAACAAAAAACAAAAACAAAAACCAATATCCTTTAGTGAGTAAATGGTTAAGGTACATTCATATCATGGAATAGTAGTCAACAATAAAAAGGAATGAACTAATGGTATACACAGCTTGGATGAACCTCAAGGAAATTACACTGAGTGGCCAGATTATTATGATCTCTGAAAGCATAATAATCTGGCCACTCAGATGATTATTATTATTATTATTAAAGGCTAATATGCAAATTGTCCCCTCCACAAAGAGTTTGACCAGCAGGCAGGCCGGCCAACTGCCCATGTCCCCTCCCCTTGGCTAGGCTGGCCGGCCTCCACCCATGCACAAATTCATGCACCAGGCCTCTAATATGCACACACACATACACACACACACACACACACACACACACACACTCTCTCTCTGAGTGCCCAGATTATTATGCATTCAGAGATCATAATAATCTGGCCACTCAGTGTATTTGGAGTGGAAAAAGTCAATCTCAAAAGAATGGATACACACTGCATGATCCCACTGATGTAACAGTCATGAAATAACATAATGATAGAGATGGAAAACAGATTAGTGATTGCCAGGCATTAAGAATGGGAGGAAGAGGGCGGCTCTTTTGATAATGGTACAGTTAACTACCTTGAGTGGTTGTGCCTACACAAAGGCACACACATGATAAAATTGCATAGAGCTATACACACATCAAATGAGTGCATGTGTAACTGGCGAAATGTGTGCATGCTCTATGGATTGTATCAATGCCAATTTGCTGGTTTGGGGTTGTACTAACTATAGTTACACAAGATGCTAACATCGGAGGAAAATGAGTGAGGGGTGCAGGAGGAGTCCCCCCATCCACCTCCACTCCTACCCTGTACATTTATCGGCAACTTCCTGTGAATCTAATCATTTTAAAATAAAAAATAAATTTGTGGTAAGAATATTGAAGATTTACTGTCTTTCAAAATAAGCCAGGCTCAGAACCCACATGACCAGTCATAGGAGCCACTCAATGTTGTCTTGCTATATGGTTTAATATATTTTTGGTATCTTCACCGTTGCTGCTTTTTATAAATGAACACGGGTACATGGAAAGTCAATGAAGCATTCTTTCCCAATTCTGCGTATTCACAGAGGAACTAATGGCATACGTTCTCTGTGCTGTCTGAGCCCTAATTCCCTCCTGCGCTTCTGTTTTCTGTTTTGATAGAGCTGAACTTATGGCTGGATCATCCCACCCCACCGTTTCTTCCCCCAGAATGGGGATGATGGTTTGTGTCTTAAAAAGTCCTCTCTCCTCTCTCATTAAAAGGTCTTTTCATAGCCCCAAATAAAAAATGCTTGTTGCCTCTTTTCTTCTGCCTGCCCCATTCTGTCTCCATGTTGGGATGGGACTTAGAGCCACTGGGTACCTTAAATGTAACTTACTCATTTTGTGTTTCAAGCTTTATTGTAGCATCCCTAAGATTGAGCATTCAGCCACGTAGGCGTGTCTGGAGAGTCTTAGCAGCTCAGAAATCCTAGGGCCTTCTCTTGTCTCTGCTCGGTGGTGAGTAACCTTGTATTCAGGGAGAGAAGCGAGGGAGAGAAGTAGAGAAGCATCAGTTATACAGAATTATTCCTTGGAAAACCTGACTGTCCATTTCTCCCCCTCCCTGGCGGAGGGGGCGGAGGGCGGGGGGTGGGGGCAAACTTAGGCGTTCCTGACAATGTTCAATCATACAAAATGCCAACACAACGATACTTTTGAATAGCAACGAAGACCTTAATGTGACTTTGGCACAACATGAAAGCTATGAGACCTCCTGTTTATATCTTCCTGGAACAAATCACTTCCCCTCGGGCTTGTAAAGCCTCAGAGCTGATGACAAAAGACAGTCGTTTCCCACTTCAATGGAGAGAAAGCAGAGACAGCTCTAAGGTCTCGGGATGGGTAACCAGTAGATACTGTAGGAGAGTACGTTCACCCTTGAACCGGGCCCCTCACTCCATAGTTCTCGGGGCTTTGGTATCCAGTGTGACCACCACGTTCGATAGTAAAGAGCAGCCGGGGTAAGACATACCTATTCATCTTGGCAGAGAAGATACTTGGTTGTATTTCTCATATAACGTCTTGAATTCTGAAGGGAAAAAAAAACAAAACAAATCAGAACGGTTTATGTCAAAGCCAGGGCGCTGGTGCGAAAGGTGAATCTCTAAATCACATGTGTCAAACACAAGGCCCGCGGGCCAAATCCGTCCCGCCAGGCCTTGCAATGTGGCCCGCACCGCGCTGTCATCACTGCACTCCGCTGCGTTTCCATCACAATGACAGTTTATGACTGTTCAGTAAACCATTCGGCCCGCGACTTAGGGTGGATTTTAGATTTTGGCCCCTTCTCTGATTGAGTTCGACACCCCTACTCTAAATCCCAAGGACTGCTAGAAAAGCTTACAGATTCAAGTCAGGGAGTGGAGGTTTGAAAAATATTGCCAATCCCCCCCCCCCCCCCGCCCCTCCCTCCCGCCACTCCTTGAAGGGTTAGTCCTAATGAAAGCATGTCAACCACGTGTTGGATTGTATACCCTCCACATCCAGCCTTTCTGAATGAATGGAGGGATGAAGGAAGACGCCACCAGGTATCTCTCTGAAACATGCCTGCTGGCTCTGCTACCAAGGAGTTATCCTTGGCTCCCGGAGGGTTCGCTTTGGGTGGCTTTTCTTTTACAGATTATTCCTTTTTACCGACCCTTTCTCAGGATCTTGCCCTCAGTGGTTGATGGGCCCTCCTGAGACGGACTCTGCTCTGAGCACCCGCAGGATCATCCCCGAGTCCCCACGTGCCTGCCAGGCCATCTCTGACACCTTGCGGTCATAGTTTGGTTTGCGATCATCGAGCCTCTTCAGAATGCCCTGGTTTTCCACGGTGATTCTCACTAGGTCCCGGTTCCTTGTTTCTCTGTTTAAGCTGAAAAACAAACAAAACAGCAACAACAACAAAACACTTACACACAGAACCTTGGTGAAAAATAAAATTCTCCTGGCCGAAACCGGTTTGGCTCAGTGGATAGAGTGTCAGCCTGCGGACTGAAAGGTCCCGGGTTCGATTCCGGTCAAGGGCATGTACCTTGGTTGTCGTTACATCTCCAGTGGGGGTTGTGCAAGAGGCAGCTGGTCGATGTTTCTCTCTTATTGACGTTTCTAACTCTCTATCCCTCTCAATTCCTCTCTGTGTAAAATCAATAAACTATATTAAAAATAAATAAAGAAATAAAATTCTCCTAGATAGGAATGGGGGCAATGAAGTCACGATGTCATAACTGCCTGGGCACAGGGAGCAAGCTGTCCCAGCTGAGCCCCGAGGCCCCGCGTGCCTCCTGAACCAGACTGCATCCTGGGAAATGGCAGAGCACTGGCCGGTTTAAATCAGTGGTTCTCAGCCCCACTGCTCCCTAGAAGATTCCAGTCGATTGGTCTGGGGTACAGCTTGTAAAAAGTGGCATTTTGTAAACGCCCTTAAGGAATCATGTGAAGCAAGGACTGAGAATGTCTGATTTCTGTGATGAGGGAAGGTCTTGCCTAGAGACAAATCTCAAATGGCCGGTGACAAGTTTTGTTTTATCTCACTTCCCTTAGCTTTCAAGTCAATTTCAGATATACAAGGACCCAGAAAAGGCACAGGCTGACACTCTCTCTCTCTCTCTCTCTCTCTCTCTCTCTCTCTCTCTCTCTCTCTCTCTCTCCTTCTCCTCTCTTACATACACTTTTGTAGCCCCGACCACATTGCATTATTATTTACATGACTATCCCCCATTAGACCTGAGGTCTTTGAGATCAGGAAATATATATATCTTATCTCTGTACCCCAGTGCTGAGCACGTAGTAGCTCGGGAAATATTTGTGGAACTGATACTTAAGAAGGCTGTGTCCTAGTCCCAGTGAGGGTCACCACTTTGTAGAAGTCTGTAGTGCTTTCCTGCTGAGACTCTGAAGAAGTTAGTCTCTTAGCTGACACAAACGCACCTAACTGCTGGGAAATGGTTTGGTAGTTTTTGTTCTCCTTGGTTATTCCTCAAGATAACTTCCCCACAGTACTTCTCCCGCGCGGGAGGAACTTGCTCGAACACTGGACAGGGACGCGAGGAGAAGAAACTACCTCTTGGACAAGTACTCGTTCCAGCAATCCACCTTGGCAGGGCCGCGATGGGCGTTCGCGATCTTCTGACACAGTTTCTTGTTTTCATACTCGATTTTGTTGATTCTCTTTTGTTCACCCTGGTGAGAAAGCCCACCCCTCTGTGATGACATCGCCGCCACATCGTGCTGCAGCACACTGGCCTGGCATCCCTCCCCCCTGGGATTGTGGGAAAGGGCAAACCGCGGACCACAGTGGAGCCTGGGAGCAGAGCTGGAGAGCCTAGGGGTGATGTGTTTGGGGAGGGGCATTCGCGAGTCTTTTGGTTAGGGATGGGAACCCCTTTCACGCCCCACGTAGTTCGGAGTTCGGGCTCTGGTTCCGGAGAAGGGCCGCACACAAATGAAAGAGAGACTAGAAAAAACTTAATCTGACGATATGGGGGGCCAGGCGGGAGCCCACCTCTAGTGGGAGGACTGCCTCTAGGCTCTGGCCTTGCCATCCCTTTTATTGAGACTATGGGATACACCCATTACCCTTAAGTAGGCAGGTAATAAGCGGATTATCATACCAGTAAGGATTTACATGATTACAAGATGGGGAAGTTGCCTCAGTTACCATTGTCTCAATTAGATAGGGAGTGGTTGGCTCTGGCCTTTCAGAGCTTCAAGATTGACCCGCCTTTTACATCTTTTCTGTTAGAGAGACAGTGGTCCGTTTCCGGCCGTTAGGTGGGTATTAGGAGATTCTGGGAAACGGGACCTCTTTAGGACCCAGGTAGAACTCAGTCAGGCACAGGTGCAGGTGGCAAGGACACATACCTGTAGTTTGCCCAGTTTTAAAATTTGATGTGTTTGTGCCACTGGAGGTTTGGTATCAACAGTAGGTTTCACTGGAGGATAAAAGAGAGCAGTTTTATATCACAGGAGACCTCGCATTCTGGACCATGAGCCCGGTTCATAAACATTACCATTCTGAATTCTGACCTTAATCCAGTTCAGGAGTTTTAGGTTAATCTCCCAAACTGACATCTTTGGAGTTCTGAGCAGGTCAGGATGGTAAGGGCTAAAATAAGTAAAATGTATAGAGACATCTGTCCTTTGAATTCCAAGGAAGAGCTTCTCTCCCACCCTTCCCCAGTAGGACCAGCTTGTCTATCGAGTGCTGAAGCCTTGTCCTCTTTCTATCTTACTTTGGCCTTAAAGTATTTAAATGAGCCTGGCTAGTGTGGCTCAGTGGATTGGGTGTTGTCCCATGCCCCAAGAGGTCACCTGGTTAGTGCACATGCCCAGCTTGTGAGCATGATTCCCAGTGGGGGTTGTGCAAGCCAATCAATGATCTCTCTCTCTCTCTCTCTCTCTCTCTCTCTCTCTCTCTCTCTCTCTCCCTGCCTCTCTCTCTAAAAAAATCAATAAAGGTATATTAAAAAAGAATGTGAATAAGCATTTCTGTCACCCTTGTGGGAGATGACATTTGTCACTGATGCTAATGTCCTTTTGACCCAACTCAGTAGGTAAGGCCACATCCTCTCAAAGCCAGGTGCTGGTCTGGTTTGCTGTCAGCATCTCTAAGGCGGACTCCTTCCTGAACCCCTCATGGCAGCGTCCAACCCGTACTGCCCACATACCTATTTGTATCCTATTCTTGTGAGATATGTAATGGCCAAAGTCCAGTTTCTTCCTGAAGTCTGTGCTCTGCCTATGATTAGAGACGATTACAGGGTAGGCTAGATACTCCAGGGAAGAATTCATCTTCTCTTCCTAGTCTCACTTCTTCAGCAGTGAGGCAGCGAGGCTTCTCTGTGAGGTACTTTGCTGTCCCTATGATGGGTTGTCATAGTTACCCAGTTGTGACATCAGGGGCAGGTCCCAGGGAAGGAGGAGCAGCGGCAGAGCATGCTTAGTTGTCCCTGGCTTCTCTTTTGAAAGCTAACCCAGGCCCAAGCCAAGATGAGGAGTGAGGACCTCAGAAGCATTTTCACCTGCCTCGAGTGCAGATGCTACCAGGTACGCCATGGGTGGAGGGGGGCTCTGGGGGGCGGGCGGGTGGGGGTCCCGGGGCAGGGTGGGGTGGGAGTGGAGGTGGAGAAAGCCAGCCTTGGTTACATTCCTTAGGCTATAAGCTAAGTAGCCTCCACAGCAGTGGTTCCCCTAAAAGTGTGAGACCGTAAGCTTTCAGGGGAGATGGATGATTCTCTGACTGATAATCGGATCCAATTTCTTCCCTTTGCTCTGAAATCCAGAGCAGCAGCCACGTTAGAGGCAGAGCTGGGCTCAGACCTGGGTTTCCTGAATCCCCGGGCCACGTCTGCTTTGTGGGAGGGGGTGGTTGGTGGATGGGGAGGCGAACCTACCATTTTCCAGGCAGTTGGGGAGGGCAGAGACTGAGGTCTCAGGAAAGGACTGTGTGACGTTCTGTGGCTCCAGCAAGCCGGCGGCTGCTCGGCTGTGGATTCACCACTGAGGCTCCATCTCCACACCAGCACCGGGCGTGGCCCCGGGGGTGCTCCGCACACTTGCTGATGGAGAAGGGAGAACCAGCCCCCATTCGGTGCTCAGCTCTTTCCTCAAACGCCTTTCATCTTCCCATCGGCCCTCGGAGCTAGGAACTAGTATTATCATCCCCGTTTTTCTATTTCTCAGCAAACAGGCTGAGAGAGAGGAAATGACTCCCCTGAGCGGGAAGGCCGAGGCTGGCTGCGCAGAGCCCACGCCTTTATTTATTTATGCACCAGGCGGACCCTCCATGAATGTAGAGAGAAATGTGCCCAGAATCGGGCTTCTCAAACTGTAAGGCCTGTAAAATGCACATTGTCACTCCGAGGGCCTGGGGGGGGGGGGGCGAGGAGGGGCAGACAGTCTGACAGGCTCCGGGGGACCCGTGCTGCGCAGAGCGCACAGCGGAACCCCGATAATATGAGGGGGGAGGGGGGGGGGAAGCGACACTCGGTGTAGCCGGGTCGTATGAACATTTTATTGAGGCTCGCATTGGATCTGATGGAGTCACTGCACTTCCCAGTTTAGGAAGACACCGGGTGGGTGGGACCGCCCCCCGCCCCGCCCCGCCCCAAGCAGGAGTGCAGGCGCCTCCGCCCCGGGGGACGCGCCCAGAGCGCATCCTGAGGTTCGCCGGGTGCTGGGCGGCGCGTCCTTCCCGGCGGCGATCGCGGGTGGCCGCCGGGGATCCGCGGCTTCCAGGGCCCGGCGGACCCGCCTCCGGGGCGGGCAGGGGCGGGCCCGGGCTCGGGAGCTCCCGCCCCGCTGACCAGGCCGCTCTCCCCTCGCCGGTTGCCGCCCCGGCGTGCAGGGCCCGGACGCCGCCATGTCGGGCCCGTTCGAGCTCTCGGTGCAAGATCTCAACGACCTGCTGTCGGACGGCAGCGGCTGCTACAGCCTCCCGAGCCAGCCCTGCAACGAGGTCACCCCGCGGGTCTACGTCGGCAACGCGTGAGTCGCCGCTCCGAGCCCCAGGCCCGCGGGGCCCTCCCCGGAGCGCATCGCCCGCCCGGGGGCTGGGGAGGGGGCGGCGGCGGCTGCGGGCTTGGGGGGAACGGGGCGGGGTTGCCCCTTCCAAGCAGCCGCCGGGGCTGGGCCGGGGCTGGGCATGGGCTGGGCGTGGGCTGGAGTCGCCGCCCACCCCCACGCCGGGGGCGGAGGGGCTGGTCCCCGCCCCGGCCCCGCGTGGTCCTGCCCTTCCGGGGGCGCGCGGAGCCTGGGCGGGGGCCGACCGCCGGGCACTCGGCCTTGGGTGGGGTCGGGCTCCCGCGTTCGCTAACAGGTGGCCGCGGGCGCCCGGCCGGCCGGACCCAGGCCGGCGCGTCATGTGACAGCTGCCTGGTTCTGCAGTGAGGTCACCGCGGAATGTCTGCCTTCGCTGCCATGGCAACGGGCTGACATCACAATCCGGGCGTGGACCATTTCCCGGCTGAGCCAGACCAGATCTGGGAATGGAAATACTCTACATGAGGGGGCCATCCAGAGAGCTGGGACAGGGTTTTTCCTCGCTCTCCTTCTCCCACCTTCCAGATAGGGTTTGATGTACATGGATTCTAGAATGATCCAAGGATAAACCCTATAAGGACTTGAGCTATCCCTTAGAAAAGGCTTACCACCTTCTCACGACCAGGAAATGCATTATTTATCACTTGCAAGTTCTTACATTGATTTTGTCATGTTCTGCTAGCCATATTCCTAGTAAGAAATCCTCAGCAGCAGGAGAGACCAGTGTTAACCGTTCTGAGAGGGGCTGGTGAAGACCAGACTGCCAAGCCTGCAGAGTGTTGGGAGGCTCAGGCTGACTTTCCAAAGACCCTGAGGACCCAGTTACCAATGCCCTCAGGAACCATGGGCCCGGGGACTGCATTTAAAAACCCAGAACTACCCTCCTCTGTTTTACACACACACACACACACACACACACACACACACACACACACGGAGTGTCAACCGAGCAAGTGGTGGAGGGAGTGTGTGGACAGGGACAGTGTCTTTCTCATGTCAGTATCCTCTGGGTCCTGGCCTAGGACTTGATGCCAAGACCTGCCACAGAAATGGGGGTCATCTTGGAGCTTGAAGGGGTCCCTAAGGCAGGTCCCAGCCTCATTCATTGCATCGCTCACTCACTATATTGAGTACCTAAGTGTACAATGTTTGTTCATAGTAGTGACAGTAATGATCATGGCCAATTTATTGACTGTTGAATTAGCATTAGGGAAAGGAGATGAATGATAGTGACTCTTCAACGTTATTTTATTTGTATGTAATGAGCCACTGCTTTGCCATGGCAATGAAGTGCCCTGAGTAGGGATAGATCAAACAGAGCCCTAGACCTAGGGTCACAGCCGAAGGCTTTAGTGATTGCAAAGCTCTGAGCATGACCGTCTCTCAGCCATCCAAGCAGCAAGCGGCCTTGGCACCCTCGGAGACCTGGATCTCTTGGGCAGTCAGTCTGGCACGTTCAGTTGTCACCACTTCCCAATTGGAAACTGAGATTGTGACCATCTAGCAGTAGCCAGAGTGACTAGTGCTGACGGCTGCTGTAGAAAACACATTCCTTGCCCTCTGAGCAGATCTGACCTTGACTTAGCCAGGGGCGTGCCGGGCGCATGGCAGAGAGGATTGACCGAGTACCTAGCGTTCCCACACCGGTTGGGAGCCCCTTAACCAAACCAGGCTCCTGATCAGCGCTCCGAGGGCCGAGAGGGCCTGGGTGAGCCACGTTTTCCGGGCGTCGGTATTAGCAGTGATGTGGGCGTGAGAGGCAGCTGGTGTCAGGGGAAAGGAGGTCTCTTCCCGGCCCCGCTGCTCAGCAGCCCACGTGAGCACGTGCTCATCCTTCTGCTGTCCTGCCAGGCCGGAGTGTACGCTCTGTCCTTCCTTCTCACAGGCTGTGACAGGCAGCCCAGATCCTGTAGGGCACGGCGTTCGAATGGGGATGTTGTGAGATGGAATAAAGGAGCCCTTTGACTATTCAGATCACGTGGGTTATCACCCCCGTAAGTCCTGCTGGGGCCATGGCTCTCAGTGTTTACTCACCCAGGAAAGATTCACAACGTGGCTAGTGGACTGTGGCAGGAAGGACCCCTGTGGGGGGTGGGAGGAGGCTGCCATCCAAGGGAGGAGGCAGCCCGGGATATGCTGAGTTCCTTCTTCTTCATTCTTCTTCTTCATTCAGCAGCTGCTCGGTGCCAGGTGCCCTCGCAGGAGCTGGGCATACAGACCTGAAGCAGATACGGTTCCTCCGTCACAGAGCTCCCTGCCTGGGCATTAAACAAATGAGCACAGTCAAGTGTTAGAATAGGAGCACCGATTCAGTGTCTGGCTCTGTCTATAGAATAGAATTCACAAATCCCAGGGGTCCGGTGCCGTTTATCATCCCCATTTTACAGACAGGGAAACCGAGTCACAGAAAGGTTCAGTGATTTGCTCAGTGTCGCCTGGCTGGTAAGTTTCAGGGCTGGATTCAGACTCAGGCAGTCTGGCTCCAGAGCCCATTCTTAGCCATGTGGCTCTATCACCACCACCACCGACCGTATAGGGTGGTACTGCTGAGCGCGGTGAAAAAGGAGAGGGTGCACGTCCATGGAGAGGGCATTCTCGGCAGAACAGCTCCGGCAGGAACCAGTCTAATTGGGGAGCTGCCGGTAATGAGATACAGCTGGGGTGAGGGACGAGGGGCCCCAGGTGAGGAGGAGCTTGGCAGGTCCAGAGCACGGAGGGTTTCTTGCTTACCAAGAGGCTTAGTTAGCATCGTCTCCATCCTCCTCCCCCTGGGACTGCCTGTCGGTCCGGTAAGTATCCCCTGTTGCTGTCCCCTGTCTAGGTCTGTGGCTCAGGACATCCCGAAGCTGCAGAAACTGGGCATCACCCACGTCCTGAATGCAGCGGAGGGCAGGTCCTTCATGCACGTCAACACCAACGCCAGCTTCTACAAGGACTCTGGCATCACCTACCTGGGCATCAAGGCCAACGACACGCAGGAGTTCAACCTGAGCGTCTACTTCGAGAGGGCGGCGGACTTCATCGACCAAGCCTTGGCTCAGAACAACGGTAAGGAACCTGCTTCCATCCCCCCCCACCCCCCCCCACCCCTGGAAACAATGGGAGGCAGCTTTTTAAAAAAAATTTAAATTTATCTTTATTGCTTGAAAGTATTACAGATGCCCCTTATTTTCCCTCCAAAGGGAGGCGGCATTGACTGGACTCTTTCAAATCCATTGCTTGCTGTATCCTGCGATGAATGACTGAGAGCGTTATGTCTGTCAAGTGGGCCCACGTGACACAAGATGCACAAACCTTTCACACCGTGGCAGCCTCGGGGCCCTTGTGTTTGCTTTGACTTAGACAGAGGGTTCATTGCCAGCACTGCTCCCCTCTCCCCCCAGTTCAAAGAGCTTCAGCCGGCACTCTAGGCTGGTTGATTCAGAAGCTCCACGGTCGCGTCAGACGAGGTGCTTTCCCTCTCTCTGCCACCCTCAGCGTGGGGCACTCCCTGGAGGGTCTCAAGATGCCGCGGCATTCTGGTGACCACTTCCCAACAGGACGAAACGCAGCCGAAGATGCGGCAGCCCTCTCTTCCTCATGCTCCTCTCATTTAAAAATATATATTTTAAGTTGATTTCAGAGAGGAAGGGAGAGGGAGAGGGAAACATCTATGATGAGAGGGAATTATTGATCGGCTGCCTCCGGCACGCCCCCCACTGGGGATTGAGCCCACCACCTGGCCAGGTGCCCTGACCGGGAATTGAACCATGACCTCCTGGTTCATAGGTCGATGCTCAGCCACGGAGCCGCACTAGCCAGGTTTTCTCATTTTTTAAGAACAAATAAAACATTCCCCAGACATCCTCCAGTGCGATTTCCCTCACATCTCACGGCTAGAGCTGGGTGATGTGAGTGCCTGGCATGGGGAATGGGCAGCTGTGATTGGCTTAGGCTGGGGGTCAGCACTGATCTTCAGGTCAGATTTTGAACGCGCCCTGCAGCTCCCAGATGTAAGGTAAGACCGAGGCAGACCTGCTGAGGCGCTGGCAGCTGGGCAGGGCACGCCCGGGAGAAACCCTAGAAGGCCACGGCAGCTATCTGCTGAGTGGGCTGGGCCGCTGCCCTTTCTGCTTTCAGCTGTTTCAGCAGCTGTCTTTACCTTCACGCTGCCTCCAGCCTCGTCCTTCCTCCCCACGCCAAAACTACCCAGCGGAAGTGACCCCCACTGAGGTGTGATTGGCCCTGTCCCCCCGATGCTAGCCTGCCCCTGCTACGCAGATCCTTCTTGTGCCAACGGCTTCCCCGCTGAGATGATTGCCAGTGAACAGAGTTCACTAGACGCTAGTTATGTCACGTTCGGGGCCCAGGAGGAAGTTGGAGCTCCCAGGGAATCGGCAGACTTTACATCAGGCCTGTCATGGTCCCGCCTGTGTCACCCCCTCCACTCCAGCTGCTCTGAGCTCCTGTGTGGATGAGAACGAGGGTCCCAGTGAAGGGGAGGGATGTTGCTCTTGTGCATTGGTTGGGCACCCTTTCAGGGAACTTAGAGTTCTCTGACTTTGTTTCCTTTTTTCATACAGCTAGGAACATACCCTGCCCTTTGTGGTCATCTGCCTTAGCTCAGAGGTCAGCAAATTCATTAGTCAACAGAGCCAAATATCTACAGGACAACGTTCGAAATTTCTTTTGGGAGCCAAATTTTTTAAACTTAAACTTCTTCTAACGCCACTTCTTCAAAATAGACTCGCCCAGGTGGTGGTATTTTTTTAAATATATTCAATATATTTTTATTAATTTTTTACAGACAGGAAGGGAGAAGGATAGAGTCAGAAACATCGATGAGAGAGAAACATTGATCAGCCGCCTCCTGCACCCCCACCCTGCCCCCTATTGGGGATGTGCCCACAACCAAGGTACATGCCCTTGACTGGAACTGAACCTGGGACCCTTTAGTCTGCAGGCCGACGCTCTATCCACTGAGCCAAACCAGTCAGAGCCAGGCCTTGATATTTTGTGGAAGAGCCACACTCAATGGGCCAAAGAGCCGCATGTGGCTCGTGAGCCGCAGTTTGCCGACCACAGGCCTAGGTCATCAGTCTGGAAAGTCCTCCCTGCCTCTCCTGACACTGTCCTCTGCCAAACCCCACTGTGAGCTTTAGCGCTGGGCCTGTGTCCTCTCCTCCAGGACACTGGGCCCACCATGAAGTGTGTCTGTCTCTGCAGCACCTGACGTAGCCTTGGGCACATAGCAGGGACACTGTAAGTGACAATTGAATAAGGGGCCGAAGTGAATTCCGTGGGCTCTAATGCCCAGGGTCAGTGCTTCTGAGATTGGCCTCGGCCAAGTGAGTCGACAGAAGCCCGCTGTCCTCCCACAGTGCACAGGGCTCGGGGGAGGCGGCCAGGGGTGCTCAGGAGGGAGCAGTCCTTTGCGGCCCCGATGATCAAGGGGGGATTCCCTGAGTAGGTGGCGTTTGGGTGGGGCCTGGAAGGATGGGTTTGAACCCTCCTCTTCCTCACTGGCCCTGGGAGCCCTGGCTGTGCTGAGTGTTCCCGGTGTGAGGCAGCTGTTCTGCATCTGGTCCCATGAGCAGGGCCAGGCAGGGACAGCCCCACTCGGAGGACTTGAGGTGCGCTGGCCAGAGAGGACGGGCAGGAAAGTGGAGGACTCCCCCTCCTGCTTTGGGAGGCATTGGGAGAATAGAGCTGTGTTTTGGGGGACAGGGTGCTAGGAAGAGAAGAGGGAGAGGAGGAGATAACCATGCTGTAAGACATTGTGGGCCAGATGCTGCAAGGCATTGTGGGCCATTTGGGGCACCATGACATGGAGTGTTGGATTTTTTTTTGTCTTGGTTTGTTTCTGCATTTGAGAGTTGGGTTCCTTTTATTTTTTAACGGCTTTGTTGAGGTATAACTGACATCGAATAAACTGCACACGGTGTCATTTGGCAAGTTTTGACATATGTATACACTGTGAAACCGTCACCACAGCCCAGATAGGAGCATATCCGTCACCCCCACATTTCCTCTGTCTCCTGGGACCGCTCCCTTCCGCCCTCGGTCCCCTCCATTCCTGCGCAACCGCTGGTCTGCTTTCCATCACTGGACACCAGTGCGTCTAGTAGATTTTTATATAAACGGAATTACACAGCATGCATGCCTTTCTGGTCTGGCCTCCTTCACTCGGCATAGGTACTTTGTGTTTCATCCATGTTGTTGCATGAATAATAGTCCTTCCTTTTATTTTCTTAAAAATATGTTTTATTGATTTTTTTATTTTTTACAGAGAAGAAGGGAGAGGGATAGAGAGTTAGAAACATCAAAGAGAGAAAAACATAGATCAGGCAACCTCCTGCACACCCCCTACTGGGGATGTGCCCGCAACCGAGGTACATGCCTGTGATGGGAATCGAACCTGGGACCTTTCAGTCCACAGGCCGATGTTCTATCCACTGAGCTAACCCGGTCAAGGCAATAGTTCATGCTTTTTTTTTTTTTTTTTTTTTAAATATATTTTATTGATATTTTACAGAGAGGAGGAAGGGAGAGAGAGAGAGCTAGAAACGTCGATGAGAGAGAAACATCAACCAGCTGCCTCCTGCACATCCCCCATCAGGGATGTGCCCGCAACCAATGTACATGCCCTTGACCGGAATCAAACCTGGGACCTTTCAGTCCTCAGACAGACGTTCCACCACTGAGCCAAACCGGTTTCGGCAGTTCATGCTTTTTAATGCTGAGTGGTATTTGGTCATACAGCTGTACCACAATTTGTTTATCCATTCATCTGTTGATGGACATTCAGGTTGTTTCCATGTTTTGCTTTGGACTGAAACACAAGGTTCATGATGGAGAAGTGGCCGTGTCACAAGTAGATAAATCGGTGCACTGCACCCCACCCCCCCCATGTACCAACCCCCAGATCAAGAGATAATAACCAGCTCCCCAGAAAGTCTACCACGTGTCCAGCCTTAAATCCCTCTGCTCCTAACTTTTTATCACTCTCCAGCTTCTAACGGCATACATCAGCCAGGCTGCTCTCCTAATCTGTGGTATTATGCACCTCCTATTGGTGTATCTCATCCAGGTGGTTTCTGATAACTTCATCAAGCAGGTCAAACATGTGGCCCGCCGGCTGCGAGACTGACGTGCTTGGGGGATTCTACATTATCTTTTTATTTTTATTTTTATTTTATTGATTTTTTACAGAGAGGAAGAGAGAGGGATAGAGTTAGAAACATCGATGAGAGAGAATCATTGATCAGCTGCCTCTTGCACACCCCCTACTAGGGATGTGCCCGCAACCAAGCTACATGCCCTTGACTGGAATCGAACCTGGGACCTTTCAGTCCACAGGCTGACGCTCTATCCACTGAGCCAAACCAGTTTCGGCAGGATTGCACATTCTTGTTCTTTATCCATCCTGCCATGGATGAGCCTTGGGGAGTCCCCGCCCGGGGACTGCTGTGAATGGTGCTGTCTCTCAGCGTTCCGGTGCACGTCTCTGGGTGAACGTGGGTGCACATTCCTGCTGGGTGTGGATCTGGGGCGGAATTGCTGGGCCATCGGGGATGCATGGGTCCAGCGTGAGTAGATACTGCTTCTCAGTTTCCCACAGTGATGTGCCAACTTGCCTCCCCGCCCCAGCTGCACGTCAGCATCCTGGCTGCTCTGCATCCACACGGACGCTTTGTGTTTTCTGTCTTTCTCATGTGAGCCGTTCTGGTGGGTCCAGAAGGGCCTCCTCGCCTTGTACTTGTCATTCGCAGCTGCTGGAAGAATTTTAACTGGAGTCATGGTGCGATTGGATGGCCCCAGCTCACCGTGTCCCCCCGTTTCTTGCAGGCCGTGTGCTGGTCCACTGCCGCGAGGGGTACAGCCGCTCCCCAACTCTCGTTATCGCGTACCTCATGATGCGCCAGAAGATGGACGTCAAGTCTGCCCTGAGCATCGTGAGACAGAACCGTGAGATCGGCCCCAATGACGGGTTCCTGGCCCAGCTCTGCCAGCTCAATGACAGACTAGTCAAGGAGGGGAAGCTGAAACTCTAGGGCTCCCCCATGGCCTCTTCTCCGGAGCCCTGGTGGAGGCCTCCCTAGCTGCCACCTTTAGGAAACACAATGTACCCTGCTCCCAGCACCACCAGGCACTTGCCCACAAATCTGTTCCAACACAGCCCCGGGCCTCTTTCCCCCTGGGAACCCATAAAGAAGCTTGCTAAGGGACAGTCTTGCTCCCTGGTGTGTCCTATGCCTGCCGTTTATGGTGTCCTCTCCTGGAGGTGGGGTCGCGGAGGGGGAAGACCTGTGACATGCATGCTTCTGGGTGAGCCAGGGCAGGTCTGTGGATGTGTGAGAGCTGAGACACTCACAGGGGCCCTCCTGACCGCCCCGACTCCTTACCCCTGGGCCCTGTGCTGAGTGGGGACTGCAGCCCCTCCAGCCTTGTGTAAAGGAACTATGCAAACTCGGGCCCCCTCACCCCCATGTGTCTCCCCCTGGCTCCTGCTTGTAGGCAGAGGCTCTCCGTGAAGTGTGAGGCTGGCGTGGGGGAGCCGTCCGTTGTGAGTGGAGAAATTCCCACGGAGAGACCACATTTGAACCGTTCCCTTCAGATTAAAGATGCCTAGACAGACAAAGAGGCCCTCAGGCGGGCAAACGGTCTCCCCCGGAGGCCTCTCCTGAATCAGCAGTTTCTATTGTAAAATGTGAACCCTTGGGAGGCCACGGGGACATCGCCCTGGGACTGCGCTCGGTTACCTGGCTTGTTGGGAGAGCCGTGCCTTGGGCACAGTTTATTTTTCTTTTTTAGAAAACAGGGTGTTGAAGTCCAGCCTATTTAAAAACCCCACCATTTGGAGAATTACAAGGGTTTTGTCCTGAATTATAGTGTTGGCGAGCCCAAGCCACTCGTGCTAGCTGCTTTTTGTCTCGGTTGCTATTCCAAGAACAGGAGGAGGAAGTTGGCCAATTACAGTGTGTGTGTGTGTGTGTATGGGTGTGTGTATGGGGTGCGTGTGTGTATGGGTGTGTATGGGTGTGTGTGTGTAGGGGTGTGTGTATGGGGTGTGTGTGTGTATGGGTGTGTGTATGGGTGTGTATGTGTGTGTATGGGTGTGTGTGTGTATGGGTGTGTGTGTGTATGGGGGTGTGTGTGTATGGGGGTGTGTGTATGGGTGTGTGTATGGGTGTGTGTATGGGTGTGTATGGGTGTGTGTGTGTGTGTATGTGTGTGTAGGGGTGTGTGTGTCTCAGAAACACAGCCAAAGGATGGACGAACACAGAGATGAACGGCTCCAGGCTCACACCCTGTCCACCGTCAGGTCGTTCTGGCTCTCTGGTGCCAGAAAAGATGCTGGGCACTTTGGAGCAAAAATGACTCAGCCGGGCAGAAATGCAGTGTGACGGAGTGGCCAAATGGAGCCCTTATTGGTGGTAGAGCAAGCAAGCAAGCAAACAAAAACAACTATTTTTTAGGAATGCACTAGCTCACACATGTGTGCGCCCACCTGTCAGAACACAGGGTTTTCTCTTCAGCAGCCTCGTTAGAACTTCGCATGATTGCCGTCATGGAGAGTGACACCGTGCTGCACACAGGTCCCCAAGCAGCCACGCCCCCAACACCCAGCACCGAGGTGTCTGTTAGAAGTCTGTGCAATTAAACTTTTTTATTTTATTTTTTTTGAGCACCAAATATACGTAGGGCATTGTTGTGGTGGGTGTATCGAGCTCCCAGAATCCTGAATGTGTGGTAGGGTCACGTGCAAAGACTTGCAAAGGGGTCTTGCCGGACGTGAACTATCAGGGACTTCTGTGGAATGTTTAAAGTTGTTTTTAAGTTTAAATCCAGGCAGTGTTAACGCGGGGAGGTGTGAAATGTGCCTTTCTCAGTCGACCAGGAGCTCGCTCTCTGCCGGGACAGGGAGAAGCAGGCAGTGCCTTTGGAACTCACTTGCAGGCTGCAAGGTCTCTATCTCGGCAGGGGCAGCACTGCGCAGCCTGACCAGCAGGGGCAGCACCGCGCAGCCTGGACTGCGCTCTTCTCTGTGCCCACAGCAGCCCCGAACAAACCAGGATCTTATTCAGATGCTGGCTGCCCAGATAGAGCCACCCAAGTGAAATGGCCATCATCGAAACTCTGTACCTCAGTTTTCAGATAACCCTCCCACTCAAATCTAACTTGATCCTCACAATAACCCTCGGTGGTGGATCTTTGTGTGTTGTTGTTCCCTTACAAGAAAAAGGAGCCGGGGTTCACGGTGATTAAGGACATGATGCCCTACATTGCCCAGTGTAAGGAAGAATGGATGCCATATTTCAGGTTTGCTGCTTCCTGAAAACTGAATTCTTTCTCTCCTACAACACTCCTCCTCAATAAATGAGTCCTCTCTTCCCCGCCCCCTACAGGCCGGGTTCAGGTGTGCAGCCCCTGCCCTTGACTCAGCCCAGGTGTGCAAGGGCCAGTTAGCTTTGTGGACAGAGCACAACGATTCGAGCTGTGTTGCCAAGGGAGACCTAGAGGAGGGCGAGACAAGGTTGGCACAAAGCCATCCGGGCTCCAGGAACAGGAAGTACACGATTGGGTTCGAAAGTGTGCCTTCTTCAGGACACATGTAGCATCCCTAAGTCTGAGCTTCCTGCTCCACTCCTGGGAGAGGCTCGGGATGTGGGGCCCAGGCTCCCCTCCCACACCAGGCCGTGGTCACCCCACAGGACAGCCACAGCCACGCAGGAAGGCCTGTCCGCGGGGCCCTGAGGGGAAACGGTCAGTGGGAGAATTACTGCCTTTATGTTGGGACTACTTTTATGCTGGTAACTTGGATTTCTTGATAGTTTTTAGTCTCAGAATCCCCATATTTACGTCATAAGATTTAGCTCCTAGTTCTTTGAGGAAGTCACATCAGATTCTATCGTGTAAGAGTCAACACGTGCCCAGCGCTGAGGGGAAGCTGTTTCTGGACAGCTTCACCCCTGGGAAGCGATGGGATAGGAACTCAGGGCGCCCTCACTCCCTCCCCTGACCCGATCCTTTTCTTCAACTAGCAGACCCCCACGTTAGAGCACCAAGGGTCTCCTCTCTCCAAAGCAGTGCACATGCCCCAGGCGGGTCTGTCTCCCTGCCTCTCTGACTTACCTGGAGAGCGTCACTCAGCATCTACAAAACAAGGGGAGTCCTCTAGAAGGCCTCCGCGGTCCCTTTGGCTCTGACACTAGGGTTTGCAGAGAATCCCCACTTGGCATTGACCACCACCAGGAAGTTAGAGGGTGTGTCATGAGACGGTGACCGGCAGGTGGCGCTGCGTCCCACCCCGGGGTGATGGATGGTTCGAAAATGAACGTTGGTGCCTTTTGTGTCACCAGTTAATGTAATAGATGCTAATGTTTTAGTCAGAATAAGCACTGATCTTATAACAAAGATATAAGCTTTTCTTGCAGGAGATTTCCTGTCATAAAACTAGTGTCATGTATCACTGAAGAGCCAACAGCAATGGTCCTTCCGTCTCAAGATGTTATTCCGATTGGCTTAGAGGCTGTCTCCGGCGGCGGAGAGAGCAGATTGGCAGGAAGCTTCCCTTCCCTCCTGTCAGCTTTCAGGGTAATTTGATTGTGAAAGTGTGAATTTTCTGGACAGGAAAGGGGAAGGTACTGTTTGTTTTTTAAAAGAAGTTTAATGTCTGTTATATCACAAATCAGTGTTAAAATACTAATACTGTAACCAAAATAAATGTCTTATATTACCAAGAAATGGTCTCGTTTTTGGTCCCTATCACAGTCAGTTGCTTTAAGCTACCTTTTATGTTTGCTTTTTCTAACTTTCAAAAAGAATCATCTAAAAATCGGCCCTCCTGAGCTCAGTATAGGTTCCACACTGATGATGATTAGACAGTAGGTTTTTTAAAAATACATATATTTTATTGATTTTTTACAGAGGGGAAGGGAGAGAGAGAGAGAGAGTTAGAAACATTGATGAGAGAGAGTCATCGATCAGCTGCTTCTTGCACGCCCCCTACAGGTACATGCCCCTGACCGGAATCGAACCGGGGACCCTTCAGTCTGCAGGCAGATGCTCTATCCACTGAGCCAAACCAGTTTCGGCTAGACAGTAGGTTTTTGATGAACATCCTTCCAGGACCAGAAATGTCCTGTGTGAGCGAGTCTTTTTACTTATTTCATTTAAATTTTTCAGATTTATTGATGTATAATAGACTGGAATATTCTTGAGTGCAAGGGCCCGCCCCTAATGAGGGAGGGAAGGTTTATGGTTCTAAGGAAGCAGGGGTTGGGGTGACAGTCTCAAGGTGGCCTCAGGTGAAGATGATTGGGTGCATTTTAGGGCTTGTTATCCTGCAAAGGGCCAGTCCCAAGACATATCCCCGACCCCAGATGCTTTAAGTCCCACCATTAGCATGCTCCCCCTACCATGAGCACCAAAATGGAAAAAAAAAAAAAAAATCCATTTCCCCTCTGACTAAACAACTCGGAGCTGGGTGCCTTTATCCCCAAAGTCTGGACAGCAAAAGAGCCTCTTAGCCTTCACTGAGAGGCACGTAGGCTAACGCGCTATTTGTCAGACCGCTGTGGCAACACTATATATATATTTTTTTATTTTATTTATTTATTTTTACAGAGAGGAAGGGAGAGAGATAGAGAGCTAGAAACGTCGATGAGAGAGAAACATCGACCAGCTGCCTCTTGCACACCCCCTACTGGGGATGTGCCCGCAGCCAATGTACATGCCCTTGATCAGAATCGAACCTGGGACCTTCCAGTCCGCAGACCGACGCTCCACCACTGAGCCAAACTGGTTTCGGCACAATCTTTATATTTTGACACTAAATCTTGAGGCAGAGCACTAAGATGTAACACTGGTCAAGGTGTGTTTTTTTTTTAATGTATAATTTTTGAAACATGTTAAGTTATACATAGTAATAAATTCAAACAATACAAAAGGCTTATAAATGAAAACTGAATCTCCTACCCCAAACCTTCAGTCCTCAGAGGAAGCCACTATTAAGTATATCCTAGAAAAATTATTCCTCACAAGTGCGTGTACATTTACAATTATCTCAAAATTAGAAGTTTACTTTGAAAAATTCCCTTGTGCAGGATGTTCACAAGGATAGGGGAACGTTGGATATAACCTAACCTACCCACAACCGAAGTCAGCTAAAACCCTAGGGGTCTGCCTCCCGCAGCGTTGTCTAGCTCTGAACAACAAGCTTCCGGGTAAATATAAAGTTGAACTGATGCTAAGTAAAAAAAAGCCGATGGTGCCCTGGCCAGTGTGGCTCAGTTGGTTGGACATTGTCCCGTCCACTGAAAAGCTGCAGGTTCGATCCAATTGACGTTCTCTCTCACACTGACATTCCTCTCTCTCCCCCGGCCCTCCCTCTCTCCCTTCCAATCTCTATAAAAATAAATGGAAAGAATATCCTCAGAGAGAACTAATAGAAACAAAAACCAAAAAAGGAAGCATATCCTGGGGTGAGGATTTAAAACGAACAAACAGCAGATGGCATCATAGCCGGGTTTCTCTTGGAACCAATCTGTGGAAAGCATGGCACTCCACTGGCAGAGAATTCATCAAACATTTGGAGATAATTTAGAGATTCAAGTCCACTGGCTTCCTCAATCTCTCTCTCTCTCTCTCTCTCTCTCTCTCTCTCTCTCAACATTAGTTTCAAATAAAATAATGAAATAAAATCGCGCCGAAACCGGATTGGCTCAAAATGGATAGAGCGTTGGTCTGCGGACTGAAAGGTCCCAGGTTCCATTCCGGTCAAGGGCATGTACCTTGGTTGCGGGCACATCCCCGGTAGGCATGTTTCTCTCTCATCGACGTTTCTAGCTCTCTATCCCTTTCATTCCTCTCTGTGGAAAACCAATAAAATATATTTAAAAAAAAAAAAAAGCAACGGCTTAATAACTAGTATAAATATATCTAACTAAAACTGGCAAAAAAATAAAAAAAACTTACATGTTAAAAAAATAAATAAATAAAAATTTTAAAAAATGAAATAAAAAATCGCTTCTCTGCCTTTTGGCTAAGATCAAGTAAAAAATAATGAAATAAAATCCTGACCTTCGCCATCCTCCGGTAGCTGGCTTCTCCTTCCACCACCAGCAGGTGGCAGAAGTGTCCCAAGGATGGTCCCTGTGTCTCCAGTTCACGCGATGGGCCTGCAGCTTCCAACAGCAGGTGGGGCTCCAGCATCAATCCCGGCAGCTCGGGGTCTCTGGGCAGCAGGACAGCCCTCTCCAAAGTCCAGGACAAGGAAGGCCGTTGTCCGGCCACCACAGGGTTAACGGTGCACATTCCAGAGCCAGGGGAAAAGAGGCTGGAGGGTCACAGACAGGGGAGGGGGCACGAAGGACCAGCTTCTCACAACACACACAGGCTCTGCTGGGAGAGATAGATCACCCCCAACAATGGCCACAGCTGTTTTCGCCTGCCCCGGAGGAAAGACGGAGGAAGCAGGTATCAGAGAGGGCCCTTCCTGCAGGGGCTTCTGTCTGGCTTGTAAAACTGTCAGGGCAGCTGCCTTCATGTGCTGAGTGATGGATGATGGAGAGGAGGAGGGACCGATGGCCACAGATGGACACACCACAGGCTCACAAGTCGGGGCAGGTGGTGGAGGCCGTGCAGATGCGCTGCAGGTGGGGCGTGCTGATTCATGGCCCCGTGGACATACCGAGGGAGCCTGAGCCACGGCTCTCTTCCCAGCCTCCTCCGGGGCCGGGAGCGGCTGCCTTCTCAATCCATCTCCTTTCTCTTCCTGCACCTCAGGTGTGAACTCCTCCCGCCTCTGCCCCTCCCAGGCCCCTCATTCTGCCCCGGGGGGCGGGGGGCTGCAGGGAGCGATCCCTCTGGGTTTCTCCAGGGCTGGCTGGACCCGGGAGGGCTTCCTGGAACGCGCCCCCCATGGTCGGCGGGCACCAGGAAGATTCCCCAGAGAGGACGCAAAGCTGGTTTTGAAACATGGAATGGGCTGGGAGACGAGGGAGGAAAAAAAGTGTCAGCCCTCAAAACGCCGGCCTTGGCTTTGGCTAAGGGGCTCCGTGCTCACCATGCCTGCCCGCAGCCTGGCTGGGGAAATAAATGACTGCCTTTGGGACACCAGCCTGCAAGCCACCGCGAGTGTGCTGGCCAAAAAGCGCCTGTCCCTGCGAGCAGGACCTCTGCGGAGCGTGAGCTGGGGCTTCCTCTCTGAGCTCCATTGCCAGCGCCTGCGAGCCTGCCTGGCCGCCAGAATCCCAGCCCCTGGCCACAAGGGCGGCCCTCGGTGTCCTCCCCCGCCTTCCCAAAGACGCCAAGAGGGGCTTTCTTGGCCAGCTGCATCGATGCTGAGCCTCGTGGGATGGACACCAGCGAGATTTCTTTAAAAGCTCCCTTCTGCCTCCGCCTGGGTCTGTGGGGGCCAAATGGACGCCGAAGGGCCATTTGCTGGGGTTACAAATGAACCTGGGATTCTCGGGGCTCAGCCCCGTGGCGGGGGGCTCAGAATGGCAGCGTCCTGCTTGGTTAAGCTGGTGTAAAGCTTGTTTTGAGGAAGCCCGAGGGGCCCAGGGAAGTGGAGATTAAGGGCCGGGCTCATTTTGATATCTGGAAACCACAGCCGCCTGCGCAGAGGAGGTGCTGGAGAGCAGGCTCGAGCCACCCTCCCACCCCCGCCCCCACCCCCGCCCCGGGGTCACCGGGAGCACCAGCGGCAATTTGGGAGTTTGCTGCACTCGAGGAGAAGTCTTTGGAGAGGGCTTGCTCTGAGCACACCCTGTTCCCTCCCCCTGGGCTGAGGGAAGCATGGGGCCAGCCCTGCCCCGGCCTGTCATTGGCTGGCACCAGGCAGAGGGGGCTTTAAAAAGGCAAACGTGCCTGGGCTGGGGACCGGAGCCTGTGCTACTGGAAGGCCAGGTGCCCTCCTCCAGCTGGCACCATGCAGCTCTCTCTCGCCCTGGGTCTCGTCTGCCTGCTGGTGCACGCGGCCTGCCGTGCGGTGGAGGCCCAGGGGTGGCAGGCCTTCAAGAACGATGCCACGGAGATCATCCCGGAGCTGGGCGAGTACCCGGAGCCCCCGCCGGAGCTGGAGAACAACAAGACCATGAACCGGGCAGAGAACGGAGGGAGGCCTCCCCACCACCCCTTTGAGACCAAAGGTATGGGGGTGGGGGGGAGAGAGCACTCTGAAGGCTGGGGTAGACCCTCAGGTGCTGCTGGCACTGGGTGGAAGGACAGTCTTGCCTCGAGGCAGGGAAGATGGCATGCCAATGGAGCCCTGGAATGGAGTGCACGGACTGGAGGCTGGCAGCCGGCTGGCAGAGAGCCTGGGCAGGATGGAGGTGGGCAGGCTGGGAAAGGAGAAGGTGTCAGGGAACCCCTTCCTGAGATCCAGGAGTCAGCACAGCTGCCAGCATCCCTGGGGGCAGGACAAGGCCAGGGACCTCACAGCCATAAGCGCTCGGTGGAGGCCGGATGCTCTGCGTGGGGCTGTGCATGTGCTACCCCCCAGGACGGTCCACGTGGGAGCCCCACGAGGTGAACGCCCGGCTGGAAGGGGAAGAAGTAGAGGTTCAGGAGGCTAAGCAGTCTGGTCGTGATTAGGACTGAGATTCGGACCCAGTTTGATCCCATTCCAAGACAGTTCCAGTGGGGGGTGATGGGTGGGACCTTAGGGATCAAAAAACCAGAGCAAATGCCCCCAAAGTGGTGGGGAGGGATGACAGAGAGACGCCTCATCAGCTCCCCCTGCGCAGGGTCTGCCCCGTGAGCTGGCCCTCGGATGGGAGTGCAGGCACCGCGTTAGCCTCTGAGGAGGGTGGCTGCTGAGGGGGGTGGCAGCAGCCTGTTCCGTGCAGGGAGCAGACACAGGTGCCTGCTGAGCCCAGCATCCGTCCTGTGCCCCCACCTGAGATCCGGCCTTGCCCGTTCCTGGGGAGGGAGCCTGACCCTGGCAAAAAGTCATGGCCCCGGCCCCAGTGGAGGGCACACCTGGGCTCCTGGCCAGGTCTGCACAGAGGAGTCTGGGGGGGTGGGGCGCAGTGCACAGCTGGCTCTGCAGCTGGCAGGAATGGCTGGGGGCAGGGGCGGGCGGAGCCTTCCGAGGGAGGGCCTCCCTGCCCTCAGGCCAGGGCCCAGCTGGGAGAGGAGCCCTTCCCAGGCTCCCGCCTCCTGTCCCTCCCAGCCTCAGGCCCGTGGGGCCGCAGGGACCCAGGAGGAGGTGTCCACTGCCCTGGGCTCCCAGGAGAGGCCACCAGCCCCCACGGGAGCCACGGGTTCCAAACACAGTCACCCCCTGCAGAGGAAGTGCCTGGCCTCGGGCGGTATTCTTGGACAGCCCCAAGCCTCTTCCCTGGGCAAATAAGCCACCCACACTCACCACCCCGCAGCCGCAGCCGGGAGCAGGAGAGGAAGCCAAGCCAATCCCGAAGCCAGAAGGCCAGCCCCCGGAGGAAGGCCGAACCCACAGCTCCGTCTCTGGTTGTGGTCTGAGGACTATTCCCATCCCTCTGTGTCACGTGGGAACGGTCCCATGAGCCCCTTGGGGTGGGCAGGTGCTCACAGGAGGACCAGCTATTGAAAAAAGCTCCCACCCATGTAAGCCCACAACAGGAGGCATCCTCCAGGTGACTTATTGGGACCGAGCCAGGCCTCAGAGAACAGTCTCCCCCCACCGGAAAGCAAGCCTGGTCCACTGCCAGGTGGCCATCCAAATGGCACACACGAGAGATGTGCCCAGCAGAGTACCTGGTACCCAACAGGCACTTACATGCTGGTGGCAGCTGAACCTGTAGGTTTTCAGCCGGAGCTGGGTCCCTCTCCGGTAGGGGAGTAACTATAGCAAAAAGCACCCCCACTCCCCCCCTCCTCCCCTCCCTCCCAGCTGCCACCCACGTGGGAGCCCAGCGGCGCTGGGCCCCAGGGACGTGGAGTCAGACCCAGCTCCGCCTTCCGGGAGAGTGCCTTCCCTCTCCAGGCTCCAGTGCTCTCCGTGCAGAGAAGGGGCTGGACATGCCGCCTTTGGCTCCTTTCAAGTCTAATGAGGTCCCCTCCCCTCTCTCCCTTCCATCCCTCCCCTCCACAGCAGCTGCCCTGATTTATCACCTTCAATTAACCCCCCACTCCTCTCTCCAGCACCTCCCCGCCCCTCCCCGGCGTCTAGAAAAGGAATTCGGGGGACGCCAGAGGCATGCACATTGTGCGGCCAGTATCAGCCTTGCGGAGGTCAGGGGCCCTGTGGCATCGGTGTGACTTCAGCAGAGCAAAGAGGTCCAGCTCGGAGAGCAATAATAACGTCACAGCCAGCACTGCCAGCTCTCACTGTGTGCTCGGTGGTGGCCCCTGCGCTGAACACTGTGTATGTAGTGGATTCACTCACCGAATCCTCAGGACAATCCCTTTTACAGACAGCAAGCACTGGGAGGTTAAGTCATTCCCCCAAGGTCACACAGTGATGGACCCGGGATTTGAACCGCAGGAAAAAAAGAAAGGAAGGAAGGAAGAAAAGAAGGAAGGAAGGAAGGAAGGAAGGTAGAAAGGAAGGAAGGAAGGCAGGAAGGCAGGAAGGAAGGAAAGAAGGAAAAAAAGGAAGGAAGGAAGGAAGGAAGGAAGGAAGGAAGGAAGGAAGGAAGGAAGGAAGGAAGGAAGGAAGGAAGAACTCCAAAGTTTTAGGGGCAATCTTTCCACCAGCTGGGCCCTTCCGTAACAGAAGTCCAGGGGCAAAAGCGCCCGGGGAGAGGCGGGTTTGGGGGAGGCGAGGCGGCGGGGAGGGAGCTGGCCGGACCCGGAGGGGTGGTGGTGGGGCCGGGCTCCGCCCTCACGCGCGCTTCTCCCCGCAGACGCGTCCGAGTACAGCTGCCGCGAGCTGCACGTCACCCGCTACGTGACCGACGGGCCGTGCCGCAGCGCCAAGCCGGTCACCGAGCTCGTGTGCTCCGGCCAGTGCGGCCCGGCGCGCCTGCTGCCCAACGCCATCGGCCGCGGCAAGTGGTGGCGCCCAGACGGGCCGGACCTCCGCTGCATCCCCGACCGCCTCCGCGCGCAGCGGGTGCAGCTGCTGTGCCCCGGGGGCGCCGCGCCGCGCGCGCGCAAGGTGCGCCTGGTGGCCTCGTGCAAGTGCAAGCGCCTCTCCCGCTCGCACAACCGGTCGGAGCTCAAGGACTTCGGGCCCGAGGCCGCGCGGCCGCAGAAGGGCCGGAAGCTGCGGCCCCGCGCCCGGGGCGCCAAGGCCAACCAGGCGGAGCTGGAGAACGCCTATTAGGGCCCGCCGCCGGCCGCGCCTCCCCGGCGGGCGCCCCTGCCCTCTGCGCGCGGTCCGAGTGTCTGTATTTCATTGTAAATGCCTGCGACCCCGGGCAGGGGCTCAGACCTGTTTCTAGGCCCTGTGGGTCCCGGCTGCCTGCAAAGCCCCACCCTCCCCACCCGCCGAGGGGGTCCCTCCGGGCGGGCGAGGGAGCTGAGAGTCACAGACACTGAGCCATGCAGCCCCGCCCGCCAGGGCCACCTCCCTTGGCAGTTCCCACTTCCGAGCAGGCAGAAGAGGAAGCCCTGGGGTTTAGGGAGCGCTGGGGCGTGGGAAAAGTCTGGGGACTGGTTATGAAAGGTCAGTAAGACACCCCCCCCCCCCCCAACTCTGGCCATTCTACAGTGCCAAGCTGTGCCAAGAGCACAGGACTTGGGTTCTCAGAGAGGGCTTCTGGTCCTGGTTCTGCCGCCCACTTTCTGGGTGACCGCGGGCTACATTCTTCCTTTTCTGAACCTTGACCTCCTATTTGTGAAATGCAGGTGGGGATGGGATGAGGATCTCAAGGAATCTACTGCCACCGGATTCCAGGGACTTGGGTGGCTTTCCACGGAGCAGGAAGAGAGAGGCTGGATGGAATCACTGTCTGGTTGGTCGTGTCCAGAACTCCCAGTTGTAATTTTCCGATCTGACACCCAAAGATGAAAACCTAGCGGGGGGTGGGGTGGTGGGGGTGGGGTGGGAGAAGGGTCCGTTTCTGGCTGCCAAACTCCTGCCCCTCCATCGCAAAGGGTGCAGAAGCGCCATCAACTGGTGGAGTGGAGGAGTAGGTCCCCAGGGTGAGGGGAGGGACAGAAATCACCCTCCTGTTTCCCAAAGAGTAGCACCCCCCCCCCCCCATGGCCGTGCTTTAAAGTCGCCTTCTGTAAAGAAAGAAGCTCAAGGTCCCAGGACACTGGGCTCACAGGCCCAAAGGATGACCCACACCCTTTCAAAGGCCACCACATCCCTCCCGAGTCACCTCCTCCTGCCGACCACTCACGGACACGTTTTTGTCTAGAGAACATTGCTTTTTACTGCTGTTTCGTGGGATGGCATAGCTTACATTAAAATAATATTATTGGGGGGAGGGGGATGACAAGAGCTGTACATAAGCTGATGAATCACTAAGCCAATTGCTGCCATCCAAAAGCCTTTTTGAAAATCGTCTTCAGACACCTCTTCCTTTCTGTGTAGTTTGTAATTGTTATTTTATTATTATTATTTTTTTAAACAGAAGCACATGCCATGTGAAAGCCTGCAGGGCTGGTCATTTTTTTTGTTTTTTTTTTTGTTGTTGCAATCTTTCATGTGGGGTTTGTCCACAGGAATGAAAGTTGTGGTTTTAAAAAAAGAGTTAAGTTACGTATTTATTTTCTCACTTAAGTTATTTATGCAAACGTTTTTCTTGTAGAGAAGGACAATGTTAATATTGCTTTATGAAATACCACCGGTCTGTTCTTTCGGAGGCCAGAGGCATTGTTAATAAAGACAATGAGTCGTTACCGAGAGGATGTGGTCTCAGTTTTGTCAACCACACACAGTCATTGCTGTCAAAGTTAACATCCTTCTCCTGGCGTGGTGACACACCTTTGGCTGCGCCAGCGTGGCCGTGTGGCAATTCCCTTGCTTTGAAAAGTCATGTTCGGCCCTTCCTTTCCAAACCTAGACCTCATTCCTTCACTCGGCCATTGTCATAACCTCAGCCTCGCCTCCCTCCAGCAGTCTGCCCCTTCCCATTGTTTCAAAAACTGTTCTCGCCAAAACCAGTTTGGCTCAGTGGATAGAGTGTCGGCCTGAGCACTGAAGGGTCCCAGGTTCGATTCCGGTCAAGGGCATGTACCTTGGTTGGGGGCACATCCATCCCCAGTAGGGGGTGTGCAAGAGGCAACGGATGGATGCTTCTCTCTCATCGATGTTTCTAATTCTCTATCCCTCTCCCTTCCTCTCTGTAAAAACTAAATAAAATATACTTAAAACAAACAAACAAACAAACAAATAAACACAAAACACTGTTCTCAACCTGCCACAGCCTCGCTCAGAATCCCTTATCAGCTGCTCCTTCCCAGGATCCAGTGCAGGCGTCTCGGTCTGGCCTGTAAGGCTTTGCCGGCTCGAGTCCCATCCCCCACGCCCCCAAGCTTCCTTCAGGACCCCACGTGCCCCAGGCCCGGTGGATGATCCCTACCTCCTCAGCGCGCCACCTGCCCGCACCCCCAACAGCTCCTGCTTTTTCTAGGGGGTCCGTGTTCCTTGTCAGCTCTTCCCTGAACCTCCCCGAGAGGTTTCCATCCCCACTGATCCTCCTCTCATGTCCAGACCCCTTTTGTCCGAGCCCCTGATTCTATGTCTTTCGTTTGACCTTCATTCATGGACCACCTGCCTCATCTGTCAGGAAGTTCTCTTTAGTTGCCATAAGGAGGGTCAAGCAATTGCAAAGCTTTAAATCAAGTCCAGCCCATCTGGGGGGAACCCCACCCTAAGAGCCCACCTTACCCCCCAAAGTAAGCTGAGGTCCGCCCTGGTGACTTACCACTTTATTTATTTATTTATTAATATATTTTTTTATTGATTTTGTACAGAGATGAAGGGAGAGAGATAGAGAGCTAGAAACATCAATGAGAGAGAGAGTCATCGACCAGCTGCCTCTTGCACACCCCCTACTGGGGATATGCCCGCAACCAAGGTACATGCCCTTGACGGGAATCGAACCCGGGACCTTTCAGTCCTCAAGCCGACGCTCGATCCATTGAGCCAAACCTGTCTCAGCAGTAGTGGCTTACCGCTTTAACTCCCCATGAACTCTCCCGAGTCCAGGATCATCATCAACAAGTCCATGCAGGCGGCATCGTGTGTTTCTGCCCCAGGCCCCGGGAGGCCTCAGGGAGACCCTTCGGGGAACCCGTGCTTTGTGCGGGCGCCCCAGAGCCCGGGACACGAGAGCAGGTAGGAAATGGACGCGTTATCCAGCTCCCAGAGGCAGTGTGGTCCGGTGGCCGAAACACGGGCTCTGGAGCCATGTTTGTGTTTGAATCTGAGGAAACGGAGGCATCAAAGGGTCAATTCCCTGCCCAGACATTCATTCATTCAAGCTGCTCAGTGCCTGCTGGCCACGTGGGCCCATGATCCGGTCGCACTGTTCCGTACAGAGTGTTATGGCACCAAAGGCAGGAGTGGTGGGGACAAGGGATCAAGTTTAGGGAAAGGTTCACGGAGGTGGGAGCTGCTTAGAGGCTCAGCAGGTGGAGAAGGGAGCACAAACATTCTAGGCTAGGGGTGTCGAACTCAATCAGAGAAGGGGCCAAAATCTAAAATCCAGCCTAAATCGCGGGCCGAATGGTTTACTCAACAGTCATAAACTGTCATTGTGATGGAAACGCAGCAGAGTGCAGTGATGACAGCGCAGTGCGGGCCACATTGCAAGGCCTGGCGGGACGGATTTGGCCCGCGGGCCGTGTGTTTGACACATGTGTTCTAGGCGAAGACACCGCCCAAGCAGAGGCCCGGGGGCTGAAGACGTGTGGCTGCTTATGGGGAACAAGACTCCATCCAGCATTTCTCAATGTGCACTGAGTCCTCCGTGCGCGCCCGGCCATGCGGGGGACAGGAGTGCCTCCCACCAGGGACACCCAGCTCTGCTTCCTGGGACCTGGAGGCCCAGGAGGCATCAGCCCGGCTACCATCCCGTTACCACGAGGGGGAAAACCTCCCAGGCCAAACTGTAGGTCAGGCGAGGGGTTATTTATGGAAAGTTATACTCTACCTACATGGGGTCTGCGAGCCTGGCACCTCTCAGACACGGGGCTCCGCTGGAAGCAGGGACTAGGGTCTGTGGGTCTGTCCCTGCCCACCAATCCCCAGGCTCCGGCAGGCGCCTCCCAGGCACTGTGGTTGCACAGCTGTTGTTCAGCCCACCTAGGGTCTCTTCTCTCTGGGACCAGGTGGATGGAATGGAATGGGGTGTATGGATGAAGGTGGAGGTGGGGGGTGGGAGGAGATCTGACCTCCGTGAAAGGAAGCTGCTGGCCTGGATCAGCTTCTCCTGGGTCTCTGAGGATAAGACACAGCTCCCGCCCTCACGCTGGGAGAGACGTGGGAAAGGAGGGGCACCAGGTGTGGACTATCTGATCGTTTGCCACGGGAGTGCTGGAGCTCCGAGGGGGTGAGGGAAGAGGCAGAGAAGAGAAGGAGCAAGGGGATCCCACACCAGCATGGGGGGCCTGGCACACAGTGGGCACTCTCTATCCAACTTATCACACAAGGAAGCAGCGGAATCCGGGAAGGAGAGGACGCGGGTTGGGGGTAGAGTTGGATACTGTCCGTCAGGGCTGAGGAGAGGAAGCACAGAGTGAAAAGGAGGGAGGGGCTGAGTCCCATCACGGTGGCATCAGCTCCCATGGGGAAGACGGGGAGCTGGGTCGTGGGTGCTGAAAGGTGCCTCGAATAACGGGCTGCTTTGGAGACGGAAGCCTGCCTTCCTTACAGCCTCACTCCCCCGAAATCCCCCATTTCCCCACCGTCATCTGGGCTGCCTGCACCGGGGTGCTGTGCAGAGGGCAGCTGCAGGTGGGAGAGCAGGAATGGGAGATGGAGGAGAGCGGGCCGGCAACAACCCTCATTTTCCTGCTTACGGCGGAGGCAGGCAAGATGGGGGCAGGAGAGGAAGGAGGAGGAAGGCGAGGATGGACATGGGGAGGAAGGGGAGGGTAAGCAGCCGTCATTCCACTGATCCTGACTGAGTGCCAGCTGCGTGCCAGGCTCCGCCCGAGGCTCCAGGAGTGTGGTTGTGGTTATGGAGCCTCGTGCCGCTCCTGGTGTGTGCCAGCAGGGAGACGGGCGCCGGACAGATCCAGAAAGGCCGAGCCCCGTGCCCAGGAGTGCAAAGCTGTGTAAAGCGGGATAAAGCTGGTGAGCAGACGGAGAGCCAGGCCGGGCCCTCTGAGGAGGTGGCGTGTAAGCGGAGACCTGCCTGGCGGGAGGGAGAGAGCCACTCAGGCCTGGGGGGATGCACTTGCCAGGAGGTGGAACGGCAAGTGCAAAGGCCCTGAAAGTATGTGGGGGCGGGGAAGGGACACCACTAATTGC